TGCGAAAAACGAACAAGCTGACTTAAAGCAGGTTTGCCAAAGTCAAAAACAGTTGAATAAGGAGAGCAGGAACAGCTTCATTCCTTATTAACGAAGTACTCTTGACCTATTCGATGGCACTCTAGGAAAGTGGCAGATGGACGACTACGAAGTAGAACTCCTCCCTGACGCTAAACCCTATCACGCTAGGGCTTATCCTATTCCACGTGTCCATACCAACACTCTTAAGATGGAGGTTGAACGTCTCTGCGAAGCAGGAGTACTCAAGAAGGTGAACCGTTCCGAATGGCGGCACCAACTTTATCATTCCCAAAAAGGATGGTCTGTACGATTCATCTCTGATTTCCGGGAACTAAACAAAAGGATTAAGCGGAGCCTTATCCTATCCCAAAAAATACAGGACATGCTCTTGAACCTAGACGGATTCAAGTACGCCCCTAGTCTAGACCTGAACATGGGATACTATCACATCGAGCTGTCACCTCACTCGAAAAAACTCTGTACTATCGTACTCCCGTGGGGAAAGTACGATACCAGAGGTTGCTCAAGAATCTTCTTGAGACGATCTGCACTGTCGTCAACGGCAGTAGGATCAGGAATGAAGAAATTCTCTTCTTCATTGGTGTCGCTATCTTTCATAGGAATAGATATGCCGTCCCACTCCATTGACATGGTAGTGAAATCGAACTTAAATCCTAAGTCGGAGAGAATGTCTCGACCTATGATCCTGTCATACGCCCCCAAGCTCTTGGTGACGTGTAAATCCCATTCGATAATTCTATCATCGTGGAATTCAGGAATCATGAATGCACCTTTGCACTTCGTGCTGGTGTTTAATTCTCCTGCAGGGGTAGTCCACATGGTTTGGACGCCCCCAAGATCCTTCATGCGTAATTTCTTAGCATGAGTTTGAGCAATCAAAGTTCCGGATGCTCGCTCCTGTATCCAGTAAGCAACGGAGTGTAACGGGTTTTGGTTTCCCTTTTTCTCGCTTGTTAAATCTAACATAGACGATAGGTTTGAGGTCTCTTGTCTTGCGACGTTTACGAGGTGGTTGGCCACGGACGAGGTTAACAATGCTAAATAGATCATCAGAGTCTAGTTGAGCAGCTTCTAGGCAATCATCTAATTTGCCATAGAGTTCATCGGTTGCAAACAATTCTTGTTTACTAGTTAGTGAGATATCTTCATCACTTTGGTATGAGAAATCGGAACATGGTTCCGTTGAGTCATCATCCTAGCCTAATCCTCAGATAGAGATTTCTCCATCCAAGTGATTGAAATCGATAGAGGAGTTGTCCTCGTTATCAGAGTCTTCTGATTTGCGCTTGGCAACATGGTTGCAAAGTTTGCAGGTGGTTGCACGAGTATCGTCGATCTCGGTGTCTTCGTCATTGTCGACGAGAGGAAGAATGGGTTTGTCACGCAACTGTTTCTCGAAGTCGCTGAACGCATGTTTTCCTTGAGCCATCTTCATGGTGAAGGAATAGATTGAGGGTAGCTGAAAGCTATTGTGTTTGTTAACAAAATGCACTACGCTAAAAGCTAGTGTAAAGATCTTTCGAGTGTTTTGAGTTTGAGAGAATGAAAGTTATGAGAGAGATTAGAAAGCTATGAAAACTAATCAACGAGAGAGATCATCATCAAGGGATCGTAGATCTGGCTTCCCGCGGGAAACTGTAAAGTGTGATAGAGTAGGTTGTGGTGGTAATATTATGTCTCTCCACGATCCTAAAACGGAACGCGTGGAAGATTTGTCTAGCATGGATCTAGTAGCGTGGAAGTACTCCACGCTGGCTAAATATCTAGAGCGATGTTTCATCATCAACCTAGTATGACTAGAGCGGTCATTGAGAACCCTGTCTCAAATGACTATTCACGAGAGACTCAGTCGTGAGTCGAACTCAAACCCTATCTAGGATCGAGTCGCGAATAAGGCTAAGAGCCGTGTATTGCAAGAGTGATTTGCGATGAGCTGCTTCGAGGGAGCTGAACAGCCCGATCAGAGGTTCGAGTGGCAGTCGAGCCAAGCCGAATCGAGTCACTCCTCAGTCGAGTGACAGTTGAGTCATCGAGCTCAATGGGATCTTGTATCTGCTCTGGGCGTATTCGGATACTAGTATCGTATCTTCGGAATGATTTAGTTAGGCAAACAAAAAGGACACTTGTGCTATACTTATCGCTAAATGTGTAACAATTTTCTAAGAATTTAGCCATACCGTACGGTCATTTGGTTAAATCAGTCTCGTCTTATGTGAGTGTTCCTGCTTCCTGGTGACTGGTGAGGGGATCTAGCTAGTGATGGATCTGGTGAAGTAAACTCCGCCCATCATCATGATAGGGACCTGGTCATGGACACGGTACCAGGCGTACCCCAGCCAGCACTGCGGCAGAACCTCTTGACATCCAGGATCCAAATACAATTTCACAGTCCAAGATCCTGCACCCAAATCTAAATCCAACCAGGTCGTTGCTAGCTGCCGGTAGTAGGTCGTTGCATTGCAGAGTGTAAATTAGTTGACAGCAAATAAGCTCACAAAAAGCTCACAAGCTTACAAAAAGCTCACAAGCTCACAAATCAATCTTTGAAAAAGTTGAAAGAAGGAAGGTAAGAACAAGATGAAAGTCTTTTTCTTTACTATCGCAATGGTCATTGCCATGGCAGGAGCAACCCCGGCACTTCGAGGAAACAAGGACAATGAAGATGCTGCTTTGAAAGGTATCAGGAACCTCACTGCAAAGGATTGGGTCGAGACCTTTGGCTGTGTTGGTGCGGCTCATTACATCAAAGACATGGAGCCTGATTACGCCAATAAAGTCTTCCATAATTGCAAGAGGCCTGATGAGAGGCGCTTGGTTGAAGCTAAAAGGTCAACCCCTCATGCCATTTTCACTCCTGATGCCAACTTTATGCGTCGGCTTATCACACAAGGAAGCTTGCGGAAAGGCTTGGATTGAGGAAGCTGACTGAAGCTGTTGCTGGGGAAGCTATCGTTGTCATGGCGGATGGAAAGGAGCTTCTTGGTACCACCCCAAACGCCGCTGAAACAGCCCTTGTCGAGACTCCGGATAACGAAGTCGTGAAGCTTGAGGTGTCGGGTGGTGGCGATACCTACACCCGTGATGTGGACCGCACCCACATGTCTGTTCTTCCCAAAACTGGATACACCGTCTACATTGGCATGTACTTGATTCACCACGACGCCTGGAACCAAGAGTTCGAATTGGAGTGTCATGATGCCGATGATTACTGCAGCCTCTACTCTGTTGGTGAGTTCCATCTCCCACCTGCTTGTGGCGACGGCGTCATCAAATGTTAAGCAAGACTTGCGCCTTCATGCTAGCCTCAAGCATGGAGCTGAGACTGGTACTCTTCCTGCCAACAGAACTCCAAATCAAGAATGACGAGAGGATGAAGACACCGTTCCGCTGGAAATAACGGTAAAATGTTACTCCCATAACGATACATGTCACATATAGTCACACCCCTAAGTAAGCACCACTGGTCTCTATATCCCGGCATACCGCATTGGTTTTTCCTGTCACAAGAAGGGTAAAGAGGTGTGAAAATCCGTTGAATCCTGGGGGAAAAGGTAAGCTTCCGAGTAAATAACACTCCAAGCAACGTTTGAACCTTAGATATGATACGTTCGAGTACTAATTACCATCTATACACATCTAAATGGATGCACCAGAATGTTATCGTCTTAACTCTTTGCTTGCTTTTGAAACTAAGTGGCGGCAAACCGCCCGCGATCCAACGGAGGAATCACGCTAGTTGTCAAGGGGAAAACCTCACAAATCGAAGGAACTCCTCAGTTTCAGCATTTTTCTTCGCTCTCGTATCCTCTGAAAAAGCAAACATCGACAATGCCAGGACTCTACGGCGGCTCCATTCCTCCAGGTGGCTGGCCCGGTCAAGGTCAAGATGATGAAGAAGATTGGCAGTGGCCGCACAGTCCCAAGAACCTACCCTACTTGCTCCATTTCATGTCATTTGTGGAGGGAAGATTGGATGCACCCTTCGATCGAAACAAGGAGTTCACCAAGGAGGAGCTTCTTACCATCCGTCCGTCTCAGATCAAGCAATGGATGAACTTCCGAGCCTACGGAGACCCATTTCCCAAGGAGAATGATCCAGTCACTGGCTGCCACTCAGCATCTTTGAAGAAGGCCAAGCAAGCTCTCAGTTTTTACATGCCCAACAAACATGTCGCTTGGATGGACGGACGTGGAGGCAATCCAACTCGGCACATCGGCATCCTCACTCTCATCAAGAAGGTGGAACGCAAGGAGACACGCAACCAGGAACGTGCAGCCAATGACAAGCGTCCGTACAGCCAAGCCGAATTTGACAAGGTGATGTCTGTCTTTCGTGCTGGCGAAGGTCATGAAGGGAATTTCGAGCACACATTGAAGTACCCCACCATGACGCTCTGGTCCTACCATCTTATTCACCGACTCGATGACACTTGCAACTTCAAGCTGGACGCCCCACATGGTTCCATGGTGTTCCCTTTTGCGATCATGACCAGGACAAAGTGGTCCAAGAATGTCCGCAGCATGGGCCAGTGTCCGGACCAGATGCTGTTGGGCTCTTTTGATTGGAAGAACTGCATCCAGATCCAGATGGCGCTTTATCTTGAGACATGGCTGGAGATCCATCCGAATGCAGTATACCTTTTCACTAGCGGCACAACACCATCGGCTTGCCTCAATCTCAACCAACAATATGGCAACCGAATCAGGTTTGTGGTTTGGAGCAGAGCCGACTTCAAGGCCCTTGAGGATCAAGTCGGATCTGCGGAAGATCGAAGAGGCCTTGGCACCCATTCCAATCGCAAGTATGCCACTACTCGTTACATGAGGAAGGGCGCTCATCAGAACCAAGCTGAGTTTCGTGGTCGCTGGGTGGGCGAACGTTCCAACTCTGTTGTTGGTAGGACGTACAATGACGTCCACGATGACTACACGGATGCCTATGTCGCCTCGCTACTATGTGAGGGTGGTGCGGTTAAGTATCAGCTTAGAGCTGGGCTTGCCGTTACTGACAACTACTTGTTTAACATTGTTATCCCTGCAATCAAACAGCTTTTCTCTACTGATCTCAGGTTCTGCCGTGTCATGGCCATGGCCACTCTTTGGTGTGTGTTTGATCCACCGGCATCATCGGCATTGTTGCCTCTCGCAAAAGTGGAGGAGATGCGCACCAACTTCCGACAGGCGCACAACTACCAAGCCACTGAGAACCCAGTCGAAAAGATCCGTTTTGAGGTACTCAAGGTGGATGGGAACCTTCGCATCATTCCTCGTGCTCGCCGAATTACCAACGTCACCAACCGCAATGGCAGTAACAACACCCTGCAAGAGCGCGGTCGCTGGAGGATCCAAGACAACAGCCAGTATCTTCAAGAGAATAGGAGCACCATCACCATGGCGTTTCTTCAGCAGATGGAGCGCAGCATCATTGACTGCTTCAACACCATGCAGGCGCAACACGAAAATTTCAGGACTTGGAGTCAGCAGCAGTTTGATCGCATGGCCAACAACCAGCGCAGGTATGGTGGTACCATTCAGCAGGCCATGGTGCGCGGCGATCCTCAGGAACAAGCCAGAAGGCGACAACATACAGCTGCAGCAGCAGCAGCCCCTCCTCCTGTTCATGGCGCCATCGACCCTCATGCAAGACTTGTTGGCACTCCAAGGACTCTCAATGAGCTGTGGGAGGAGTACCAGTTCGGCATTGGTGACAACAAGCCAGCCAAGAGCTTCGCTGTGGCTGAGCGCAACAACAGAATGAGCGGCATCAAGCAGAAGCACTACAGGCGCAGCAAGGTGTGGAAGATCCAAGCCTACATGATCAATGGCGGCCACAACATTCATGCTGCCAATGCCAGGATTCAGCAAGTCTATCAGACTGACAGGCCCACTCGTGTCATTGACAGGATCATCCAAGACGGCAGGAACGAGCGCTTCGCCATGGTGGCCGCTGTTGGCTTCAGGCTGAACACTCAGCTGCGCGCTGACGCCTTCTAATCGTAGATGTAACTGACGTACTTAGTAAAAATTTGGCCATTGACTTGCTCATTTCGAGATGCTCGCTGTTCTTCGCCGACACCTTTTGCGCGATGGCACCCATGGATATAAGTAGGAGTTGCCTCTACGTACATCATGTACCATGGCCTACGATAACACCCACAGTGACTCTGTTTTACCTTTTCCCCTGAAAGAAGGAACTGATTTGACGCTATTGAGCGATTCATTCGATTCAGCGGGAGATCAACGCCAAAACGAAATGTGGATAGCTAAGGAGTGCTAGAAAGAAGACTATATGACTATTAGTACTCAGTATTTATGGTGGTACTGTTCCGTGTTCATAGCTACCGCTTGTGGAAAATTTTTTAAGCTAGTACTATAAAGGTTGAGCCCCCGCAGGGGGCTCTGAACCATAAAGATTGGGCCCCTTGGGGCCCAACCACTAAGCTAGCTAGCTAGTAGTGGCAGTGGAACACATGGTCTTCTGGCTTGCCCTCAAAGCACTGCAGCAGAGCCTCCTGCATCTTCCACTTTGTCTTTGGGATGGACTTTCCCAGGACCCTGGCCCACCCTGAAGGAAGCAATTGCTCTGTGTTGGCCTAGCTTGAGGCCACTTCTGATAACCAAAGACACATGCTTGTTGGTGCCACAATGGGGCATGGAGTCTTGAGTCCTTCTTTGCGTGTTGCTGGGTCCATGAACTTGTACACTTGTACCTCGAATGCTTTTCCAGGATGCTGCGGTCAAATATCTCAGGCATAAAGAAGAGAATTTTAGTGTGAGCCGGGAGCTCAAATTCCATGGCTGCTAGAGACTGTTGCTCTGCCTTACATCGTTTGTCAATGCCGTTCCTAAAGAAATTCGTAATTTGGGACTGGCCCTGGCTTGCAGCTTCGTCCTTCCTTGCAAGAGCTCTCATAACAGGGGATGTGACTCCGTGGACTGCTCCCTGTGGGAAATGGTTCTGCAGATGCCGATCCAATTTCCCCGCCACTAGAGGAGTCCTAGCTTTCACAGAGGCACGTCCTATCTTGCCAACAGCCGCCAAGAACACCATGCCGTTGTTGTCCACCTTGGGGAACCGTCCACTGGAGTACAGGTCCCGGATGTAGTGGTCGATACCAGCCGGCGCCTCTTTCGTACTCGCACTCATCGTCCTCGAATTGTGTTGAATACCTCTGCGGCTATCCTTCGCTTGCGATGGATACCTCTGCGGTAGGATGGCGTTGAATACCTCTGCGGCTATACAGCTTCCTCGGATTGCGATGAAAGCGGCTATATCCTTGGCTGCGGTGAGTACCTCTACGGCTACTACTAGTATTACGGATGGGTTACGGATGGGATGACCTCGGTTTTATTGTCTTGCTTCACTATCTCGCTCAAATTCGAAATCCTCTGGATGCATGAAATCCTCTGGATGCATGCTCCGTCGGTCTTTCGAAAACAACACGAAAACAACACGAAAACAACTCGACGAGAGACTGGGCCCATTCAGAAATAAGTTTAGGTTCAGAGGTTAGGAGGTTTGGGTCATAGGGCATATGTAAGCCAGAGGTGCAAATCCGAACCGAAGCAAAATGTGAGCATCGGAACCTCAAAATCCAACCTCGGAACCAGATGTGTGAGGGTGGCGGGTGTGGTTGAGAGGTTCAGGAAAGTTACTTATGATCACACAAGTCCCCTGGTAATTACCATAGAATGATCCAGTGATCATACTTAAAGGTTGAGAACCTCTAAACCTCCAAACCTCTTCAAACAAAAATTACCCAGGATAAACCGAAAGGTTGGGAGGTTTGGAGGTTGATAGTCATTTATCGTGACATTTTCCGTATTTATGGTTCCGAAATATCCCTGTAAGTCTCCCAACTCCCAACCTCTGAACCTAATTTTATTTCTGAACGCTCCCACTGATCGAGCTGACACAGAGAAATCCGAAATGCGAAATATTGAAGCACGACTGACGTGCACGACTGACGTCAGCCGACAGACGTCATGGAAAAGATCGAACGATTGATTCTGATTGGCTAATCTCCTCTACGGCGGCTCTACAGGGGTAGTGTACCATAGAGGCTCTACAGCGGCTCTACAGCGGTAGTGTACGGTTGGGCCGATGGCAGTACAGCGGTCCCGCTGTACAATCTGTACCAATCCTTTTATGTTCTGTGGATGTAGCTTCCGCTTGTGCTACCGTACGATTTGGTACCGGAAGGTCCCGCAGAACATGAAAATCTGAAATTGAATTCATCACTAATTAAACATTTTCATCACCATTCATCACGGATTCATCATTTTCATCACCTTTCATCACGATTCAACACATTGGTGATGAATTCATCACGATTCAACATATTGGTGATGAATTCATCACCATTCATCACCATTCATCATTTCCTATAGTGAAACAGTACTAAATTTCATCACGATTCATCACCATTCATCACGGATTCATCATTTTCATCACCAGTCATCACGGATTCATCATTTTCATCACCATTCATCACGATTCAACAAATTGGTGATGAATTCATCACCAGTCAACATATTAATCAATAATTAATCATATTTACAATATTTCTTCATTTGCGGGACCTTGCTGGTACATGTCTATCGTACCGTATGTATTGGTATCGGTACGTACCAGGTACCAGGTACCGCTACAGTCGTACCGTACCGCTTTGTGGACTGACCAACGAAGGGTGGCACTTGGAAAACAACTTGGAAAAACTTCACTTCCCTGGCCGCTCTGCGGGCTTTCAAGCTGTGGCCCCCAACCACTCAACCGACCAGTCCTCCCAAAAACACAAACGAAACACAGAACACAAGATCTGGCCAGGACAAGCCATATACTAATATACCTGATACCGTACTATCGTACTACTAGCTCCCCTCCCATTGAATTGTCGTAATTATGGTGAAAGCCCCTTCATCTCATGGCTTGGACCGCAAGTATCGTTCCTGGCGAAAGGGGAAGAGTGCCAAGGCGAAAAAGCAGGGATCTCTGAAGCATCAGCTGCGCGGGCAAGAACGACTCCTGGCGCAGGTCCTCAAACGAAACGAAGACCAAGGACGAATTCAAGAATTGCAGCAACGAATCCAGGCAATCAAGGATGAAGTTGCCGAAAAGGAATCCAAGGAGGTTGTACGGCAAAACTCCAAGCGTTCCCATGGAACTCGCTTTTTGGATCGTCAACGAGCGACCCGGTTAGAGCGCACTGCTCGCAATGCGAAGAATACCCAAGAGTTGACCCGAATTGCACTGGATATGATTTACGTTGCTCATTTTCCGCATCAACAACAATCGTATCGACCTTTATATCGAAATGGGAAAAAGCGATGGCTGATACATCCCGTTTCTCGTGCCATGATTCGACAAAAAATCATTCAGGATCTGAAAGAAAACAATAAGAATTCCTTCGAACGAGTCAAATGGATTTCACAAGACATGTACGAACGAGTACCGTCCGAATGGTCTGTGGCTCAGGAATTGGAGTTGTTTGATTATCCAAAGGGAGACGGCAAAGACAAAAAGAAGGAAACCACTCAAGACAACCGATTTGCGATCAGTAGTGACCACGACAAATTCTTGGAAATGGCCAATCAACTGGAATCCAAATTGGACAAGGACGTGCCACAAAAGAAGAAGGAAGAAACGTCTGACAGTGATTCCAGTAGTGACGACGACGAGGAAGAGCCCAAGAAAGCATCTGGAAAGCGACCACCAAAGGATCCATCGAAACGACAAAGAGAAGAAGATGGCTCTGATGATAGCTCGTCAAGCAGTGACAGTGACAGCAGTGAAGACATATCCAAGTCTGCTGCGCCCTCCACGAAGGAGAATCAAACCACAAAACCAATGAACAAAGAGCCTGAGTCAAGCAGTAGTTCAGACAGTGACAGCTCTAGTGACAGCAGCAGCGACGACAGCTCTAGCGACGACGAGGATCAAAAGGTGACATCCAATCGCAACAACAACGACAACAAGAACAATCCACTCAAAAAGGTTGGACCAGACAAGAACAAACAAGAGGAGAAGGACAGCGATAGTGACGACGACTTTTTTGTCGCTGCTAGTGCAAAGAAAGACGAAGATATTGCCGTGTTTGACCGCGTCCAGGGCAAGGAAGAGCACATGCTAGCGGCAGAGGACCCCGCTCGCGGAGACAAGAGCCAGGGTTGGGCTACCCAACGACAACGCCCAGGTCAATTTAAGAAGAAACGAGTTCGTCGTTGATCTTTTGAAGCTAAAACAAGTGCTATTGTAACATTACAGATATAAATACAATGGTCGGCCATTTCTTGCTATGCTCCAATTTCTGCAGGATCAGGAAGATTTAGAGCTTCATCGTCGTCCACATTCTTCTCAAACTCTTTCCCTTCATAGGAATATTGCACTTTCAACGTTGGTCTCAAGATAGTTGGATCTTCCTTGGAGGCTTTCTTTGGTTTGGAGCGTTGCGACGTAGGTGTCCAGTACTCCTGCCACCAAGGAATCCGACCTTGTTGTTGAGCCAGTGCATTGTTCTCCAATCTTCTAGTAGTCGTGTCTTCGTCGATTGTCGTTGTGTTGATTGGGTAGAACCCTAGGAGATGTTGCTTGGAACCCTCCGCTAGTCTCAACGTGGACGTGTCGTTCTGAACCCAGAATTGTAGTGGGATAGTGACGTCCAAGGACGATGCATCCCCAAACTCATAGACGGCAGACTGAATGACCAATCCATTCTTTTCGACTTCATGGGCAGTTCTTGTCTCGGCTTGTCGTTGCATCAATCGTTGTTGCGCTGCTGCGTCTGCTTTGGCCTTGTAAACGGTGGATTGTGATGTTGTTGTGGCTTCGCCGGATTCTTCCTCCTCACGGTTGCTCCAAACAAAGCGTGAGAGCATTTCGTTGGCCATGCCAACAATGGCAATGACGAGAAACGGCGTGGCCGTATCCACCAGACTTCTGGTCTTACTGGTCGTCTCGGATCGCTGGAGGAGACTGGCTGCCGTGCCCAGCACAATGGGGATCCTCAGTGTCACATCACCTTGTTGCCAGGCCAACACGAGCGACCATTTGAACAAGAGGGCTGTACTTCCGCCTCCTTGTATTCCAATCCGCCATGATGCCGGTATGATGGATGGTCCATTTGCCTTTGTCGGTGCCTTGTTGACTTTGGACTTTTGGTTCTTTCGTACCGTCAAGAGTGTCGCGCCGACATTCCACGTCTTGCTGGTTGGTTGGTATTGCAAGGATACTGGCAATCGACGATCCGAGGACAGTTTGGGATCCATGACGAGTTGGACTAGAGAATTGGGCGTGAGCCACGAGGATGTTCCAGTTTTGAGATGCCATCCAAAGCCCAGTTTCACCACATGGGTGGTCATGGACGATATCCAAACCACGGCTTTGCCTTGGTTGCTGTTTTTGGACTGCCAACCAAAGTCGGAAGTAATGATCCAAGGATCCATAATTTCCCGTGTATGAATATTTATCGCCCAGTGATTCTTGGGCTGTTGCCGTAACGAGGCTTGTATCGATGATGGACCCTTGGGATCCTTGACGAGTGCTCCCACATGCAGTTGCAAGGGGCGAGAGTCTGTGGTTGTCAGTAATTTGAATCCTCCCAGCAGTCTGAATCTGGGAGACCATTTGTAGGTAATATCCGCGGCACCATTGGCGGATCCCACCGTCGAAAAGACATTGGTGTTGCCACTGATACTCGACGTCCACCGTCCATCGGGGGTAGATGGCGGAACATAGCAGTGGACGGAACATCTTGCATTCTGTGACAAGTTTACTAGTTTTGGAAACTCGTCTTCTGATTTGTTCTTCTGTTTCTTTTTTGTTGTGTCGGGTGGATACTGAAGCAACAATGGAATCTCCAGAGTCACTTTGTTGATGTTTCGTGGTTGATCATAGGGATCTATTAGTTTTCTGGATTTCCGTTTTTCTGCTTCTTCCTCTATCTCCGCAGCGTCTTTTTTTGATTCTGATAGATTCGCTTTTAAAAGATGGTCCATCAGGATGGGATTGGAAAGCGCATTGTCTTCCAACTTGTGGTGGTGGTGGCGGTGTTGGTTGCCGACATCACTTTCACTTTGAATTGGAGGGTTTCTACCGGTACTTGTAGTTGGGATGCTCTCATCTTCCTCTCCCAGTATCGCTTCTTCCTCAGACGGCGAGAATGGAGGGGCCATGATAACTTTGTACGTCTTTTGTCTTGCTTTTTTACTTTGTGGATATGCTACAGCAATTTCTCTCGATTTGCTTCGAAAGTTGCCTGATAACGATGATGAGGCAACGCAAAAGGTGATGGATGAATGGTCGGTGGACAGAAATCCGAAGATTCTAAGTGCGGCGGGAACCAAAAGATATTGGTTAGTCCCGAATGGAGGACTAAAGCACGACTGGAATTGGGTGCTGTTGCTTTGTTTCTTGTTTGCCTTGTTGTGTTGCACGTGGAAAGTCTCACTTTCTTAGCTTTTGCGTCCATGAACTCCATCTCCAAGACCATGTTAAGATTCTTATTCACTGGCAACACGGGCGGACAGCTCGATCGACTCCAAAGGCATCTTCCAGGTGTGGGTGGCGGAGAGGAAGAGCCATCCAACGACAATCGTCAGCTCCTGGATCTTTTGGTGGATCCTCGCCAATTGCCACCCCATCATGTCCAGAGAGCAGCGATCGACTGGCAACAAGTCGTCACAGTGGCACTGGAGAATCCATTGACACTGCATGTGCGCGACCAGTTTCGCCTAAGAACACCTCTTTTCTTGGCCATTGAACGAGACGCTCCACCCTTTGTCATTCAAGCCTTTTTGCAATCGTATCCACCGGCTGCCAGAGTCGTGCAAAAGATCGGATTGACACCGCTGCATTTGGCCGTGGCAAGGGGGGCACACAATCATGTCGTTCAGTATCTCTTGGGGGCATGGCCGGAAGCCGCCTCCTACAAAATGAGCGATGGCTGTGTACCGCTCCATTTTGCCAGAAATGTGGAAACGGCCCGACTCTTGATTGAGGCATATCCAGAAGCCTTGTGGGTGGCCAACAAAGCAGCCTATCTACCAATTCACCGAGTCGTATATGCTCCATATGCTTCGCCCGAGGTGGTGAAACGGTTCTTGGATGCCGAGCTCAAAGTTGTCCAGGATAGCGACGACGACAATGCCAGCCCCAACAAGAACAAGAAAAGCCATGAGCAAGAAAGTCAACTTTTAGCCAAAACAATCCACGGAATTACACCATTAGATGCTGCCTGTGAAATGGTATTCCGGGATTTGAACCATAATCAACGCGACGGCGATGACAACAACAACAATACACCGCCCGTAGTTAGCCCGGAAAAGTGGGAAAAGTTGCTCGTATTGGCAAAACATACCTACGATGTTCACCAGTCTGGCTGTCGTCGTCGGAGGAGGAGGCCATCATCAACACTCCATTCAATGCCTCTTGGAATGGACAAACCCTTGCTTCATATCCTTCTTCAATACACTTCCATCGAACTGCAAGTATTACCGCTGGTACTGCAATACATTCTCAATCACAAATATCCCGAGCAACGCGCCATGGTCGACAAAGGCCGTTCGGCGCTGGCCATTGCCGTGTCGCGACCAAACATGTCAGGTAGCGTTGTCAAGCTGCTGTTGCAAGATCCAGTCCTGCGAGCCATGGCCACTGTGACGGACGTCCAGGGACGATTGCCCTTGCACAGTGCCACGGCCAGTGGACATCGAGATGGGTTGGAAGAATTGATGCGGGCTGCTCCCGTGGCGCTGACCATCCCGGATCCTGTGACGGGGTTGTATCCCTGCTTATTAGCAGCAGCCACTGCAACTGATGATGGTGATGATGATGACTGCCAAGAAGCTCTGAGCGTCAACGCCATATATAGTCTCCTTCGGGAAACGCCTTCGATAGTTCCAACGATGAGTAGTACATGTACCGAAACTGCAGTAACGGGGAAAAGAGGCCTCACACAAAGTCAACACGAAGTAGCGCTTCTGGGTAAAACCTTGTCAGCTGCGAAGGAAGTGTATGTGTGGTGGATCCTGCCTATCCTCCTGGCGTTTTTGCTACACGACATCTTGATTGATGCCATCTTTGAAAGGAATGATATCAATGACGGTTAACCAACCATAGATGGCCCTGATCGTGCCAACTAAGCAACGAGGTAGTGATTGATGAACCCAAGACTTTCGGGGCCATTCTGTTTCATCGTTATAGCAATCTGCGCGCTTGAGTTTGTGGCTCATGCCGTTCAGCTTTGTCTTGTCAGGGCTAAAGGGAAGTCTTCTTCTGTGTCAAAAGCATCTACCGTAGTATCAGACAGTCATCATCTATCAGACAGTTGTAAATAAAGAAATTTGCACCATCAGGTTCCAGGGGCAGGGCAAACCACTCAAACGCACGACTGTGTTCTCGTCCTTGCACAAAACGTGGTCGTGTCATGAAGCTGCAGGTCGGAAACGATCTTTTTCGCTGACCAGAAAGCGCACAACCTCAAGCAGATCAATTGCTGCTGAAGTCGCTTGGTACAAGGATTCCTTCCATTTCTGGCGTGGGACAGCCAGAGTTGATCAACATCGGCTCTATCATAGGGGCCTCTGGGGGGCAGGGATCAAGTCGGAGCCATTGGTCAGTGTTGTGGTGGGAGCAGTTGTCGGTGGCCCCGTGCAAGTCAAAGGCGGTGCTTGCAATTCTGTATCCGTGGGATCTAGTGAAGCATGTGCGGGATTGTCGCAGACAGGAAAGTGAAGGCTCGAAGGCTTGATTGGCAACATGGACAACAGGTACACCATTGTTCAGGAGCGTACCAGTACGAGTACTCCCACTGTTACGGCCGTTGGTGATACAAACTGCGACGCCTGCGAAGTGGCTTTCGCCACAGCAAACTCTCGTGTGCGTTCTCGGCGGATATTTTGGGAGCGCAATGCCTTTATTAGGGTCCACGGAGCAAAGTCAAAATATCTCTAATAACGTAGTCTATTTTTATATGCAAATTATCGACAATCCTATGGGATGTCATAGAAAGTACGAGTCTAAGAGTGGAGGCTGTGTGCTGGTTCGTTTCAGGGCCTCAAGTCTGAAAGGGATGCAGCGGCACGGTCCGTGGCTTTTTGGATCAGTTCCACTCTTGCCACCCAAACGATCACACGGAATATCTGATATGCCAGGAAAACCGACCAAACTGATGCAATGGAAATGCCCGGGACACCTGCAAGAGCAGCACGCTTGACACGAAGCATGAAGAAGGGCACCGCAACAAAGAAAGCACCATACATCTTGCCCAGGAATCCCAGATCCTTCTGGCCCAACAGCACACCCTCTGTCGCTTGCATGACACCATGCACTGAGAAGAAAGCGACAAGAATTGGGACCACCGTGTTCACGAGAGAGACAACAGCAGGGTCACCAGTGAAAAAGCCCGACATGACGGGGAGCAATCCAATCGCTGCTGCCATGACAGCGCCGAACACTCCTCCTGCCTTCAGAAAGTTCCTTGCGGTCTTCCGGAGCGCATCAGCCCTCTCTTTGCTAGCCTTCTTTTCCGAGATACCTGGAATGAAGCTCTGTGCTGTGAGACTCAAAGAGTCAGCAATGGGGCAAAGGCAGTAAAAGACACTAACAATGACTTGCTGCGCAGCCATGCTGACAGTTCCGAGACTGGAAGATACGACGTGGGACATAGCAACGTAGCCGCTTACACGTCCAATTTGGGTAACAGTGACAGGGGCAACATAGGGAGCAAACTCCTTGGCAACTTCCTTCTTTGGTAGCTTGACTAGATCCAGTCCGCTTAATCGACCGGCCAACAGTCCACGAACCGAAGCAGTGTCGTCGTTGCGAGTAGCTTTGACTACAGCGGGTGCATCATTGTCCTTCTTTCCAAAGAGACCATTGATCTTCCCACCAAGACCCCTGCGTTTCGATTCCTTCTTTGGAAGCTGCACTTCGTTGGATTGCAAGTTGTTGATTTCTTTGCGTCGTTTGTCTCCATCCTTGCTCATCAAGTCCATAATGTTCTTGGTCAAGTCGACCACTTTGGGTCGAGCGTTGCCCGACTTTGGTTTTTGGACCAGCCATCGAACAAAGATAGCCAGAGCCGCGTACTGCGAGAAGACCGTAGCCCACGCAGCGCCTGCAGCCCCTCCAATCCATGGGTGCTTGCAACCAACAAAGCAGGCATCACCCAAGAAGTTCACGACTGCAGCCGCCAACAAAACGTAGAGTGGAGACTTGATATCTTTACAGCCAAGACAACCGGCTTGGGCACTGCCGATGATTGCCGCAGCGGGCATTCCAAGCGCGCGAATACGGACGTACTTCATGGCGGCTGCAAAGACCGCAGGGTCAAGGGCATCATTTCCAATAATGGCCCTGAGGAGAGGCCTGGCAAAGGCGAAAAGAGTGGCGCCAAGACCAAGCCCGACATATGTAGAAAGCTGCATGGCACCAATCATGGCCGAGGTTGTCTTGGGCTTTCCTGGGAGTGTCCGGTCGGATTCTTGAGCCGAGGCTACAAGATTGGTAGTGGCAGTGTAAAGGAATGCCTGTGTGGTAGTGGGTGAAGCAGCAAGGTGAGATACTCATCATTCCAAACGCAGACATACACTTGAAGGTACTGATCATCAATCGATCGGCTTACAATGAGAAGAGCAGCATAATCCGTAACTGCCACAGCGGGATTCAAAGCGGCTTGCTGCGTCGTTCCCGACAAAACACCAACCGCCGATGTGTCAATCAGTGAGAGCAACGGAGAGCACAGCCATACCCCCACGGCAGGAATTGCGAATTTGAGAATCTTCATGACAGGTGGAGCTTCAATCTTTGTCGTCTCTGGTTCCCCCACGACTGCTGCGGCAGGAACAATTTCCACAAACTCATCAATGGAAGTCGGAGTAGTGACAATGTCACTAATGTTGCTGGCTGGTGTTGCGTAGGAGCTGAGTTCTGCGTTGACTTCGGAAGGAAGCGATGCCTCTGCTGCAATCATCGCATCTTCCGAAGCGGCCAGCACCGCTTCGACATTTCGTGTAGTCACCTTTTGTTGATTGATTTCTTGGCCAAGCTCTGCCACAGATTTGATTGTCGTGTTGAGTGAAAATTCAAAAGACTCTTCCGTCTTTGGAACCGTGGGGCCCTCATCAAAGCCAGAACCCAAAAGACTGTCAGCTCCGGAATCCATCAGGACCGGCATGACGGCTGCATCTGTCAGAAGCGTCTCGGAGGAGACACATTCAATGCCGGCCAAGAAGAGCTCCTTGCCAATGTCTACTTGCAGCTCGCCTTCGACAGTTGACTGGAGTTCGTCTGGCTTTTCCGCATTTGGAAACGATTCTTCTTCCAAGAGAACGGTGGAGAGGACCAAGCGACTGGGAAGGCGGGCATTGCTGCGCGGTGCGGTTCTCGACGAAGAAAAGGCTAACCCCGACAGGGGAAGCAAAGCGAGCACCAAAAGGCGTTGCTGCGGCATCTTGAATGAAAGTGGGTTTTCGAAAGAGGAGGAGTGAGTCAGCCTGAGAAGTGAGGAGAGAATTCAATGATGAGCAAAATCGTAGCCAAAGCTACAACTACGAGACGTAGCTAGCTAGTCGGGAACGAAAGCTCCAGAGTTGAATCGAAAGGAATGTAACGGACGAATGAGGCAACACATCGACATGAGAAGCGGAGCTTGCTAGCTTGCTTCTGGTAGTAGCTCCCAGCAGTAGCGTGAGGTCTGGAATCGAATGCTTTTGTCAAAGCACTTTCGCTTCCAACAGAGGGCAGTTTGCCATTGGTGCAGTTACGCAAAAGCCACGTCACGAGCTGAGCGAGACCAAACGCACGAAAGAAGAAGGCGACTCCACGCGGCGGGGCTCATGGTCGCCGCTTGAATACCACAGCGACAAATCCAAGACAATGCCGACAAATGACAGCTGCCCGCCATGGTCAAAGACACAAAAACATCGAAAAACAACAACAACAACAGCTCTTACCAAAGCTTCTTCTGGTGATGAGTCTTCTTTCTTTGTGTTGCTCGGAAAGCAAAAAGTGACCGTTGTGAGGCATCAATCTTCGCTCTGGACGGAAGGCTGTGCACTTGTGGAGTCTTGATGGTTTTTGCTCGATGTTTCGCGGTCCTTTTTCTTTGATGGATGAAAGAAGACTCCAGAGCGTCGATTTCAACTCCGCAACCAGTGAAGCGGACAGCTGGTTGGAGATTTAAAATGGTTCCCGGATCCAAATGTCTATCAATGTCACAGAGAGAACCCCACTGTTCAGCTTTGAGATCAATTGGCTCAGATACATGCACAGCATTGATGTTGTTTTAATAAATACATAGCAGCCTCTGGTTCGCAAAGGCACTCTAACAATTGATGCTGAGTCTGTTGGGAAATCGACCTCGGGAAAATTATGGACCTCTCTGCGATTTCCGTTTTCCGTGCTTCTTTTCGTACAGGCGTACAGACGGAGCCTTTTTGAAAAGAAAGTTTCCTTGGAATCAAGTGACGTGGAAAGCCAGCGGTAGCTGGCAATGCAGCCTTTCATCTCTTGTTGGTCTGGGACCTCGTTCCAATACGGCAGCCGAGACGGCTAAGTTAAATGGGGTTGGAGGTGGTGGCGCAGCAGCTGTTCAATGGAAGACAAGAGAAATCAATGGCCCTGCCTGAATTATCAATCAATGATCCGCTGCAACTTTGACCTTGACGTGGTTTGAAAACAGAATCTCATACTATTTTATCTCCCCAGGAAGGAGCTGCAGCACAGCGAATGAGGTTTTCTTAATCGACCAGATCAAAGCATACGATCTACAGCCACTGGTTTATTTGGTTCCTATGGTTCCACCTTCAGTGGACTGAAACAGTTGGGCGCTCCAAGCCCCAAAATCATCCCGCTTTTGCGGCCCCTGACTCTTTCAAGGGCCCTGCCTGGCTGGACGGAATATCCTTGGCCCAAAGCTGGCTTTGATAGCTTTTGATACACTAGCTTCCATGGAGACAAAGAGCATTGGAGACTTCGATCGTACCGGCACTGTACCGGTACTGTACAAGTACCATACTCAGGAGCCACAAGAAGACAACTTTGAATTTGAGATAGATGTGGTAACACTACATGTACTCAATAAATGAATTTTCATTGACCCTTTATTTACCTAGATTACCAGTACCCCTCCATACCGCTAGCCAGCGGAACTGGAGAGTACCGATACCGGTACCGGTACCGGTCTTGCCAAGACTAATGCCATGCGAAAGATGTCTTGGAGGAGATGCGCGACCTCCCTCCATTTAGTCGTTTCCAGCCGCCAAAAAAGATTTTTCCAAAATTTTTTGTTTCTCGCTTCTTTCGCAGCTTCACACTTCACCTATTGAGAGAGTGAGTCTTCTAAGCAAGCAGACAACAACGACGATCTTACGAAACCTGATCAAAGTAGAACGACGTAATTCAAGACGATGGACCTCTCTGCTGTAATCGCCGCCAAGGCTGCCCAGCAGAAAGATATGAGTAGTCAACCACCCGCAGTGGGGGCACCGGCTCCTGCTGCTCTGGGTGGGCCTGTCCTAGGCGCCCCTGCGCCAGCTCCATTCAACCCATCCTTTGGTGGAGCTCCAGCCCCAGCCATAATGGGTGCACCAGTTTTGGGAGCTCCAGTGAACCCGTGAGTTCTTGCTTGTAGTCTGTTGGTTTTTTGGTTTTTTGGATCGCGGGAAAGAAAAATGATTCGTTGATTTGTCTGGATTTCCGAGACTCTGCAGTTGGGTAGATGCGAGATACCAACTTTATCGCACAGGGGGGAAAGAGATCGCGAATTGCCTCCATTGTGAAGCGGATAATCGTTGTTAATGTTTTGTCGGTTGCGGCTTTCGATGATCGGGATTGGCTGTGTGTACCCGGCTGTTCCGCATTTCTTTGCTCTTTTCTGACGCTGTTTCTAACGCTGTTTTCTCGTCATCAAAACTGGTTTCGTGGGGTTAATCTTTGGTTCCGTTTCTTTCCACTGATCTCTTGGTATAAAGTCCTCCTGCTGCTCTTGGGACACCTGTCTTGGGCGCCCCAGCCCCAGCGCCCTTTAGTCCTTCTTTTGGTGGAGCTCCACCTGCCATGTTGGGTGCACCAGTTCTAGGAGCACCTGTGAGTTCCTGTTGTGCTTGTTTGATTGGAGATTCCATCTTCTAAATATTTCTCTCACTCTCATGATGGCTTCTCATTCTTTCCACCCTGTGACTGCCAGGCCCCTGCTCCTGCAGCTTTGGGGGCGCCAGTTCTTGGGGCACCAGCTCCATTCAGTCCTTCTTTTGGAGCCCCAGGCCCTGCTGCTTTGGGAGCACCAGTGTTGGGAGCTCCTGTGAGTGCTTCTTCCTTCCTTGTTTGTGGTGTGCTGGAGCATACCTCCTTCTTGTCCATTTACAGCCGACAGTTCCCTCATGATGTTATTTCCTCCCTCCACTCAGGCCCCGGGAGCACCAATGCTGGGGGCACCAGTGCTTGGAGCACCAGTGCTGGGAGCACCAGTGCTAGGAGCCCCAGTTGGAGCTCCTGTGAGTTTCTTGTTTGGGTTTTTACCTGTGTTGGAGTGCAGCTTCTCCGAGTGGTTGCATAGCTGAAATTTTCCTAATAATTCTTTCTCTCTGCTTCCCAATCATTGCTTCAGGCCCCCGCTCCTGCAGCCTTGGGGGCGCCAGTTCTTGGGGCACCTGCTCCAGCTCCATTCAGTCCTTCTTTTGGAGCCCCAGGCCCTGCTGCTTTGGGAGCACCAGTTTTGGGTGCCCCTGTGTTGGGAGCTCCGGTGAGTGTTTTGTTGTGCTGGTTTGTTTTGCAATGGAGCACAGCTCCGAATGATGCTTGTTTCCCTCATGATGATTCCTCCCTCATGGTGCTACCAGGCTCCTGCCCCAGCGATGCTGGGCGCCCCAGTTGGAGCTCCTGTGAGTGCTGCTGTTGCGTTTGTTTTCCACCTTGTATGGACATAGCTCACATTTCTCTTATGATGATTTTTCTGCCTTGTGTTCAATACAGCCCCCAGCACCTGCAGCACTGGGGGCTCCAGTACTTGGGGCACCTGCTCCAGCTCCATTTGTTCCATCAGGACCTGCTCCGGGTGCTCCATTGATGGCACCTGCACCAATCCCTGCAGGCCAAGTAATGGTCGATTACTCGGATACCACAACAATCAAAAAACAGGACGAAGCAGTATTTGTCCCAGGATATGCCCAGCAGAAGCTAAAAGGAACAGGAGGCAATCACAAGTTTGCAATTACGAGCGCACCTGTTCCAGATATGCCTGATAAACCAGAGGAAGTGGCTGCTCTACCAGCCCCAGTTGGTATTCGTGGAGGAAACACCACTGAAGCTGCCGCTCCTGTTGCGTATGTCCCAGAAAAGACAATGACACTTAAATCCACACCAGCGGAAGCAGCAGAAGCGCTACAACCCTCCACTGCTCCGGCTCCAGCACCTGTGCCAGCGCCTGTGCCAGAGCCAGCCCCAACAGAGCCAGGTACTGCTCCTGCGCCCGCACCAGAGCCAAGCATGATGGTGGCTCCAGCAGTCGCTCCAATGGAAATTGCCAATTCCGTACCGACTCCCCCCGATACATCAACACCAGCAGTACCAGGAGATGACACTGCCGAAGCTGAACCTAGAGAAGCTGCTCCTGAGGATGGTGAAGGAGGAGGTGCTGACGAAAAGGGTGCAATTGTGAATGTGAAGAAGGAGACTGGTCCTGACGGCGAAGAAATTGAAATTGTTACAACAACTACGGAGAAAGATGGTGTCAAGACAACAAAGATCAAAACGACAACCAAAAAGAAGGTTGTGAAAGAAAAAGACGTAGGGGACGGCAAAGGTTACTGTGCTGTTTTCTGCACCATCATGTAGGTGTACCGTATGTCAAAACCTCATTCATGTGGGTCCATGTCGAAGCCCCAACTACAGAGAACCACGTCTGCTTCGACTTGCGATCTGTGCTCGGTTCTTGATGCAGTCAGTTGCCTTGAGCGATTCCATGCGAGTAGCCAACAATTATTATTGAGTATGTATAACTAAACTAGAACGAAAACGTATCATTGAGAAAACCAAGTGAGAATGCATATTCGGCTAAGCTCTCCTCCACAGTGTAGCTAGCCAGGAGATGGAAGTGGGATCCGTGATCAGGTCTACTATCTAGCTAGACATGAAGCTGATGCGTGCGGTACCGTCAATTGTATGGTTGTACTTGGACTCCTTCCCCGTCCCAGCTGCATCTTTCCCTTTGAACCTCCACAGACAAGGTTTCACTGATCTGCGATTTTCAGTGCTCAGCTGCCCTGCGGGCTTCTTTCAGAGGTCATTTTTGTCAATGCCGGTTGATGCCACCAAAAAACGCGATCCTACGGCATCCGCTCTCAACTTGCTCTCTCGAGGATCTTGTAAAGGTTTTCCTATTTCTTTGCTCTTGCATGGAAAGTTTTGAAGTCTACTGCCATTTGAGATTGCAAGCCTGAGCAGCGTTTCAAATCTACAGAGTGACGAGTCGAGTGACAGTCGAGTGAATCAGCTTCGTTGCCCACTCCAGCAGAAGCTCGAATCGAATAGAATCTGCCACCACTGAAGCCAGTGCAGTACTCGTCGCCCACTCTTCTCAAACATCGTTGTGGGTCTCGAGTCTACCCTTATTCGTTATCTTTGGGATACCCCACAATCCACTCTTCGAGCCACTTCGTCTATTCTCAAAAGCGCCCTAGCTAGTTAAACACCATGGATCCCTCTGCGCTAGCTGCTGCTGCCTTGCAGGCAAGGAACAGGATTGTAAAGAATCAAGGAGACGAAGTGATCACAACGAGTGACAAGTCAGGAGGCCCGAGAACTTCCTTTCAAAAGGCACCAAGTATCAACTTTAGTGTGCCCAAAACTGCCAAGCCGGAGAAGCCAGCCGATTGGAAAAAGCCAGATGTAAGTACTTGATTTGGGGCAAGGGTAGATTAGTAGATCCTTGGGTATTCTGGTGGATAATCACCGAGTCTTCTCGTCTTTTGTTGCTTTAGAAAAAATATGGAGGTAATGTCCCTGCGATGACAGAAGGTCCTGGTGGTTCTGGAGGTCCTGCTCCAGTCAGGCCTGATCTTTCCATGATTTGCGAGTCCGTCGTTTCCAAAGTCAAATCTCGCAAAGAACGAATCACTACTCCCGGCTACCACATGAAGGTACGCGACTCTTGTCCATTACCCTGTTGTCAGTACTTGCACCAGCAAAATGAGGAACCACAGCAAACCGTGATTATAAAGAAAGTTATTCGAAGGAGGCGCCCCAAACAGCAAGCACCTCCTCAGGAGCAAGCTCCAGGACAAGTGCCTTCTTTGGTGCAGTCCCCACCTCCATTGCTTAGTAGCCCGCCTGCACTGGCCGGTGGCCCTTCTTCCCAAGTTGAGCAGCAGGCGGCGGAGGTACAACGACGCCAGCAGGCCGAAGCCGCAAGACGACAACAGATTGAAGCCGAACGACGACGTCAGGCAGAATTGCAACGACAACAGATTGAAGCCGAGCGAAAGCGCCAAGAAGAATTACAAAGACAACAACAAGCAGCAGCCGAAGCAGAACGGCAACGCCAAGCAGCTGCCGCCGCCGAAGCAGAGCGTCAAGCTGCTGCCGCAGCCGCCCCAACCCAAAAGGTGGCCACCTTTCAGAATCTGGGAACCGATCCCGCCATGGCACAGGCCGAACTGTACTACGAATCGACGCGTTGGGGTCCCTTGGGCCACGGCAGTGCTCCCGTCACGGTAGGGACTTTTCCCGGTCATCGTTGGTTCATTGTAGCCAATGGATGCTATGCCAAGCTATTCACAGTCGGGGAAGAAGCTCAACAAACTTTTACATTCTAGCCATGCAGCCATGGTGCGGATTGTGCCCCATGATGTGTGCTTGGATTGTCCCGTTGGTTTTTTAGACCAAGGTAACAGTTTACGCTGTGGACAAAATATTGTCGGATTGAAATCATTCATGTTTGATTAGTTATGCGAGAGTTGGCAGGTTGTGTCCAACACTCAATTGTAGTTGCTAGAACCGTTGTAAGTGCCTAGCTAACCGATTTACTATAGGTTACAGTATCATATGGTATACTGTAGAGCCAAGCCAACAAACATCATAACTGACGGACTTCTTCGCGTTGTTCGTGGCGAGTAAAAACTGCGTTCTGACCGCCCGGGATCCCAGAGGACTTGCGTAACACAAGGAAAACTTGCTACATGTAGTTAACTACTAGATGGGAGTGGCTGCATGACCCTGGCGGATGAAAGAGCAGGCAGTGCTCGTGATGTTCTTCTTGCAGGAGATCAGCGTCAAAGATCCAGCAACTGCGATGCATAGTAAAATCTAGCTAGCTAGCTAACAGAAGACGACGCTCCCGACTCCCAAGCCAAAATCTACATATCAATAGCCAGCAATGACTCCTCTTTTGGCAACTTGTTGCTTCGTGCATTAGTCGATTATTCGTACCACAGAACATCCCCATTGCATCAAATCCCTTGGAGTACATGCAATACCTCCCTGATGCCTTTGGGATCCATCATCTATCTTTGGTACAGTTAGTTAATTGTTGCCGTCAACACCAATGCCGTTTTAGCAGTCTTTTGTCTCATTAGCCAGTGTTGTTTTCTTGCTTACAACCAGTATCAATTGCTTGCGCTCAGCTCCACTGTGGATTGTTCATATAAGAATGTTATGGAGGTATCCAGTCGAGTCAGTAACAGTTAATCTTGCTTTCTTCCAAACGCAATTTCATCCAATCCTTGTCCAGCTCGTTGGTAGGATCCTCCTCGTTCAATAAAGTTAGGGCATGGTCTGTATGCCTTGATGGGGATCCATGGTACAACAGCTCCAATTCCTCCAGCAATTCTAAATGATAACAATAAATGAATACGAGGTGAGATGAAATCCTTATCGGTACCGTACTGCACGGTACAGTAGCATTCTCATCATTTTTCTTTCCTATTTACTTAACTCACCTTCCACTTCCATCACACATGTCACAATTGGGACAGACAATATTGGGATCCACCGCGGCTGTTGTCTCTACGGGTTCCTGACTACTGTCCGCCTCGGAGGGTTCTGACATGAAGATCGGAACATGATGACTTTGTCTTGTTGCTGGATAGAGTGTTGCCTGAAACGCAGAGCACAGTGGAGCCACAAGAACTGTCAATGCTAGTAGAAGGTACAGAGGTGATTTCATGGTGTCACTAATAAACTAACTAATGGAATTGCTTTTCTTTTGTCGCTTGCTGATGAAGTTGGTTGGATGGATGAGATACCGTACCTGGTACCAGGTACTGTAGCTGAAGAGCCTCGTCTCGATGTCTCGATCCATGCATCGATCTTCAACCTGCTGCACGTCATTCCCGAGTTGTTAGCAGTCCTGACATTAGTCATGAATTGTTCGGGAAAGAACGCCAGACCACCCCGTAGCCAAATCTTTGTCCTCGCAGTGAAAGAGCACACGGTTGTCGTCATCGTGCAGCCGACCCAGGGAGCCGAGAGGCATCGGCACAAAAAGACCTTCAAAGGGCGAGCTCAGGTTGCGGTCTTCCATCACAGGTACTGTACCGTATTGGACATGCATTGTGCCGAGGCTGGGAAATAGAAGGGGTTATTATAGAACGAACAAAGCAAGACGTTCTCTCTCAGTTCATAACAGTAGAGCTCCAATTGCTACAACAATAGCTGGCTTGCCAATCGACGAAATTAACATTTCGCCCGTTTTTTATCATCGAATCCATTCTTTCTTCGATTGATTGATTGCTTAACTTGACCTCTGTCCAAGTTCCTCGCGAGGTTCTTGCTTTATGACATTTATTTCGTCTCGGCGTGACCAAGACCGAATTCCCATTCCATTGAAACGAACACCTCATCAAATGCCTCCCAACACGGTGAAGTCGTCTTCGGACCACGGTGGCGTCAAGGGCAACAACAACAGCAGCATGTCAAGCAACAACAAAAAGCCCGATGGCTACCAACGTGCCGCATCTACGGGCCACAGTCCGACGTCCGTTCAAAATCAACGCGTGGATCGATTTGGCTTTATTACCAATATCGACAACGCCACGGGCAAACTGTCGTCGAGCGACACGGCCAAGACACCCCCCGCTACTGAAGACATTGCCGAAGAAAACAAACGAGTCGAACGCCGCGAAAAGAAATGGAACAACATGATGGCATCCTGGGACACGACCAATTCACGCCGTCATAAACTAGTCCTCAATCGGCTGCGAAAGGGTCTCCCCGATTCCATGAGAGGCAAAGTATGGCCACTCCTAGGAGGTGTCCCCAAGAAAATGAGGGAGGGCAGTAGTACCAAGGGAATCTACAAGGCACTACTCAAACAGTGTGAACAAGACAACCAACATGCGCTCGATCACATGCCACCCGAAGGACCCAACACGAGCATGTCACAGGGACTCATGGTACGATCCAATTCCTTTCAGAATATTCAAGAAACCATTGAGCGGGATATTCATCGGACGTTTCCTCGGCATAGCTTGTTTTATGACGAAGAAAATCACAAGGACGATTTGCCAACTCCAAAAGCGCCCAAAAACAACACTGTCGCTGTGCTCAAGCCACCCCAAGAAGAAGACGAAGATGACTCCCAGCAAGGGCTTGGTGCGCTCTGCAATGAAGACTTGTCCACGTTGATTATGGAATTGGACTTTGTGGAAGACAAGAAAAGCAACAAGGGGGATTCATCATCATCCAAGTCATCCGCCAAAAACAAGAAGGACAAGGCCACGCCAACGAAACCAGCGGTGCCGCTCAAGGGTACTTGTGAATCCATTGTCGAAGCAAAAGGGGGGCAAGCAGCGCTCCGGCGTGTTCTCTGTGCCTACAGCTACTATGACCGTGATGTGGGATACTGTCAGGGAATGAACTTTATTGCCGGCATGTTCATTACCATTATGAGCGAAGAAGAAGCATTCTGGATGTTGGTTGGTACGTGCTATATCCAAACAGAAATGATTATGAAGTGCACTTTTTTGTTGCCTGATGTGTTGTTGTGGGGCTCACTCACCATTGCATTGTTGTGATTCCATTCTCTATTTTATTTTTTATTTGCAGCTGTCATGAACGACGATCCTTGTCGCATGAGGGGACTCTTTGGAAAGGGAATGGCAGAAACACACAAGGTCCTTTATGTCGCGGAAAAACTACTGCATCACTTTTTACCAAAGCTCGCAAAACATTTAGACAAGGAACATGTGCATGTCACCATGTACGCGACACAGTGGCTACTTACACAGTACACATCCAGTTTCAACTTTGATCTCGTTACGAGAGTTTGGGATTGTTTCCTCGTCGAAGGGTTCAAGACTATTTATCGTGTCATGCTCGCCATCTTGCAACAAATCCAGCCCATTCTACTCAAAAAGTCGTTTGAAGAAATTCTGGGATTCTTTCGAGATTTGCCCGATCAGGTAGAAGGCAATGAAATTATCGAAACGGCCATGAAAATTCCTCTCAAACGCAAACATATTGCCAAGTACGAAAACGAGTGGCTGGCCCAACAGCAACAACAACAAGACAACAACAACGATAGCTGAGGCGGAAAAAACAACAACGACAATTAACAACAACAAGACCCAGTGGCTGTTTATACCGTACCGTACACACCATTCGAACCATATGATGATTCGATTCGACAACACATCATGACATCTATGATTCATTCCATTCCATTCATCCGTAACACGTAGTAGGGGAACAACCAAGCAGTTCGTTTGCAGGAAAAACACATTCTAAAACAGAAAAACCGTCGTGTATTTATTTGATCACTCAATGCTACAGTTACTTGTCGGCTACATGTAGCTAGTGGATGACAGAAACTGTACACCTTGAATTCTATGGGGTTATTTTCTAGCATAGCGATTTGGAACATTTTTCGTACTATTACACCAGTACACCTTCATCCTCCGGAGAGGATTTGGTGGAAGCTGGGACCTGTCTTGGGGCTGCTTCCTCGACAGCATCGGCAATGGGCTCGAGCATATTTTTGGCTTCCTCCTCAATTAGGAGTAAGAGCGTCCTGCTGTTGCTCTTGGCTGTTGACGCGGCCTTCTTGTCAGTGGTTCTTTCAACCGCAAATGGTCGAAGCGTTTCAGCGGCGGAATGAAGTAAGCTCAACGCCCTCATTCGTCCTCGTTCACTCTTGTGCTGCTCAACTGAATAACGAGCCATCGCCCAAAGGCACAGAGCCATCAACTCTTTTCTTCGTTCAAGAGAATTAACGGATCTCTTCGTGCGGAAGACCCTGTCAATGGACCCAGGCATGGCAAATGATACTGTAGATATTGCCTGCTGCTCCTGGTTGTCATTGTCGTCAGTGGGAGCGCTTGCATAGTTCGAGCCAGAAGAGCTCACATCCTCACGACCAAAAGCAGACACTATTGAGGACAAGATGTGAAGCGCCTTGCCTCGCTGACCCAAATCGCGAAGGCACCTGGTCATCCCAAGGGCTGCAGTCACTACAGATTCATCGATCAGCTTTCTCTTGTTCGAAAGAAGACCCTTGAAACATGCTTCATAATGCTTGAAAGCGGCCTTCCAAAACGAAGAGCTGGTTCTCGATTTGTTCTTGGTTCCAAGCCCCAGCTCTTTTTCTCTTGCAGCAACGCAATTGGCCAACACTGAATATGCATGGCCCTGAAAGAAATGACTGGAATTCGAAATGTCATTGGGCTCATTCTTGTCTCCATCAACACCCACGAGCTGCAGCAGTTGGCTTCTCGAAAGTTGCTCTTCAAACGACTTGACAAACGCCTCGAGCATGGACACTGCATCAGAGTCGGCAGGCTCACACAGAATTACATCCACATGGTTCTCTCTCTCCGTTCCTGTACCATCGGGCGATTGGAATGCCGAGGAAATCGACTGTTCCTGTTCAGCCAGGTAGAAGGCAAGTCTGGCAGCTGCCTCTTCAAATACTTGGAGACTTGTGGTCGGCTGCCTTGCCTTCCTGGCTGCACCCGCCAAATGAATCAGGCTGGTTAGCGTCAGAGGGTGATAAAGCGGCAAGTGCTGGTCACACCTGGTGACTTGAGCACGCAACACATCCATAGCAAAGTACCAGTCTCCCGCAGAGGCAAAAGCATAGGCCAGCTCTTTCAGAGCGTAAAATGGAGAGCTAGCAATTCTTCCAAAGGAATTGCTAGCTCCGTATTCTAGCCATCCTATCATTCCGTGAGCTGTACCTTGGTTGGATACTGCAAGACACCGAAGCAAACAATCCTTGGAAACTGAAAGACTGGCCTTCAATCGAACACGCTGGACCGAGCTGCTTTGCTCATCCTCCTCTTTTCGGTCTACCTTCGTCTCGCCTTTCTGTGTCGGGGCTGTTGACTTGGCTTCCCCCCCCAAAGGCCATTCGACAGAATCGATAAATACCTGCTTCCACAATTCGTTGTCTCGTGCAAGTCGACCAGTTTCCATCATTAGCAGCAGATGGAAGCAAAAGAGCGTAGGAACATCACGGGGCTCGCGTTCAGTTTCCTCGATTGCATATGCCATGACAGCATCAATGCACTGAGTCCTTGTGTACTTGCTGGCAGTCACTCGCAGATCCTTCAAATACTGGATTGTGCTCTCGCTGTCTAGGAGAACAATTGAATCCTCATCTGTTGGGTCCTTGTCGCCGGCCTTCGCACTAGACTGCCTCTCGGACTCGCCAGCATCGTTTGTATTGCTTGGGCCCTCGGCCGCATTGGCTGGATCCTGATTTGAGGCTGCTTCGTCAGATTTGGCTCTATTGTTGTTGGGCGCAAGTGCTGCTGTTTCACGTTCCGGGTTCCCATCTTTCTCCTCTGTGTTGTTGGAGTTTGCGTCTTTGCTTTTATCTGCAGGATCCACTGCTTTGACGTCGACTTCAGCAGAAGAAGCAGGGCGATTTGATTCGCCGCCCTCCTCGCCCTTGGTACTGTCGATGGCAGGATTGTTGCTTCCTTTTGCTGGATCCGCCGCTTTGTTTCCAGGTGATGAGTCGTTGTTGTCGTTTTCGTCCTTGCTGATGTCTGCAACGGGTCTGGCGGAAGTTTTTGCGGACGCAGCTGGTGCCTCTTGCCGCGGTTCTTTCTTGTCAGCAGAGTCTGCGGACACCCCTTTCTGTTTTGCACTAGCCTTCGCCTCTTCCGAAGACGATTCAAACGAGGCTCTGCAGGCGTCGTCCACATCCAAAATCTCACTGTGGAGGGTATACCCCTCGTATCCCAGGACATCGAAAACTGCAAACAGCTGCAATTGAATCTCTGAAAGAGAAGAACAGCAAACCAACCACATGTTAGTGCACATAGCGTCATACACTTCCAAATCCTTGTTTCATCGTACCTGCAAGGAACTGGCCATCCACACGAACGTTCACTAGGATATGCCTGTAGCCAGTTGGAAGGTTCGAGGGGAAGAGTTCCCCTGAAGCGTTTGTGTTGAACAAATTCTTCACACGAACAATATCAAAAGAGGGGCTGCTGCTGTCTCTATCATGCTTGCATGCAGCGAAAAGGTGCAGCAAGCTGGCAACCAGCGAACCTTCCTCTTCAAACGTGATCTGGGCCCGTAGGATGTCCTTTACTTGAAGCATGTCTCCGCCGTACTTGCGTTTAGCCTTCTTTTCGATTGCATCAAGCTCCTTGATTCCAACAGAATAGGACGGTTCAGGTTCCAAGTCCTCGTCGTCTAATGTTTGATTCTTTGCGGCAAATTTCGCCGTGTCTGCCACTAGACCGGAGAACATTTTCAAGTTCATCCTTGCGATATGTCGCAATGATTGTGCCGTGACGGCAGCCCCGGGCTTTCTCTGCCAAATGTGGGCAAGCTTCGCATCGCGTTGTCCTGGTTCAACGACAAAAACAGCCGAAGATCCAAGTACCCCCAGAAACCTACCCAACGTGTTCATTTCACCGTCTGCAAGATGGAGCATGAGCCCGTTCAAATTCTTCGTATCCGGCAAGATTCTACCATAGTGATGGCTTTTCCTCAATGCTTCAATCAACCCTAACGTTTTCTTGGAAAACCCCGTTGACAGTGTGCTTTCTTCGAAATCGGAAGGCTCGTCGTCGTCGCTGTCGTCATCGTTGTTTCGCCTGAAATGGGACGAAGTGGGTCGTTCCTGTATCGCCTTCAAGAGCGAATGGTGTTTCCACTTTGAGACGATCTGGCGCCATCGCACCGTCGCAAGATATTGCAAAGGCTTTGATTTGACGGTCGTCTTGATCTCCTTGAATATTTCCGACTTTGCCAGTGTCGTGCAAGCCACCAAGGCTAGGTCAGGCAAAACCCCGTCAACCCCGGATGATTCGTCAATGTCGGGATGAAGTTCAGACTGAGATGCACTGCTCGGGCCTGTCTGTCTCGTCTCTCCGGTGAGTGAAAGGAGATCATTGACGCTGAGTGAATGCCTGATGCTTGTTCCATAGATGTCGCTGTTGCTCATATCATGCATGAAGGAAAGTTGACTAACAGAATCCTCATGAAACAATCGCTTCGACCCCTTTCGGTTCATTGCTGAAGCCCGGCGTCGATTCTTTCTCCTTCTGGAAGAGTAGAGCGAACCTCGCTTCGAAGCGGAAAACGAAGTGTTTGCAACACTGGCGAGGGGGTTCAGAGTCCAACTGAACGAATTCTGTGGGCTATTCATTTCCCTTGCTCGCTTACTCCCATTGTGAATAACCTCGTTTGCATTGTCGCTGAATTGACTCCCCGGAAGTGACATGAATCCTGCCTGCGATATCGAGTCTCCGTCTTCGGGATCCAGGTCTACGCTCTTCGCCGACCTGACCGCTTCAAATTGGTTTTCGTCTGATTGCCGTTGGCGCTTTTTTGCCGCTGCTGGTCGTTCTTCGTCTGACGGTGACGGCGCAACATCTGATTGTGACGGCAGCGGAAGCACCCCTGAGGCTTGCAAGGACAAATCCGAAGAATCCTTTGATACAAACGGTTTTAGTGGCAACAAGGGGATCGAAGCTGTGGGTTGTTCCTGGGCCTTATTGATACTTTCCCACATTGATGGATCACCTTCGTCTGACACATCAGTCTTGTCTTGCCCTGTTTCCTCCTGTTCTAACCTCTCCCCATGCGTGGAATCACCCATCAAGTCAATCCGCTCATTTTCGTCCGGGTGCTCGACATGGGTTTCCATGGCAGGAAGGCCAATGCCCTCTGCACTATCATCATATCCGGTAATCTGAGCTTCTATTCCAAATTGTTCTTCTCCTGAAATTTGAGTACCAGGAGCATCCATTGGAAGGGGTGAGACGACGTCAAACGAAATCTGCCCCTTGTTGTTCGAGGGCTGTCGGTTAGCCGACTGGACATTGATCGATGTAGGTGTTTCAGCGGTTGCAGATTGAACAACGTTTGTTTCCTTTCTGGTGGACACCATATCCCAATAGGTAACACCCTTGGGGAGTTCAGAGAAACCTTTTTCGGTTGAGCCAGTAGTCGACACTGAATCGTCCTCCGATGAAGACGACGAGGAAGAAGAAGACCCGGACAGAGCAGCCGGAGACGCGGGTGTTGATATTGAAGACCGCGCACTGTGGTCCTCGAGTTCGTTGGCGACTACACTCTCCTTCCCACTAACATTGTCTAATTGCCCTCCATCAATCCTGACGGCATGAAGCTTTTCAGTCGCCAACTGCCAGACGAGAGCTGGATTTTCCAGGACACTTCTTGGTGTGTTCCCATCACTTCCTTTGGCCGTCGTCGTTGCCAGCCCAGATGCCTTTCTGGACAAATCATTGGTGATCGAAGCATTGACAATTCCTTTGTCAACTCTCGCTGAGGTTGTTGGCCTTCGATTGCCTTGCGATTCAAGATGAGCCTGCCTTTCCGAAGTCGAAGAAACCACGAACAAGCTCTTGTTGCGTGCCATTGGCTGCTGCTCCACTGCGCCAGCTCTGAAAACTTTCCGACTGCCTGCGCGACCATGAAGAGAATCTTTAGCGACATCCTCGCAAACGAGAAGAACTTCCTCCTCCTCTTCTTCATCTTGTCCGCGAAGTCCAACCGTACCCCTCACATCGTCTGCAATGGCCTTAGCTTCCTCTAAAGCGGGCAGAGTTGCCGTTGCGATTGTTGAGGCCGTTTCTTTTGTCAAATCTCCGAATCTCCTTAACGAAGTTTCCAATGGGTCCGATGCCGAAGCTTTTCGAGCCTTCTGCCGCGAAGAATGGTTCTTCCAATTTTCAGCCCCAACCGTCGCGGCTTTCAGGATCGGATCCTCGTAGCGCGTTGCCTGCTTGGCATCGAACCTTTCTCGAAGCTGTTCTGAAGGAAGCGACTTAACGTCGCCTGAAGTACTGCTATCTCGTGGATTGCCGCGATGGGGAGTGACCTTTAGAAAGCTTGAAACGTCGTTTCGGTATTGATCGAGATCTGTCGGACTCGACAACGCAAGCTTCGAAGGGACCTTTCTGGTATCAATTTCATCCTGTGAGAGAGCAAGTGCAACAGGCCGAAGTGTTGAGTCTTGAAACTCGTCAATTGGTTCGTCTTTGAACCCCAAGTTGCTGGCGCTTTGGGACATCAGAGAATCATCTTGGAGAAACGCCACGATACTCCTCCTTTCGGATCTACGGCGAACAAGTTCACGCCGGCAGGAACTAATGATTCCGCCGGCAGCCGTCGCCGAGGATGATACAACGTGTCCGGCCTCTGCGAGCGCTGGTGCCGTCACCTCCGATACTGTAGCAGCTGTTGACGACAAGGCAGGTGTCGTTGCTCCAGATAAAGTCGCCGCAGTGGATGAAGTGACCGACATGAGGCGCGCGAAGGAGGACTTGATATCCTCAAATTCATTAAAGACGTCACTTATAGAGACTCTTCGCCTTCCCGCTGATGAAGGTTTGCCACTGCTGAGGTTTGGCTGCGCATCCAGTTGCCTTGAGTCGTCAGAATTTTCCCTCCTTAAGGCAGCCTTAGCTTCGTCTCGAGGAGCGCTATCATCGATGCTTGAAATCGAAGGTTCGCGTCCAAACACATGCGCTGCGGAGTCGGTGCCGTCCGCGCCGTGATCTTTGGAGGAGGCGCCTTCTGCAGCGTTGTCATCTGTTGCTGTGATTTGTTCCTCATGGTTTTGTTCCGTCTTCGCCTCTCCCTGACTCTGGTCGGCGAGCGCACCATTCAATGCCGCTAAAGCAATTCCATTACGACTGTCAGGTTCCCCGACGGGGCTGCCTTTGTCAGAATCGTTACCGGTTTCTTCTGCTGACGTATCAACCATCAGCTGTTCGTATACTTGAGCTAACTCCAACTGCAAGCTGTCCGTTTCTCTAGTTTTGACCGAATCCTTGCCACCAGCCGACGCCGGTACGGGCTGAGGGGAAACAAAATCGGAATCCACATCTCGAACTTCACTGTGACGGTCTGATGTGTTTGTGCCCTCAGCTTCATGGTGATTGTCAGGCGCCTTGCAAGTAGCTGGGTACGCGTCGATTGATTCTGCGGTGGTCGAATCCTTCTCCCTCGGACCGTGTAGAAGCGCATCACCTGTCACAACTGTTCCAAGCTGCGTTACCAAGGTCACATCATCGAGCAGATCGGACATACTCTCACTTTGAATATCATTGCGATCATTCACTACGTGCGCATTCTTTAGTAGGGGGTCATGAGCTTCTTCGGCTACAGCTCGTGCAGTCAACACGGGATCATCTACTGCAGACAGATTCGCAGACAGATTTGTTTCTCGATGCAATGGTTTTGCGTTCTCAGGTGCAGAGCCTTCTTGAGAAGTAACCGAATCTGCTATTGGCATGGAAGCGACTTTCGACAAATCTTCTGATGATGGATCATTTGTTTCTTTCGGCTTTTGTTCCTGGGCAGCCTCTTCAGAGTCATTTTTTTGCTCGTCAATTTCTCCAGCCATAGTTGTTTTGGCGTTTTCTTCTCCCATTGCGCTCTCAAATGAACGACTCGATGGCGCGACTACCGTCGAATAAGTGTGAACAATCTGCTCCTTCATGCTCAGAGTATCAGGGCCGTTTTCGCACGTCTCCATTTCTGCGTCAACAAAGCCACGGTCGAGTTGGCCTGTTGCTTCTGTCGAACCCAACCCAGCTTCAGAGTTTTCTTCAAGCCCGCTGTTGGCCGTCTCAAAGGTTTCTGTTGTTGCGAGTGCAATGTCGTCGTTGCTGTTACCTTCCGGATCGTCTTGCACATCAGCCTTAACTGGTGCATGGGCTTCTGATGGAAAGTTGTTAACGTTGCCTTTCGTATCACTCTCAGTGTCCAACGACAAACGACGTTCCGGGGGCGTATCCTGTTTGTCCAGCCGCAGATTATCGTCAATTGTTGCAGTGTGGTTTGTGGATGCCACTGTACCGGTAGCCCCGACGTAATCGCCGACGCCATTCCCAAGTTCAGAATCGCCAACATCATTCACTTCCATAGGCAGTGGGGGGTTGGTTTGACTTTCAGTCGAGCTGACAAGTGGCATGGCATGGGAACTGCCACCGGCCGATTGCTGTTGATTGTCAGTAGCGGGGACAACATCATTTTGAACTTTGCCATCGCCGCCTGATTCAGATTCTCTGTATCCCTCTTGGTTGCTTATTGGGGCTTCCTCTTTCGAAGGCTGCTGTGGATTGGTGGGGGCTTCCGGTTGATCCAGCCTTTCTTCGAACTGAGCCGGCTTTGCCTTTTCTTCGAAAGGCGGCCCCGATGGCGCAGAAGGAGAAGAAGAACCGCCATCTTGCATTGATGTAATAATGTTGTCCTCCTTTTCACTTGTCTCACAATGGTCACTAGGTTTGCTCTCGACATCCTCCGTGTTGAGTTCAGAGTCTTGTTCGGCATCTATTCTTGCGGTTGATGCATCTTCAGCAGAGTCAAACCGGCGTATTGCTGTTCCTTCAGTAGGAGCAAGATCATTTCCTGTCATCGGGGTTTTCGGTTCCTCCTGACAGCTCGTCTCGCCAACATCAGCGTGATTTGTTTCACTCCTGTCGCCGCTTCGAAGGGGATTCTCTTCCACTGGCGATGGCTTTAATGGAACCGCAGAATCCGACTCTTGTTGATGAGATGCATCACCATCAGCAATGCCGTCGCCAGCATCTGGGAGGACATCGTTCACTTCCCTTGGTGGTGATATTGGAACAGCACTTGGCATATAATCTCCCTCTTGCATTGTTGAACTTGCCTCCTGGTCATCAGTTGTGCTGCGAGCAGCATCTATGTGGATGCTGCTCTGTTCTATTGGCGGCGTTAATGGAGCAGCAGTATTCGACGGAGAAGCGCTCCCTTGAATTGCTGCAGTTGACCCTTCCTGATGACAATTGTTCTCATTATTCTCAATGTCCTCAGCGTTGCTTCCAGCCTCTGGCAATGTAGGCTCTTCCGTTTTTGGTATCGAAGCATCAGAATCTTCCTGTTGTATTGACGTCTTGGTAGTGTCATCAAGTTTGTTGTCGTTATCCCCATCACTACCAATTATCGGTTCACTAGTATCACCATCGCCTTCCTTGTCAGAAGCAGACGATCTCTTCATTTTCGCACGCTCTTCTTCTGGTGTTGCGTTGTCTGGCGATGGATCAGTATTAGCGCTAACCACAGCTGGCGCATTGGAACCTTCCATCGCCCACCAATCCTTTCCTACTTCGCCTCTGTCTTGATCTGGTTGCCACCAATGTTCCCTCTCAGGTTCATCCATTTCATCACTGGGACCCAAAGGAATAGTTCTGTCTGGGCTAACTGGATGGCTTCGGTACATGGAGGCAGTGCCAATCTCTGATGGTGATGATGATTTTAGAGGCTCCAAAGACTTCAAGCTATCACTCGAAACTGCCATCCCACTTGGATCGTGATTTTGTTGTTTGTCCAGAAGCGGTGTATTGGCAACTCCCATCAATTGTCGTTCTTGTGGTTGTGCATAACCCAATTGTTCCCCTTGGAGTCCATCTTTGGGAAGAGCAGCAGCTGGTGGATGCTGTGTCTGTTGACTCTCTTCTGCTGGTGGCTGACCTTCAGGAGTAATTTCGGATAACCTTTCCTCCTGTTCCCCCAATTCTTGCTGCAATCTGTTGGAAGTTTGTTGCTTTTTTGCCTCCTCTTCCTCCGCCAATATCACGGCCAGTTCGGCCAGGAACTTCTGGTCAGCTGTAGGTGCTCCATTCCCCTGACTGGCGGCAGCTTCTGGGGGTGGATCTGCCTCTGAGGATCCCTGTGGCCCCTTATTCTTCTTGCCGCCCTTATTTTTCTTGTTCTTTCCCCTGAGGCGTCGCATTGTTTGTGCCCTTTTAACAGATTCGACTCGAGCCAAATAAATGGAGGGTTGGGGTATCAGGAATAAGGGTATCCAAGACACTTGGTCTAGCTAGTTCTTTGTCGTCAGCACCTTTCCAAACCAGATTTTCTCGACATCCTAATGAAAAGGTAAGGTGGTTGGTAGATGGGACAATGAATTAATTAATACGGAGGCAGAGAGAGTAGATCACCAATACAAACCAAACCACCACATGTCATCGACAATAAAGAGTGCACTTTTGTGGGAGACAGCGGGTGAAGTGGAGTTGACGAGCAGAAAGCGTTTGTTGCAAGCAGACAAGGGTTAGAGATGAATTAATTAATGAAGGGGTATTACACCCCCAAATTCTGTCCCCCATTAGTTAGAACGGAGTTCGCTTCAGGCAAAAAATGAGGCAACCTCCAACCTCCAAGAAAGATCCGAGTTGAATTTCAATTGAAACCTTTGAAGCAAGCTACTATGGACCACACTTAGCTAGAAAGAGCTAGTAATCCTCGGTTTCTCCCCTCTATCAAGATTGATGGATAGATGCTCTTTGTTTTTAGAGTTGTTCAAAAGTATTATCCAAGAAGATGATATCCACTCGACACTGTCGAACCTTGACCTCTAGAATCTTGCGAGTGTCCCACCGAACCTATCACGAGCTTTCGTTCCTGCAAACGGGGGATCCCAGTGAGGTTCTTCAGCATTACTCCAGTGAAAACCAAACGCACCAGGAAGAGCCAGACCAAAAGGAAGGAGACTTTGTACGGGTCCACATGCTGGCAGCACCGTGGAATCCCGCTGACATGAATGTAATTCAAGGAAAGTACCCTTCACCCGTCAAGAATCCACCTGCGCAGCCACCCAGTTGGCAAGGTCCAGGGTGGCGTGTGGCAGGATCCGAAGGATGGGGTCGTGTCATGGAAAGCAGCACAAACTGCAACATTGATCCAGGAACGCTGGTAACCTTGGGCCAATCTGGAATGGGAACCTTCCGGTCCTCTCTTTGGCTTCCCACGCAAGCTGTGATCCCTGTGGACCGAGGAGAAGAACTCGAAGACACGCTGGGATCTGCCATGGCATCTTCCATTTTTCAATTGGGAGGGACAGCTCTTCGAATGCTGCAAGATTTTGAAAGTCTCGGTGGTCACTCGGGAGTGGTGGTTCAAAATGCTGGAAACTCAGCCGTGGGATGGATGGTCAGTCAGTTGGCGGCAACTCAAAATGTCAAAGTCGTTAGTTTGGTGCGACGGGGTTCCAAAACAGAAGACGAATATAACGAAATGGTGGACGCTTTGACGCAGCAATCTACCAATACCACTCGTGTCATTGCGCAAGACGATTTGCTCAATGATAAAGGGGCTCTCAAGGCATTGCAAGCAGAGCTGGGAACGCAAGCGCCCCGTTTAGCTATAAATGCTACAGGTGGCGACAGTGCCACCTTGTTGCTCAAGTTGTTAGCCCCAGGAGGGACCATGGTAACCTACGGTGGCTTATCCATGCAACCAGTCACAGTGGCAACACCAATGCTCATTTTTAAAGATGTCAAGGTGAGAGGTTATTGGCACAGTCGATGGATGCTGCAATCATTTCCCCAGCAACGAAAGAAAATGGTGGATGAGTTGGCAGGTCTTGTACTGGATAAGGGAGTACAATGCCCACCCATTGAGATCTTCTCTCTTGACAGATTCCAGGATGCCTTCCAGTTTGAAACAGAACAATCCGCACAAGCCGTGAGGAGAAAGGTTGTGTTTGATTGCCAAGAAGAAGCGCAGTGAACCTGCCATATGGGCTGAGTCGAGTCGAGTCGAGTCGAGTCTGCCATGTTGGAGACCTACAAAACTACTTCTACCGTATTGGCCCTGCCCTCAAGCTGACTTAAATAAATTGGCGCGCACACATACAGTTTCCTGTGCCCTTGGACTAGAATTGATTTCTGCCACCTCCATATCATGGGTTTGGTCTCGTTGAACGCGTCAACTTGCCACAAGTCTACAAGTGCTGCAACAAGGGGTCTAGTATCACTTGGTACTAGAAATGAACTTAGAGGTAACGCACCGAACTCAATAGTTCCAAACTACTGAAGCGTCATAGTTGGCGTTTCAAAGGCTTGCCTTCGCTTCTGGTTTATAGAACAAGCAGGAAGCTGCATCAAATGTATTCTTTGGAGGCATGCTCAACTCTTTGCTGTATTCCACCGCAGGCTGATCGTTCCTTTCGAAAACACAGATATGCATTTCGCAATGGACCGAATGCAGCAAAGGTTGAATGGTTGGAAAGCACATTTCGTCCTGGAATCTAGGGTCTCCACAGAAGTGAAGATCTTTCATGACCTGTCCGTGGAAAAACAAGGCACAGTTAGTCTCACGTTGGATACTGAACGACGTTATTGTAAGCATCGACACAGTGGAAGCAATCTCACCTGTGGTAGAACGTGAGTTCTAAAATTATTAGCCTCTGCAATGGGCTGAATATCCTCCACAATCAGCACGCCACCGGGTTCAATGCGTGGGAACCAAAAGAACAGACTTGTTGCCATGTGCTGTGCCAAATGAGCTCCATCATCAATCACCACCTTTAGCGGTGGAGCATCGGGTCGTTTCATTTGCGTAGTCCAAATATTGTGAAGAAAGTCATAGTCACTGGCGTCTCCACAATGCAACTGCTTGGTATCCAAATAGTGCTGATAGTTTGGATTCTTGGACGCAAAGTTCCCCCATGGCCATTTTCCCTCTGCCCTGGGACCAGGTTCGATACAGGCAATCTCCATACTGTGTGTTTCAGCTCTTGGCAAGAACTTTTTATAAGCGTCAAAACCGCGTCCATTGTAAAATCCTACTTCCAAGAACTGGAAGGGTTCAGCATTGTCGGTGGAATACTCTCCCAGCCAACGATTATATAGAGTATGATAGAAATGGCCGGCACCTGTCCGACACTTGGGAGCGATCATGTCTGGGCGAACACATTTCGAATTGTCTTGAAGGCACTCTTTGAGTCGTCGTGGTCCCCAAACTTTGTCCGTCCCTGTGCTGCTTGCAACTTCGTAGAAATCCCGCCGTTCGGCATTGGCGGCGCTGAGTTGATCGGCTGTGTCAGTAGTCAAGAGCGAATTCTGATCGTTAGCATGTGAAGTTGATCGGATCGATGGTGTCGTTGTCGTCGATGTCATGCGAGAAGACCCCTGTGCTTGGAGGAGGAACCCTAGATCTTGGTTGTTGCCTCCCCGCTGGAAGAAGAGCCCAATGCCACCGAGGATAAGTGCACTGACAATGAGAGCATTCTTCCAGGAGTAGCACTCCGAAATTGAACCTAAAGAGCGGCGTCTCATGATGATCATTTTGACTCTTCAGAACGATGATTGAAGGCTCCTGGGGAGAAAAAATGAGAGTGATTTGATGGCTCCAACGAAATTTTTGTCCGTGTTGAGCGAGCAGTTGAGCACTATTTTGCTCTCGAGGATCCCGCACGCCGGCGTCGTTCTAGAAAACAACCTGTAGAGCTGTAATCGCAACCATGCAAACCCCAGGCACCTGATACTCGGTCTAAGGTACCGGTACCGGTACAACTGCAACCAACCACTGCAACCAACCACTGAAAAGCCCAGTTCCACCTAACTAATCTACCAATCAATACCGTAGTAACAGGCTGACAGGGGAACAGCAAAGTGGAAACGAGGACTATTAATACCTGGGACATGTAGGGCTTGAATCAGAACAATGCTCTTTCTATCAGCCACTCATTCTCAAATTTTGAATTCCAGACAAAGTGATTACTAGTATCCTTTCTTGTGGCCAAGTGTCCAAGCCAACTAAAATGGCTATTGATACTACATCGTACCAGTACAGCTACATGTATTAAATATTTGTTAACATTGGAAGCTAGCCACCAGGAAGCTCTGTAGTACGATACCGTACAGCGTACGGTACCGTATCGGTAGACCCGGTGGAACTTTGTTCTCTACGTACCGGTAGGGGTTAATTCACAGCGTCAGCTGGCTTATTGCTTGGAGGCGCCAATGCACGGTTCGAAGCCAGAAGCCGAAGCCAACACAACCTCCATTTTCTGGATGCTCGAAAGGAATTAGACTAGTTGGTGCCGACACATTGACGCTGTTGTTGCTGCAGAGAAGGCGTTTGAAATCAGACGTCTCAGGTACATCCTCTCTGCCGCCAAGTTCCACTGTTGAAGTGGCTCATCGTTTTAGCGCTGACGTTCGTTGTCATTGTTCTTTGTCATTTATTCATTTTTCGTCATTGGCCACAGGAAGATGGACATCCATAAAGCGGATATTGGCGACTACAAGCCGGGTTCCGTCACCCATGTGAAATTGAAAAACTTCCTTACTTACACTCATGTGGAGTTCTCTCCTGGTGCAAGGTAAGGACGCGACGACACAGGGCTTTTGATCTGGACGCAGTGTGTTAGTTAACAGCAAAACCTGAGATAAATGAAATGGACAATGAGGATGAAACGGCCGAAAGGATTCTCTCTCACACGCGTTGTTTTGTAATGTCGTGATCTTCCATTTGGATTGCCTGGGACACAGGCTCAACATGGTCATTGTGAGTACCAGTAGAAGGCGCAAGAAATGGATTTTTCGTTTTCCACGGCCGCATCAGCCTCATCCGTAAATGTTTGCCATTCTCTTCTCGTTCTGCCTACTTTCATCTATCCAACTGCTATCATACTACTAGGGAGCCAATGGAACGGGAAAATCAACCATTCTCTGTGCGCTTTGTCTGGGTCTGGGAGGTGAACCCAAGTTGCTGGGCCGTGCCGATGATGTCCGCTCCTTTATCATGCATGAAAAGAAGGTGGCTACCATTGAACTCACGTTGGCTCCACTACCAGGAAAGCCGGTCCACGTCTTGAAGCGAAAGATTGACCGCGAAAAAGGAAGCGAACGGGGTAATGGAAGAGGATCATCCACCTTTTACATTAATGATCAAAAGTGCAAGCTCAGGTGCGTGACGTGTCACAAAGATAACATCTGGATGGCAGCATTCCGCTCACACATCTATCTCTTCATCTCCTCAGTGATGTGCAGGAACTGGTCAAAGGGACCTACAAAGTCATGGTCGAAAATCTATTGAGCTTTTTGCCGCAGGACAAGGTTGGCAGCTTTAGTGGTTTTGGCCCCAAGGAACTCCTGGAAGAAACCGAAAAGGTCCTGGCGGGAGAGTGAGTGAAACAACCAGCAAATTGCAATACTGTACATCCATGCTAGCAACACTCTCTCACACGTCTCGCAATCTACGCTTTCTTGTAATATAGCCAAAGGATTTACAAGGAGCACGTGAGGTAAGCAACACTATTGAGGGATCTACGCTACTCGCCTAAGGTCTTTAGCTGACCCGTTGCCATTTTGCAGCCTTATCGAAGCAGAGCAGGAATTGAGCTCCGGGGACCACAATGTTGGGACCATTCAAGCCAAGCTCGAAAAACTCATGGCCGAAAGGCAGCGATTTGAGCGTGAAAAGGAGCGAATGGAAGGTAAGTGTTGAGGCGTCACGGCCATTACAACGCTACCGCGATGATAGCATGCCCCTAACATGTCCCTTTTTAAAACATCCCCAGAGCGCGAACAAGCCGTTCAACAAGTAGACCTCCTCAAAAAGAGTCTTCTCTGGAAACAATACAACAAGCTGCAAGGGGAAGTCATCGACTTGAAAAAGGAGAAGAACCAGGCCAAGCAGGACTTCAAAGAAGCCAGAGAGGAGCTGCAGCCATTGGAGGAGGAAGCACAGGAATATGATGCCCGCAAAGCCGAAATCGAGGCCAATATTAAGAAGCTAGACCAGCAATCCAAGCGCTACCAGCAAGAAATGAACAAGAGCGAACAAAAGCACGAGAACTTTGACGATGCCATTGAAAATATCATGACTGAGCTCCGGATGGTTGAAGCGGAGCGAGCCCGAAGAATTGCACAGAACGAGGCAGCAAAGAAAAAGGTCCAAGACATTGAAGGGCACTTGTCTGAGATTCGCTCACAACAAGATATTGAAAAGGAGTACACGGAAGCGACGCAAGAAAAGAGATCGGCACACCGAGTTGTGCAGAGTGCTCGACAGGAAGTGGGTCGCCTCCAGCGCGATTTCAATGAGTTGAGTTCAAAGAATGACAATCTCGCTGGTGAACTTGCCAGGTTGAACGACGAAAAAACACAACGTCGTGAACGCATCCATCACAAGAATCCGCAGGTTGGGAAGATTATGAAATGGCTGGACGAAAACCGCAAACTGTTTCGCCATGAGGTCTTTGGACCCGTTGCATACGAAGGTAAGAACATGATGTATGTGTTCATCATCTTGTGATATCATCCCTAACCATAGTGCTGCAGTCTCCTCAAACTCCAAGAACGCGGCTGCCTTTCTGGAGGCCCACATCCCGAGAAATCTGTTGTATTCATTTATTGTCAGCGACAAGGCCGATTACGATCTTCTCTTTGCAAAAGTACGCGGAGAACTGAAGTTGCCAATCAGCATCAATCTTGTCAGAGGTGAGCGGGAGCTGAAACGTCCGTATGGAGATGCCAAGTATGAGAAGCTGAAGAGTGACTATGGCGTGATTGGCTACCTCGACGAGTCCATTACCGCCCCCGAACCCGTCATGCAGGCGTTGCGAAGCTTTGCTCAAGTCCACAGAGTGCTGATTGGAGGGGAAGAGACTCAAAAAAGCCTGGACGAACGTGGGCTGCTCGACTTCCTTTCCGCTCCCGATAAGTCGCTCAATCAACATGGCAAGCAGCAGAGCTGCATTTTTGCTTGCTCGAGGAACAGGACCAAGAAGTATACACAGTCAGTTTCGCGCTACAGCAAGGACATTAGTAGCCGAATTGATGACGTTGATCAAGCTAGGGTGCTGGCCCCAGGTGTCGACCCACAAGTCAAGGCCGACCTCGAGGCCCAACTCAAAACAATCCACGATGAAATCAATGTGGTTCGCCCTGCCCTCCAGGACGCAGAAAAGAAGAAGCACGATGCAGAGCAGCACGGGCAGCAAGTTTCGATGCGTGCGCAAAAGGCGAAGGAGTCGAAGGAAATGCTAGCCAAGCTTCAACACAAACTAACCAACGCAGAAGCCAAGCTGAAGGCTACTGAAGAGGATCTGGAACAAGACGACGAAAACACCAAAAGAGAGCTCGCACAGAAGATGATGACGAAGGTCGCCGAAAGCATCACGGCATTGGAACACCATCAAAACGCCCATGAGAAACTTCTCCAAGCAACCTACGCGAGCGCTGGAGTTCGAATTAATCGGGATGCGGTTGCCTTCAAGTCCCGGAAGATCAAGTACGTGCGCAAAAGTAGATGATTGGGTCTGGTGTTTTCTTTTTGATCGTTCCCTAATTTTGTCTTTTCCTTGCTTCCACAGTGAGTTGTTGCTGCAGAAGAAAACTAACATCGACCAGCTTGAAAAGGATGCTCAGGAGAAACAAAATCTATTTCATGTGAAGAAGATTGAGTTGAAAAAACTGAAGGAGCATAATGACAAGGAAGCTCCACTGTATGACGAAGAGGGCAACCCAACGTCTTTGATGAACGAAATGGAAAAATTAGAAAACCTCGATTCCATTGAAGATGTTGAAGCTGCGATCGAAGATAAGCAGGCGATTGTGGACTCATATCACCACGATCCCAATGCCATCCGACAATACAAAAAGAACTTGGCTGATATCGAACAAGTGGAAGCTCAGCTGGAGCAGGTCATGGGCTCGAAAGAAGCGTTGGATCGGAAAATCCAAACGAAGCTCACCCCGTGGAAGGAAACACTGGAAAAGTCTTTGTCTCAAGCCAACACTCTGTTCTCCAACTACATGGAAGAAGTTGGTTGCACGGTAAGTGGACGTGCATTCTTAAATTGTTGCTGGAGCTGGATGTGGTCTCACATCAGCTATGATTTGTCTTGTCTTTCATTAGGGCGAGGTGCGACTCCGGAAGGGGGGCGAGTCTGGGAACGAAGATTGCGACTTCAAGAATTGGGGAGTCGAGATTCGTGTATCGTTCAGAGAGGGGGTAAAAGCCCAAGTCTTGTCGGCTCAGGTTCAGTACGTGATGCAGAGTTACTTTTGCTTTCACTTTTTACTCCCATTCTCTCACAAGTGAACGTCATCCTTTGCAGATCGGGCGGTGAACGTAGTGTTTCGACGATCATGTATCTCATGGCTCTGCAGGAAATGATGGTGACACCGTTTCGATGCGTTGACGAGATCAATCAGGTGAGCTCTCCTTTCATTTGCTCTTGTTTCTCGTGTATCCCTTCACAGCATGCCACTCACAAAGCGATTTCTTATGCATCTCCCATGCAGGGACTGGATGAGAAGAACGAGCGACTTGTTTTCAAGCGCATTGTTTTGAACTCGTGTCAGCCACCCAACTCGGACGACGCAACCGATCACTGTGGGCAGTACTTTTTGATCACGCCGAAGCTGCTTCCAAATCTCAAGGATATGGAACACCCAGCAGTCACTGTTCTGCTTGTCATGAACGGGCCCTTCAATTTTGCCTCGCCCACCGACTTCAATGTCGATGAACTCGTCAAGAAACGGCGCAACTATGCAGCAAACGATGAAGACGAGAATCAAGCGGATAGCAACAAGCAGCGCTCAGGACAGCGCAAAAAGAAGCGTCGCTCTAGCTAGTCTTGATATCACTACTTAGGAAGCTTACATAAAGTGTTGGCTATTGCAAGATGCTGAATACGGTGTCCTCTAGATGGAACCAGCATGCATTACCCTCACAATTCCTCTTCAGCTTTCGACAGTTGGTCCTTTGACTTCAGCCATTGAGGCAAAGTTGCTGTGTACCGGTATGGGAGCATCCACATCAGCGAACTGTGGGGTGGTCTTGGCAATGCCGGTACCTGGTACAACCCTTTAGAATGTATCGGTACCGGAGACTTGTGCTCCTACAAGAGATCATTATTGCCCTCAACTACCAGCTAGCAAGCTGAGGGCCTTTTGAACTTTGCCCTCAACTACCAGCTAGCAAGCTGAGGGCCTTTTGAACTTTATCTTGTGTGTGTGTGTGTGTGTGTGTCGCGTACATATGGTGCGGTTTCCCTAGTAAGATTAAGGCTATCAAAGCGAACACGTACATATGGTGCGGTTTCCCTAGTAAGATTAAAGCTATCAAAGCGACTTATTAGCCTTTACTTTAAGAAACATACAAAAAATGAAACCTTTGCATTTAGATAAATGCTAGTTGAGGGCACTAGCCTACGGCTGTCTGTTCTTATCTTGTGTGTGTGCGTGTGTGTGTGTGTGTGTGTGTGTGTCGCGTACATATGGTCCGGTTTCCCTTGCAAGGTTAAGGCTAGCGAGCAAACCAGATACATATGATGCGGTTTCCCTTTCAAGGTTAAGGCTAGCGATCAAACCAGATACATATATATGGTACGGTTTCCCTTGCAAGGTTAAGGCTAGCGAACCCTTCCTTGGCCTTTAGAAAAATGCAAGTTGAGGGCACTAGCCTCCGGCTGGCTGTCCTTTACAGTTCCTTTCAAGCTCTACAGTACGATGTACAGCTGACTTCCAAGTTCAGATGTGATGCAAACACGTCACTCATCACGGTGAAGATCGCGATCTTCGACAAGATCTTTCGGAAGACCCCACCCGTCACTTCGATCGTTGATCAAAGCCATCAAAGGTCTCTCTTTCCTCAAAGTGCTTATTGTCATCCCTCCCTACCACTAAGCTAGGATAGCCAATTCTTATTTGGTTGGACGAATAAGCGAGGATGACGAAAAGCTGGAACAAAATGGCTTGGATCCTGTTGATGCTGCTAGGATTGATTTCCCAAGGAGTGGCTTTTACGCCTCCGAATGGAAATCATCACGTCGGAAAGGCCAAGACGGATCTTGGAGTGTCAACCACAGTAGCTCCACCAGAAGTCGAAGTTCTATCGTCGATTCCAGTTACCAAGGACGGTGGAATGCTCTATCGATGCAAACATGCGTCCACGAGCACCCAAACCGACATGACCTTTGCAATTTTTCTTCCTTCGATCCATGCCATTGGAGTCAGCAAGGCTCCATTGCCCGCTATTTACTGGTTGTCGGGCTTGACTTGCACGGACGAAAACTTTAGTCAAAAGGCCGCCAACGCATTTGCCAAAGCCGACAAGGAAGGCGTGAGCATTATTCTACCCGACACCAGTCCCCGTGGCGATGGAGTTCCCGATGATGAGGCATCCGATCTTGGCATGGGAGCTGGGTTTTATCTGGATGCTACAAAAGAACCTTGGGCCGAGAATTTCAACATGTACTCGTATGTGACACAGGAGCTACCAGATTTGGTGGAAGAAAAGTGGGGAGTAGGAGCCAATGGAGTCAAGTCCATCATGGGACATTCTATGGGAGGACATGGAGCGTTGACCATTGCCATGAAAGAACCAGAAAAGGCATGGGTCAGTGTCAGTGCCTTTGCTCCCATTTCCAACCCAACCAAATGCCCATGGGGACAAAAAGCATTCCAGAATTACCTCGGTTCTGTCGAAGCTGGCGAGGCACATGATGCCACAGTTTTAGTTGGGCAAGAAGGGACCACCAAGTTTGACGACATCTTGATTGACGTGGGAACTGACGATGAATTTTTGACCAATCAGCTGATGGTGGAAAACTTGGAAACCGCAGCTGAACAAGCAGGACAAAAGTTGACAGTGCGACGGCAAAAGGGCTTTGGTCATTCCTATTACACAATGGCAACCTTTATTGAGGATCATATTGACTTCCACATGAGACGGCTTCGAAAGGCAGCTGGGGCACAGGCAATCAAAAAGATGGAGTCGACAGCGGTCAAAATTAACGTGGGTGATACCAAAGGCAAACCCATCAAATGCAAGGCCATGGTGGCAAGAGGTCCCAAACAGCCCTTGTCGTACGAAGAAATCACGGTGGATCCTCCACAAGCAGGTGAAGTCAGAGTCAAGGTGGTGGCCAACGCTCTTTGTCACACGGATATCTACACGTTGGATGGTCAAGATCCGGAGGGTCTCTTCCCTTGCATTCTGGGCCATGAGGCGGGTTGCATTGTCGAAAGCGTTGGACAAGGTGTAACAAGTGTAAAGGTGGGAGACAAAGTCATTCCGTGCTATACACCGCAATGCGCGCAACCAAGCTGCATTTTCTGCCAGTCGCCGAAAACCAATCTCTGCCCCGCCATTCGTAGCACGCAAGGACAGGGTGCGTTGTTGTAATTTTGGCTGGATGGGCCGGTCTTTCTTTGACACGATGTGATTGTGTTCCTGGTTGTGTTTGTTGGAGCTAACATGTATGTTCCTTTTCTGGCTGAAGGTGTTATGCCTGACAAGACGGTTCGCTTCAAGGATAGTAACGGTGAACCCATCTATCACTTCATGGGTGTGTCCTCGATGGCCGAGTAAGTTCTCATTTTCGTTGAAAGGTAGGCGTTCTTCGAGAGCGCTACTGCTACTGACTATCTGAGACCCGTGTGCATTGTTCTGTTCTAGGTATACTGTTCTTTCCGAGATATCTTGTGCAAAGGTTAGCTCCGAAGCGGACCTAGAAAAGGTTTGCCTCTTTGGTTGTGGTGTCGCGACTGGTCTGGGGGCTGTCTTGAACACATGCAAGGTGGAGCCAGACTCGTCCGTGGCCGTGTTTGGACTTGGTGCCGTGGTAAGCAGAGTGTCTGCGTGTGCATTCTTTGAAACTGTCCCCAGCTTCTGAGAAACGTTTCTACCTCTGTTGCAACAGGGATTGGCCGTGATCCAAGGGGCCAAAATTGCTGGAGCCTCCAAGATCATCGCTGTTGATCTGAACCCGAAAAAGTTCGAGGCTGCCATTAAGCTAGGAGCTACCGATTGTGTAAACCCCAAAGACATCGATAAACCTATTCAACAATACATCTCTGGAGACCTGACTCCTTGGGGCGTCGATTACACGTTTGATTGCACTGGTAATACCGAGGTAATGAGGGCTGCCTTGGAGTGCGCCCATCGAGGTTGGGGCACTAGCTGCGTCATTGGAGTGGCCGCATCTGGCCATGAGATTTCAACTCGTCCTTTTCAGTTGGTCACGGGAAGACGATGGGTGGGCACTGCTTTTGGAGGATACAAAAGTAGAACGGATGTGCCCAAATTGGTGGAAAAGCAGCTCTCTGGAGAACTTCCAATCGACCACTACATCACGGACGTTTTTGAAGGCGTTGACAAGACGAACGATGCGATTGATGCTCTTCACTCTGGGAACTGTCTCCGAGCAGTGGTCCATTACTGAGGAGACACGATAGAAAACCAGTTGCAGTAGATTTTAGAAGTGACTCAAGGCCAACGTTGGCATGAGTTTTGCTTTTGCCGTTGATAGTGATCTAGCTACAGGTATCACCTACGAGAAGAGAACAGCAAAATTTAGTCGATTGACATTTTGACTTGCTAGCTAGCTAGCTAGCAATTTCATTTTGCAAATAATAGACCCAGAGCCCATGGGTCACTGACCAGCAATGAAGACAAATAGCAGATGGGTGGTACAAAAATGTCTTATGCATTAGTCTAAATTTCATATCTATGGCTTGCTGTAGCTTGCAGTAGCTAGCTGTGAATTGTCAATTTTTCAAAATGTTGTTCCATTCATTCTTTTGGCAATGATTAATATATTGTCATCATCATCACGGTGGATCTCTGTGTTTCTTGTAGTAGCAAAGTATCAGAATCAAATGAAGGAGTGACAGAATAGCGGTGATTTGATCCACAGTTTTGGTGTAGGAGGAGCGGTATTCGTAGAGTATATAGTTGAAGGAGCTCTCGAGTGTGAGGAATAAGAGCCCATAAAAGAAGTTGTTCAAGACGCGTTGCATTTTGATTTGATATCCCACAATGGGAAGCCTGGAATCCAATGTCATGCGGACTCCAATTTCGACAAAGCTGATTGCCAATTGCATTTCCCCGCGACTTCCAAATTTTTCTGCCGTCAGTGCAATGGTACTAATGGCCACCACATTCAGTGCCGCTAGCAGGGGACTATTATTATTCAAGAACACAACCAAGAGCAGGGAGAGATGGAGAGATGCAACAAATAGATAGATGAGATGAGATGGCACTCCACTCCTGGCACCTTGAATGAATATACACAGAACAGCATAGCCCATAAATTCCGCTTACATGATATTTCGGTCATAGTAGGAGCTATCCCGTGATACTCTCAACTTGACCTGTAAGCATTGATCGGGCTGTATATCTTCCGTTTCACCCCCAAATTCCATGGGGACCACGTTGAATTGTAGTATTTTCTTGTTGTGTGCAAATCCTGGCACACGCACGTGATCGACGACGAGTCCATGTGGGATGCGGATTGTATCTTGTGTATCTTCGGCTGATGCCAGTGCCAGTTTCCATCGTCGTCGATCCCATCGTTTTCTATTTTGTCGATGTTTGAGGACACCGAGTCGCAGGATGAGGTCATGACTGTCGTGTGGGAAATTGGCGACATGCAAATGTTCTTGCGCGAGGGATGCCTTGTATAGACAAGACCATTTCATGAGACCCTTGGATGCATTGACACAGCATACTTCGGGTTCTCCTAGTATTTCAAAGTCGACGGCATTGAGAATGGATACGGGTGGGACGTAGACGATGCGGCTTCCTTCCGGGACATCTTTCAAGACCCGTTCGTAGGCGCGTTGTCGTCCGTACATGGCCCACACCTTTTTGTTGTTGGGATTGGTCATGCCATAACCAATTTCCTTGTCGTCTATATCGTTGTCGGGTCGATTCCAGAAAATAGTGACGCGGAATCGCATGTCGACTTTGCCATTGACGGCATCAATGGGTCCAATGTGCCAAATGACGACTTGAAATCGAATGTAGCGTACTTGATCTCCAGGAAGCATCGTGCTGAGGGAACATACGCTCTGTGTTCGCTGCAGGGATCCCACGGTAATGTCCGAGGGGAAGGATCCATACTGCAGTTCAGCGTCAATGCGGAATGGTTTCTCTTCATCGAAATCTTCTTCTTCGCCATCCCAAGAGCTCCCAAACGAGGTGTTGCCGATGCCAGCCGGGAACCAATTGATGCCTGCAAACATGACCATCTACTTGTTGTTGGCTTGATCCCGTAGCTAGCTAGCTAGATAGCCAGAGGAATGCGGATGAGGTCCTCTTCTAAGCTAAAGGGCTTGTTGAAAGAAACATCAACCGTCGTTTCGTTCTTTTCCATCGTCATTTGCCGGACGAAAGAATTCTGCAGCGACGGACGTCATTGTTTTCAAACCTACGTGGGCCACGTCACCATATCTTTTTGTCAAACAATGATCTTCGGACTCGACTTCGGAATGTAAGTCACTCACATTCCGATTTTCCTTTGGCTGTTGGATGCTGTTGTCATTCCGGGGCAAGCCAATAAGCTATTCTATTTACACCGACAGCATACCCTCCATCAGGATATCCCTACAACAGAGATATAAGCTGAGAAGGACCACCCATGGCGACAGGTCCTCCTCCTGATCAAGATGAGTTAATTCCATTGGATGCACCAAAGACAGGAACTGAGGCGAAGGTTTCCTGCTACTGTCCAAATTGCCAAGAGAACCATGTCGCTAGGACTCGACTTCTGCCCACCCACATTCCCTTTTTTCGAAAAGTCACAGTTCTTCATTTGACCTGTTCCAATTGTCACTACGAAAACAGACAAGTTTCCTTTGGAGGAACCATTTCAGAGTGTGGACAAACACTATCGCTGCGAGTTGGCCAAGCTGCTGATTTGGAACGACAAGTCGTCCAATCCGACACTGCCACCCTCTCCATTCCACAATGGCAGTTGGAAATTCCATCCCAGCAAGGGACCGTCACGACTCTGCAAGGTGTCTTACAACGAGTCGCCTCCAATCTACGAGCCCAGCAACCGGAACGATTAAAATTGGGAGACCTGGACAATTTTCGCAGATGTCAAACTGTCATTGATCAAGTAGAGATCTATGTCGTCAATGACAATGTCGAAGACGAGGCGGTTGCTGACCATGGAGAAAATGGCAACACTACAAAATTACTAGAGACAAATTCGCCATTCATCCCCTTTGACCTCATTTTGGATGATCCTGCTGGAAATTCGTTCATTGAAAGCCTTCCAGCTCCCAACCAAGATCCCAAATTGACAGTACAAACATACAGGAGAACGCCCTCACAAGACTTGGCGATAGGGTTACAACCAGAAAAAGCTCCCTCGGAAGCTGCTACCATCGACGACGACAACAACCCTCACCACAAAAATACTATACTCAATGATGCCGGACATGCAATGGATGACGAGACGAACCAAGTGGACAATCAGCAGCAGGGGCAACCACCACAAGTCATGACGTTTCAGACCGGTGCTTGTCCCAATTGTCAACAATCAGCGCGAACCAACATGTGTCAAATCCATATCCCGCACTTCAAGCAAGTCATTCTCATGAACCTACTTTGTGATACATGTGGCTATCGCAACAATGAAATTAAAGTTGGTGGGGAAATTTGCAAGCATGGGACCAAACTATCCTTGGCCATACGTTCGGAAGAAGACTTGAAACGAGAAGTAATCCTCGCGGATACCGCCAGTATTGTCATTCCCGAGATCCAGCTGGAAGGAGGAGGGGGGATGGGAGGCATCTACACAACCGTGGAGGGGCTCCTGAAGCGACTCTTGCAACAGCTGACCGTCGCCAATCCATTTGCCACTGGCGATGCCGTTACACAGCATCATTGCAATAGTGAGGGTACTTTGCATATCCAAAAATACAACAAATTCTTGGCTGCGTTGCGGGATATAAGTCAAGCCAAAGTTGACGTGCTGCCAGTGACACTGGTTTTGGATGATCCACTATCCAATTCATTCATAGGAACCATTCGCCAGAAAAGAGAAGACGAAAATTTGAAAATAGAGACGTATCCACGCTCTTGGGAACAAAACGAGGCTCTAGGGTTGAATGACATGGCAACAGAGAACTACTCTTTATCCAGCAAAACCAACTACGGTTCCGATCAACCAATTGACAAGGACGTGGGGCAATCTTTTTCACTCGTCCCTCGAGGTCCAGACCATCCGCATCGAACAGGAAAGCCACATGTGGACAATGACAATACCACCTTTGGGGGTGACCTTGGAACGAAACCTTCTTGGTGATGCCATCGCGGACAAAAACACTCTTTACCAGTTTGGTGGAACCAATAGGCCCTTCCAGACCAGATAGAGACGTTGCCTTTTGAGGTGTACACGGGGTGCAGTCCCAATCAATCCGCTGGCGCCAATCACTCCCACTGTGCATCGACCCATTCATCGGAGACAAGAAGCACCGAATGGTCCATTGTTGCCTCCAATCGAGCCAAGAGCTTGCGCTCGTGCTGTTTGTCCCCCAAGCCGTCACTCAAACCTCCTACAAGATCAGGGCTCCAAGAGATAGACCCCACTCCACATGCCAAGTCACATAGGATGTGCGTGACCGAGCTGTGGAGATTCCACGAGACCATAGCACCCATCGCACGCAGGAGCGGAATCTTGGACCCTGCCGAGCCATTCATCATTTCCCGCGAGGCCTTGCTCCGACGGTCCTTGTCCTCAGTAAAAGGAGGGACATCCGAAAGACCAAAGTCATCACCAAAGAAGTCAGGATAGACAATAACTGGCTGCTTGGGTTCGCCGTTTGCCGAACCATTTTCATCCACTGAGTAAGGCCAGAGTGTCTCGTACTGGAGCTTCATGATCCAACGTTCATTTGCCGAGAGCTGTTTCATGGCAGTTTGTTGCCATGGAGCCTTGGTTGACTCAGCTGTGTCTGGAGTTCTTCGAACTCTCTTCTTTGGGGGCTGAGCTGACTGTTCCAAACAAGCCAAGGCCCGCTCCATCAAGGAGGTGTCCATATCTCCGTGGCGCCAGATGAGTGCGTTAGTTGCCGTCCCGTACATTTCGCTCTGAGAGACATAGTCGAAGAAGCGAGGTTCTGCCAGCCGTTTCCGGATTTGTTCATCTTGGACATCCAGTTCCTCTTGAGATAGACCCTGTTCCTTCAAGGCCTCCATTTCCTTCACCCAGCGAAAAACAAGGGAGAAGACATGAGTCCACTTCAAAACCCCCGGTACTCCAATGTCTATAGTTGTGGAGTTGTCCTTCGTCACTTTCTGCTTCTTCAAGACCTTTTCCTTCTTTGCGTCATATCCCTTGATGGTGGTGTGCACCTTCAAGTCGTCTGCGCTCGAAGCAATTGCGTAGACATCTAGGTCATGACCATTCACCAGGGAACCGCCGTGGGAGTAAATGAATGATTCGACGTCAGAAGCGGAACGGACATCTTTTGCAATGTCGTACCAGCCCTCTGATTTTGCCTGCTCGGCATCAAGCCCTGTTAAATCAAGACTGTACTCTCCTGCGAGGACAAAGAATTTGAGGCCGTCTAACGCCTCCGAAATCTCTTCACCCGCGACAGTCTTCACGCGACGTAGCGCCTTCCGTGATATTTTAGGCTTTCGAGTTTTCTTACTGCGAATGTATCGCTCCGCTGTCCAGAAGCGAGAAACTCGCCCTGCCTCGGCGTCCCTCTCCATCTTCTTGCTTGGCGAAGTCATCATAATGCTCTGTGAAGAACCAGCCGTGGCGCGATAGGCACTTTTTTGTTCGTCTACCTGCCGCTTCATCTGCATTAACTCGTTCTCGTCAACACAGTCAGCTGAGGGCTTGTCACCCATGCGCACACCACTTGCTCGAGGGAAGCGCAAGGTCAAACCGGCCGAGTACTCATCAGATCCCACAATCTCGCCAGCTTTCACCGTCTTTCGGAAATGGTTCAGACAGTGAGAGCTCTGTTGCGGGAGGAACAAATGATTGAATCGAATTGGGGCTGATGCAAGCTAACGTACCACTATGACAGAGTCCTCTGGCTTGATAAACACATCTGGATAGAAGTCGGTGTTTCTTCGAGTGTCACAGTAGGACGAGTTAGGGTGATGTACAGTGCTGTAGCCATCATATTCGAACTGATCTACTTACTTTGAAAACCGCCACCCTCCATTATCACCTTCCGGATCATCCTGGAAGCTTCGTTGCGAGATAAAGTCGGGGAGCGTAGTGCCGTGTTCCTCCTCTTTGAACCATTTTCCTAACTCGGTTGGTTTGTCGCCGGTGCGGCGTTGGAATCCGGTGTATCTCATAACCTCATCAAGCTTTTTTTCGTCCAACGACTGCGACATCAATATTGAGAGTAGCAAACACCAAAGTTAGGGAGAATCGCGGCGTGCATAAGAAGGCGCTGTCTATCGAGTGGACCTCACCCTTGCGTTGATTCTGCAGAAAGTGAAATATTTTTCTCGGTTGTGGCTTTCGCTGTCGACACAAGCACACAGGAACGAAGACAGATAACCTGAGCGGCGTTGCCCGATTGCCCAAGTACCTCCAATCACGACAACGTCGATGTCACTAATGAAGTTTTGGGTGGTGTAGTCAGGTTTCATCTTTAGCCACAGTTTCGTCTTCGCCGTTCCTCTCAAGACATACGGAGACGATAGATCCTTGAAGACAAGGCCTTGGGACAAAGAAGGAAGGGTGAATGATACACCGCCAAGATTGTCACATGAATACTAGAATCTGTCCTTACCTTCCCCCTTCTTCTCTTCGACGATCTCATTGTAATACATATCAACCAATTCAGTCCTTCTGCGGCTGATTTGCGCGTCTGTTCTGCCTTGACGCCGTTTTGTGTCGAATTGTGGGCTCCAATTCCCCGAATTCAGGGTCCATTTGCTTGAATCCAAAACGCACTTTGCGTGGCCACGTTCCAGCTGGTCATTTAGTTGTGTGGTGAAATAGTCGTTGGCTTCCACGGAATCGCCGTTGGGGCGAATCACCCAGGATGCAACAATGTCACAGAAATCCTTTTGTTCTGTCATGAGATGGTAGAGCAATGCCTTTCGTTCGAACAAGCTCAAATGGATGATGGAGCCTGCTTCGACAGACTCATCCGCTTCCAAATAAGGACGGAGACCATTTTTAAGGCATTCTTCTGCTCCAGGACCCCCTACTGCGGTGGGACAAAATGCAGGATGTTAGAACATCGCCTTTGGTAGATTGCACAAGACAGATAGATCCCTTACTGTAGACCACATCAAATGCGGTGAACTTGAGCCATACTTCATCGCCCCCCTCAGTGTCGTCTTCTTCCTTGTCAAACTGCTTAAAGTACTCAGGCTTCATCACCTTAGCCTCCTTTTCGCCCTCATGGAGTCCCAGATCTCTTTCGTCCACTTGCCCTTGAGACTCCATCCACTTGCGTCGGAGTTTTGCGACAGTTCTATTGTTGCCAAACTCAATCACTGCCTCACTTTTGCTGTCCCATGCCAGCACCTCACCGTCGAGGATCACGTCAATGTCGTACTTTGCAACGGCTTTTCGAAGATGCGGTCCGAGTACAGGGCTGTAAACTCGGCTGTACAAATTACCAGAGCGTGTGTGCATTGTCACTTTGCCACGATGCACGTGGACAATCATGCGCTCACCTGGGGATCATAGATGCACAGGAACAAGAACAAATGAGAGTATGAAGTGGCAGCAACTCGGAGAATGGCAAGCTCCATCAGCTGGTGCTTACCATCTAGCTTTTCCTCTGCAACGAATGCTGGGAACTTGATTGCCAAGCTCTCTCTCGCAGGATCATCTTTTGGAAGGGTCTTTTTGTTCGCTAGGACGGCTGCGTGTACGGTGCCAATCTGTGCCAAGCAGCCCTCAAGGCTGGTTCTCTCAGATTTCATGCATGAGATGATGCTTCCGATACGAACAGGATCCAGACTGGAGGGGTAGTTGTATATGCGAGCAAATCTTTCCTTCTTCTGTGCCTCCTTGGCTCGCTCCAGTTCGATTTCGCGTTTTGCCACCCACTCCGGATCGCTAAGCTTGTCACAGACCGACTTCAAGCTGTGGTTGCAGTAATCAAAGCATGAGTGAGAATGGAATCACGCTACCGTATGAAGCACCAGAAGGAAGATGCCTCTGCCCTTACCTGTTGTGGCTCTTCCAAATGTCCTCAGCATGATCAGAGAACCAGCCAATGATCGTCTCAAATCCCAACCCCACCTTGCAAAACAAAAATGGATTAGTGTTTGAGACATACATACATGAGAAACATAGGCAGTTACAGCAGGCTATCATTTCAAAAAGGATCCACCCAGCAGCATACCTTGATGTGTTCCAAGAGCATGCGGACAATCCATTTGTGTTCCCTAGCAGAAATTTTGAGCTCCATTAGCTTTTTGACAAACTTCGTTCTCACTGTTTTTTGTGATAGCTTGTCCTTGCGTGCCTGTGTCGTGGCCAAAGACTGAGACTGACTTTGGCTGGCACCTCTCCAGTTGTCTGGATTGCGTGAGTTGAATGCTCCGTCTTTCATACCCGTCAACGAGGCTTCGAGGTCATCAAACAATTGGTTGATTTTGCCAATTGTCACCGTCTTCTGTCCTGCTTTGACTCGGTCGTCCATGACAGCTTCTACCACACGAGAAAGGTCGCCTGCCAGCTGTCCCCAACCTTTCTTTGCCTTTTCCAGCTTGATTGGGTCTGTGTAGTAGTAGAGCGCTTCATACTTGTCAGATTTCTTCTGGAAGTTCAATGCCTCACAGTAAGCCATGGCAATGCTTTTTTCTTTGGTGATGCATTTTCTGGAAGAGTCCATGTTTGGCATGAGCAGGCGAAAGATCGGAAAAAGGGATTCATTCTTCATTTTCTTCATCGATTTGGACGGCAACAACATCTCCAGCTTTTGCACCTTTGTCATTGGCTTCTTGTGCTTGTTCTTCATAGCCAAGTCCAAATACTCCAGTCTCTTACACAGCATTCGAAAATCCTGTTTGTTTGCAAAGTCATATGATGGCTCTTTGGTGAGGCCGGTGATGTCAGGATCGGGTGCGGATTCAATAGATTTGTTGTCGTCATCGTCTGGATCTTGTAGCATGGCGTCTTCATCACTGCCTACATTGTCTTCTTTCTTTGCATCTTCTCCATCATTGTTGATTTCCTCATCCTTGTCATTTTCTTTGGACAAACCGTCAAGTAGGTCTGATGGTCCACCATCAACATGCTCTGACGACGTGGGCATGAACTTTTTCGCAAATGAATAATCGTCGTCATCGCTACCATAGTTCATCGTGTACTAGTATCTGAAGAGCTTCGACTAAAATCCAGGTGTCCTTATATTGACAGTCCAACAATATTTCCTTTCCAGAACCAAGAAGAAAATATACATGACGCCAATTGACGAGTCAATAGAGTGCTTTGTCGCTTCGGCTTCGTCTTCGTCTCGTCCTCGTCGTTGAAACTTGTTCACGCTTCTTGAAAATAGCTCTAACCTTAGTTTGGAAAGACATTTCTATCGTCAATGCGAACCCTGCGAACCCAGCTGCCACCAAAGATCTGAGGAAGACATCCCAAGACAAAAACCATGACCAACAGCCATTACAACTAGTACATCAACCATTCCCAAAGAAACCAACCATGATGATGAAGGTCTTAGCTCTTGGACTTTCGCTGCTCTGTCGCCTTGCCGCCAGCGACTTGGCCTGTTCTGTGACGGAAGAACAGCGTGATCCAGCGTTGAAGGAGATGACCTATGACATTGGTTATGGCGAGCAAACGACATTGGTGAGTTAATTGGTGATTATTCCTGCATGCGATACCCATACCCCATGTCTCACGGTCATCCCCCCCTGACTTTAGGTCTACGTTGAGCCCGACATGGACTCCATGTACAATGGAAACGCTCCAGCTAAACACAAAGTTGTTCCCAAGTTTAATGGTCTTTCTGTCAAATTTATTAACATGAGCAACAAGCATGTTCGTCTGTCATGGTGAGTGAGTGTTGGCGTCTATATGGTGGAGCTCAACAAGGAAGGCTTCTGGGAACATCATCTCATGATCTCTTGTGTTTTATCATCTTTCTGTTTGAAAACGACAATCCATACACCAAATAGGGAACCAAGACCAGGTGGCACCCCCAATCCCATGAACAAAATTGCTCCCTTTGAAGCATCGGGAACTGCCTCCTTTCCCACGCACAGCTTTATCATGACCGATCCAGACACGGACAAACTATTGCAACGATTCGCCATCCAAGAATATCCCGAGAATATTTATGCCTATGATCCATACATCGTGGAAGGCGACGAAAAGGCCACGGAGAAAAATCTCAACAAACATCTCTCCAAAAAGGAAAAGGAATTCTACCGAAAATGGCGCGACAGCTTGGCATTTAACGAAATTTATCGAAACTTTACGGGTCGCTCCTATTTGGCAAACTATTTGAGAGATCCACCACGCCATTTTCTATGGAGTGGCGAATACTTTGGTCAGACGCATTGGGTAGAGACCAGCGAGACGCACTTTGTCATGACTCCACCGAGTACGTATGGATGGATTTTGTGTGTTCAATTCACAATAAATGGTTGTGATACTGACAATGGTTCCCTGCCTTGCTTTCTATCCATCTCCATTATTTTGTCTGTCAAAGAGAGCGCTCTGGGACAACTCAAGACCAGCAAAAAGCGTAGTCTCAAAGAAGGAGAGACGGTAGCTTTGGAGGAATATAGAGCACCCGGGCAGGCAACAATGAATATGACACTCAAAGTGCTGTCAGTGGCGCCACGTGTGTTTGAAATCCCCAATTTCTTGTCACAAACAGAAGTGGATCACATTTTGGATTTGGCCGGAGGCGTTCAGTTGAGTCGCAGCAGCGTGGGAGATGTGGGTCACGGATACAGCAAGGCTGAAAACAAAAAAACGGATACCAGGACTTCCTTCAATGCATGGGTCCAGCGAGGCAAAAGTCCCATTGTGGATGCAATCTACCGCAGAGCCGCCGATTTAATGCGCATCGATGAAGCGTTGCTTCGAAACCGTGACAGCAGTGAGAGACCTGATTGGCCCACCAAGGGATCCTTGGCAGAACACTTGCAGTTGGTTCATTATGATCCGGGACAGGAGTACACGGCCCATCATGACTTTGGATTTTCGGACCTGTCCGATTTGCAGGGTGCTAGGTTTGCCACGCTACTGCTGTACCTGAATGATGAAGGATTGGTGGGCGGTGAGACCACATTCCCTAGGTGGGTCAATGCCGAAACGTTTGACAAGCTCAAGGTCAAACCCGAAGAGGGCAAAGTAAGTACTTAAATGTAGTTGGTACCTTGGCATGGATTGTGTTGCCATGAGGCTTAACCAGCCTCCAATTGCTACCTGTACAGGCTGTCCTCTTTTATTCGCAGTTGCCAGATGGAAACCTGGATGATTTCAGCCAGCACAGCGCTGAAAAGCCCAGGGCTGGCGAAAAGTGGTTGATCAACTTGTGGACATGGGGTACGTAGAAGCATTCTTTCCTTCATGTGCCATCCTCAAAGGACTATCAAGTTGTGCTTACCATTATCATTGTTTCGTCTCTCTTTCTTTGGTTTCGCGCAGATCCCAAGTATCACTAGATTGAGAGCTTCAAGCATAGTGCCGTACCGGTAGCAAACTAGATCGTCTGAAAGAATTTGGCTGCTTGAAAGATGCGGTACCGCTCAAAACCAATACTGGCCCTCGCTGGCTTCAGTAGATAACCTCCCTACTCTAAACCCCCTTGGGAAAGAAGACTTACTTGCTAGCTAGGTCTGGCTAGCTAGAGAAAGCAGATTGATTGGAAGGATTGGGATGATTGAAGATTCGCCAAATTTTTGTTTCCAACCCCTCTGGCTCGCAGCTTCGTCGGCCTGAAGACCAGGTTTAAGTCGTGACAGCCCAAGCGGGATTTGAGGAAACGCTCCTTCGTCTCTCGTCGCATCTATCTTCTCTCTCTCACGTTCTTGTCCTCGATTCCACCATTGAGGTTGTGCCTTTGAGCCCTGCACTTGCTGTCTTCATTCCACCTCATCCAGTAATACTAGTAGTAGTTCAAGGATGGATCTGACAGAGTTGGGTGGCTCAGCCGTGGCGGTCGCGAACGAGCCCAAGATCCGTTGGACGATGTTCGTGGAGGCAGAAGTCGTCCTGATCTGCAGAAAGGTACCCAAAGAAGTATTAGGTACGCCGAGCAATGACACTGTACAACAATACTCGACTGATCGTCTAGATAGTAATCTCCTCATGGTTGTCCTTGTAATTATCTCTACTCAGACGCTGTGGGATTTTTTGAATGGAATCGGTTTTGCGACCGATTGGATAAGGGTTTGAAGCCATTACGGAAGCTTAATTTCTTCAACAAAAAGAATGAATGCTGTGGCCAATCAGAAGAAAACTCGGCCAAGGCCACAGCACTGGAAGCCATTCAAGTGACATGTGACAAGTTATCGCAGCGCTATCCTTATCTACAATTCTCTCTCTTCTTCCCGTTCCATTCTCGCTTGACCGAAAACTGGCATATTCAAGCAACCGCTACAGCATTGCCATCCAATGCCGAAGCGGGTGCTCCTCTGCAACAGGATAATACTGAGACTGAGGAGACCGCTCGTTCAGATACGGTCAGTGACGAAGGGGAAGCTTCCTTGCCCCTTCCCGTGTCCGACAGTGCCAGCGACGGAACCAGCACCAATGACAGTAGAGCCACGGAACTTGACGACGATCCAAATAATGACAATCCATTGGCACTACAGCCACAAAAACCTATTTCCGAAAGGGCATCCTTTCTACGAAGCTCTGGGCTGGGTGTCCTGGGCGTGGACTATATTGAACATGAGTTGCAGCCCAGCGACACTCTCAATGGCCTTTGTCTGGCTTACAACATTGCACCGTCTCGATTGAAACATGCCAACCTCTTGAGTGGTGAGAATGATAGTCTAGTGTTAGCCCCCAAAATCTTGGCAATCCCCATTACGGATGGGTTCTACTCTCGTGTCCCGGACACGGAATCGGAGGATTACAAGTTGAATGCTCTCAAGAGACAAGTACCCAAGATAGGAACGAAGGAGGCCAAAGCGTACGTTATGTATGATATAATATAGGTTTGACTGTGGTGAGTGAATGAAATCTCTAACTTACGATTCTGTGTTGTACTCCTTGTCTTCAGCTACCTGGAATTGTCAGATTGGGTCTTGGAGGATGCTTTGGCCATGGCGAAAGAAGACATTGAATGGGAAAAGGGGAACAACGATGATCTGTTCTGATCGCAGCTGAAAGGCATGTACTCTGGAGCAGACTACTGTAATAAACTATGCCAGGCCAGCTTGATCCACTTCACTCCTCCTCAGATGGGATCATTCATACCAGGCTACAACACTTTGGTGATTTTGAGACATTAGAGAGTTCCGCTACTAGACTTATAACATTTTATTTGATTAGGGCACCGTACAGCTAGCTAGGAGGGATATGGATAATGGGTCCACTTCTCAAAAGCCTCGCATCGACTTTGACTCAGCTGCTTCCTTCTTGCTTCCCCATTCCCCCAGTGTTTCCAGGGGGTACATATACATATCATTACCTCGGCAGTCTTGCTGCCAGAGCCCTCAACCCCTTTAATTGTTTTTCCTGCTACGGTGGTCCCTGCAGGTATAAGGGTAGGGTTAGAATACAAATAAGTCAGCAAAAACTAAGTAAGTATCCTAGCTAGGATGGTGCAAACCAGCTAAAGCAATTTACATCCATCCTAGTAGGGGGATCTGCTTCTACCAGGAAAAACTCTAAAGCCAGCGAAAGCTATATAACTAGTATTCTAGCTAGCTAGGGGTGTGTGCTTCTAGCTTGCTATGGGAATCTGCTTCTAGCTAGGGGGGATTTGCTGCTAGCTAGCTAAGCACAAGTTAAGCACTAGCTAAGCACTAGAGGTGTCTGCTTCTAGTTAGCTAGCTATAGGGGTATCTGCTTCTGCACTGAAACCTTTCTGCCGAGGTTACACAGCTCCGCTGGCTTAAAATTTTGGAGAGACTTGCAAGGCAACCAAAACGTATACAATGTACTAATACTTTCTAAGAGCATTCAACACCGGGGTCACCCATAGCCAACCATTTGGGTTTTGTGCTATGGGTGACCCCGGTGTTGAATGCTCTAATGTGACCAATTAGGTCCGGTGATAGGAACGATCATACCACGATGACAGCACCGCTTCCCGTCTGCTCAGCGAAGGTAAGCATCGTCGGGCCAGGTTAGTACTACGGTGGGGGACCACGTTGGAATTCCTGGTGTCGTTCTTTTTGTCAGGTCTGATTATGATCAGGCTCTCATCAGTTCTCGCACATCAAAGGAAGAGCGGCAACTCTAAAATGCAACGGCTTGGCTTTGAATCCGCTCATCACATCAACATCTACCGGAAGAAGGGTCAATTCGGGATGTCATCTTTAACGATTCCCAGCTTGCTAGTACATGTAATTTGCTATGTACTAGCCTACAGCGGTACCGGTAGTGCCGGCACCAGTAGCGGCTCCGGTGTCCCCAGTTGCGCTGTACCAGGTACCATGCACTGTAGTGAACGTGACTGTTCTTGTGTGCGGTCGGGACAAGAAATGAATGTTTTGAAACCTCGAGGTGCGAAGCAGCTCTGCTGTATTCAGAAACCAACCGTTGGATCTTCTTCATGGGGATCTGGATCAGCCGTTCGCATCCACAATGGCGCTTCGACGCCGCAATCACTCTTTGCCTGAACAAAACCACTCTTTACTTCATTATTAAAAGCTGAGCATAATCTGTCGTCTTTGTCACCATGAACTGGAAGCAAGCAGCGTCGATCCTCTTTTCTCCTATATTTTTCTGCCAACCAATCACAGTATGGGCAGAGCTACAATGTTCCGCACTCGACGGGGATGGTGATCCCACCCTGAAAGAAATGACATACGACATTGGATATGGGGAGCAGACGTTCTTGGCGTATGTGGAGCCCGATGTCAAAACTTTTTACACTGGAGACCCTCCAGCTTCTACCAAGGTTATCCCTAAATTCGATGGTTTGGCAACCAAGTTCATCAACATGAGCAACAAGCAAGTGCACTTGTATTGGTGAGTCAAGACAGATGTTCGAGTGATGAAGGACCCGTGATGTCATTTCTTTCTTTCTTTCTTTCTGGTGTCTGAGCTTTTCTGTTTCTGCTTGCTTTTACTTCATTAAAACTTTCAGGGAGCCCTATGAAGGAGGCGAGCTTGCTGCCATTGAGATGTTGGAACCGTTTTCTGCCACCGGCACAGCATCCCATCCAGGGCACATATTTGTCTTTGCAGACGCCGATAAGAATATCCTGGAGCGTGTTTATATCGAGGAACACCCAAACAACAATTATGCGTACGATCCATATTTTGTAGAGGACGATCCAGAAGCCACGGACGATGTCTTGCAAAAGGAACTCAATGAAGAAGAATACGACAAATACATTCAATGGTTGGATACACTCAACTTTAGTGACCAGTACTTGGAGTTCACAGGAAGAGCCTATATTGCCAACTACCTTCGCAACCGGCCTCTGCATCACATCTGGAGGGCCGATTACTTTGGCCAAGAACATTGGGTAGAAACCAGAGAGACACATTTTGAACAAGTTCCACCGCAAGAAGTGCTCACACGCATCGAAGACGTGGGCTCGGAACGCATTATGGAAGAGTCGCAGCCTCGTCTTCTTTCGGAATACCGAACACCTGGACAAACAAAATTGAACATGACACTCAAAGTGCTGTCTGTGGCACCTCGTGTGTTTGAAATTTCTAGTGAGTCGAGTCAGAAGAAGGGAGCCCACGACACTTTTGCCAAGGAAGATTTCAATCAACTGATCTTCTCTTTTCTCTCCCAGACTTTCTCTCCCCGACAGAGGTAGACCACATTCTACAAACTGCTGGTGCAATTACATTGGGACGATCCAGCATTGGTAAGGACAGAACAATATAGCTTGGTCGATTGCTATCGAACTGGTGGAGAATGCAGGCCCACTCTAACTCAATTGCCTTTGTGAAAATGTTAGGTGACATTGGAAAGGGTCAAGACAAGTCAATTGAAGACAGCTCCATATCAGACACTCGGACATCGCTGAATTCGTGGATTTCACGAGAGACGTCTCCAATCTTTGATGGTAAGGCGTTGTTGTTGTTGGAGCGTTTGAGCATTTAGCTGATACGTGGATGAAGCTCTCGACTCACTCTTTCTTCAAAGCAATCTATCGAAGGGCGGCGGACCTGATGAGGATTGACGAGGCTTTGCTTCGAGACCGAGGGCCAGATGAGTATTCAGACTGGCCGACTTCGGGATCCCTGGCCGAGAGCTTGCAGCTCGTGCATTACGATCCAGGGCAGAAGTACACTGCACATCATGATTTTGGATTCTCAGTGAGTGTAGTACACACACAAGTTGCAGACACTTCACAATCCGCATTCTGTCGCTCACGCATGCACGGGTGAACTCTTTCCTCTCGCCGAACAGGACCTTGATGACCCAAACAAGGACAAACGGTTCACGCAGGCTACCAGATTTGCCACGCTGCTGCTTTACTTGAACAGTGAAGGATTGGAAGGCGGGTAAGTCCAGGAAGTTGCGTGCCACGCCCATTTTGGCAGCATGCCGCTCACATTTTCGATTTACCTGCATCTCGAAGAGAGACGACATTCCCACGGTGGTCCAATGCAGAGTCATTTGACCAACTAAGGGTGAATCCCCAGGAAGGGAAGGTACGAGAACTTGGTCCGAGCTTTCGTGCATTTGTTGCTTGCCACAAATTCCTTACCGTGGTGTCTACATCCTTTTAGGCTGTACTGTTCTACTCCCAGCTGCCGGATGGGAATCTTGATGATTTCAGCCAGCATGCAGCACTCCCGCCAAGGGAGGGCGAGAAATGGTTGATGAATCTTTGGGTATGGGACCCAAAATATGCCGACTAGATCTAGCTCAAAATATCGGCTCTACCGAGACGCAGGAGTCGAGTCCTTGAGACGTACCGGTATGACAGCAGTAGCTGTAAAGATAGGTTAAAGTAGAGTTACACCATGATAGCTTCAGAGCTCTTCTTGGCACTGCCCTTATGCTGGCTTAATCGATCTGCATCGACCAAGCGACGAAGTTCTCCGTTCCGAATTTGTAATAGCTCTTTTGGAGTTCCATACTCCACCAGCTCCCCATCACCTAGAACAGCAATCTTGTCGTATCCAAGCACGGTTTCTAGCCGGTGGGCCACTGTAATCACGCTGATCCCCTTGTCAACAAACTCTCTTCGAATCGTCTCTTGCACCTCTTGATCAGTCTGTGGATCGACGCTGGCAGTGGCTTCATCCAATACCAATATTCGACTGCGCCGAAGGAGCGCCCGGGCTAAACACAGAAGTTGCCGTTGCCCTTGACTCAAGTTCTTGCCCCCCTCTGTGATTGTAGTTTCAAGCCCATTGTCAGAACGGAACTGTTTCGCTAAGCTAGGGGAAGCGGCTTCAAGGGCATTCCACATGTCCTCTTCCGATGCTTTGCCCGTTGCGTCCAGATTGTACGCAACCGAACCCGCAAATAAAACAGGATCTTTGGAACGGCAAACGACGATGTCTTAGCTTTTCTTGCCATATCACATCAAATGCCAAAAAGCTTGTACCGAGAACTCACCTTGGGCTATCACCGCCAATACCTTTCCACCACGAAGCTTTTGCAGGGAGACTGAACGAATGTCAACCCCATCAATTTCAATCTTCCCGCCACCCTCGATTTCCACTAACCGGAACAGCGTCAAGAGCAAAGAACTCTTTCCTGACCCAGACCTTTACAGAGAAGAAAACAAAGGGTGAGCCATGGTGAAATATGGAGCGAGATAGAGAAGCATTTGGCAACCAAGCAAGTCTCACCTTCCAACTACGCCCAGGGTAGTCCCTCGGGGGATGTCCAGCGTGATTCCTTTCAACACAAGCGACGACAGTTCGTTGTATCTCATGGAGACATTGTGCATTCGAATGTCACCTTGCCACGGCCAACCTTTCAGGCCTTCGTCAGTTGTAGGAGCACTCGTAATATTGGGTGCATTGATTGACGAGTGCAGCAAAGATTCCAGTCCTTCACCTGCCCGTAAGTTCTCCCTCGGCATTTTACTTCGCTTTCCTTGGTTTGCTCCTTTGAGATCAATTTCCTCACTCTCGATGTCCGTGAGCTCTTTAACCCGCACTAAACTCATCATGTTCGTTTCAAGATCTGTCAGGCAACGAACAGCCCACGTCAAAAGGCCGGTGATTGTTAGAGATTGCGTTAGGCCCCATGCAGCATTTCCAGTGTTCAAACGCCCCAGTCGAGTCAACCACACAGATGCTATGGCCGCGGTGAAGACAACAGTGTTTCCCAGCGTTTCCAGTCGACAAGACAGCCACCTGTCAAGCGCCTTCACAGAATAGAATGAACGGAGGTTCGTGTCGGTGAAGTTGCGATGAGTAGAGGACCAGAAGAGCCCTCCTCCTGGAATTGATCTGATGGTTTCCGTGCCGCGGAGTGCCTCTCCGAAATGAGTGTAGATTGGTGATCGAGTTTTCGTCTCGAGTCTTTTCAATTCGCGTGCTCCAGGGCGGAATCTTCCCATTGTTTTGACGTACAAGGCTCCAACAACAGCCAAGGGTAAAACCATACCCGGTGTCACCACTGATGCAAGGGCCGCTACTGACATGAAAATTTGCAGGAAACAGAATAGCACACTAGAAAATGAATCAGGGATTCCACGATCAATTGTCTCCGTCTCTTTGCCAAACCTTGAGAGCAATTGGCCGGAAGGTGTAGCATCGAAGAACGACATTGGAGCTCTGAATACGGAACTCAGCAGTCTGCTGTGCAAGAACTCGGAAGCCCGCACCCCAACTCTCATCAGAAAGATACTCCGCAAGAAAAGCGAAGCTGACACCACACCGGCTGCATTCACAAGCATCCCCAGGTATTTTGTTCCCATGGCAGCGGCCATAGAGTCACCTCTCCCCACCTCGGTCCATTTTGCCACAATGTATTGTTGAAAGAATTGGGCGCCATTCGACATTCCGTACGCTGCGAACATAGCAACAACCAACATAGGTTTTCTTACTGATTTGAAGTATGTCAAGTAGGCAGATCTCGGCACAGCACCCGATGACATTTTATCGTCGGCTGAAGCAGCGACTTTCCGTTCATTTGGTTGTAGGCGGTTGGCCTCCGCGGTCTTCCCGCTAGAAGACGAGGTTTCGGACGAGTTTTGTTGCTTGTCTTGTTGTTGAGTTTCTTCGTCCAGCCCGTCTTCAGCATCTTCGTCGTCCTCATTCATTCGCATTGAAAGGCCTTTCTCGGCTATCATTTCAGGGCACTTTTCGAGAGCCATTGCAGAACATTCAGGGTCCGCATGGCAGTGGAGAGTAGTGGAATTGCATGCCATTTCGTAGCCATCAACGATTTGAATCGTTCTGCCGTTCCGGCTAATGATTTTTGGAGGATCAATCTGAACCCCAGCCAACGAGTCCTCGGTCTCCTCATCCTCCATATCGTCAAATGTTTCGTCGTCGGTATCCTCCAGATCTTCACTAGAAACAGAGGGAAGAGAGTGGCCCCGCGCAATGAGCTCATCGTATGTCCCTACGTCCTCAATATAGGAACAAGATGACGAAGATGGAACCTTTTGCATGAGCACAACTCGATCACATCGCCGTGGAAGGTTCGGGTCGTTGGTCACCATAACTGTAGCTGCACCGGAGCTTTGGAGCCGTCTCTTGATCCGTTCAAAGACTGTCGACCCAACCCTGGCATCAAGAGCAGCTAAGCAATCATCAAGCAAGAATACCTTTGTATCCTCCGCAGCATAGAGGGCTCGGGCAAGTGCCACCCTAGCCCGCTGACCTCCCGAGAGGGACGATCCACCTTCTCCCACGTCCGTGTCATGACTGAGAACGCCACTGGCAGCGGCAGCTTTGGAACTTGCTCCGCCCAAGTTGTCGACAATGTCTTCATCCAAACCTGCATCGCGAATTGCTGCGAGATATCGCTCTTCGTCGTATTCTCTCCCAAAGACAACAGCATCTCGAATGGTCCCCTTGGGCAACCATGCTTCTTGCGAACAGTAAGCAACATTGCCATACGAACGAACAGTCGGTTTGTCAAGTACCTCCGAAGAGTCATCATTGTTTGCATTGTGCGTATCTTTCAAGAGGGTCGCCACGGAGGATTGGACCAGTGCTCGAGGCACCGGTACGAGTTCTCCAAGGAGAGCCTTGACCAGTGCACTCTTCCCGGAGCCAACTGAACCAACCTGTTTCCCGTTCGAGGTTCAAACAAGACACGACAGGTCAGAGGGATAGCAAGACAAACCAAAGGCAAGCCGATTTCATCTTCAAACAAGCTGGACTTACCACAGCAACGATCTCTCCAGGATTCACTTGGAGGTTGGCATTGTAGATTGCTGCATTCGTTGGCGCGGCCACTTCACCATCCTTGACAGGTTTGGAAGTGGACCACAAGAAATTACCATTGACAACTTCAATGGATCCTCCGTTTTCCTTTACTGGCAAATGTTCCACGTACGGAACTATCTCCTCCGAGCTCAAGTAGCTGGAGATTCGCCTCATCGCATTCCTTCCATTGGCAAGTGAATCAATCAGCATGGGGTAGAAGAAAAGAGGGAAACGAAGCTGATTGAACAGAGATATTGCTGTGAAAATGGTGCTGGCAATGATCGGCTGTCCTGTCTTGACATAGGCAGTCAAGGTTACGACCAACACCAAGGCTGGAACAGAATTGGAAATGGCCTGGTTCAAAGCTCTCACCACTCCTCTGTTCGAGTGTCGTTTCAACTCGTCAGCCCGATGATTCCGAATGTCATCTGCGAAATGCCCTTCCCAGCCCTGAAGCTTCAATAGTTTCATATTCGTTATGGATTCTGATGTGCGTTTGGTTCGAGCATCCTTGGCCTCATTCTCGTACTTTGCGAGGCGGTTGAGGATTCGAAGTGTAAAGCTGTTCAAGGGTATCGTCATGACCAGAACAGCAATTCCAAACAGGACCGAGGGGCCCAGATATCGGAATAGAAGTGTGGTGTAGATTGCGATCTGTAGAGGGGCATCCCAAAGAGTGTGGATCTGCATGACGGTTCCTTCAATGATGGAAGAGTCGGATTGCATGAGATTCAACACTCCGCCGGTTCCAAGTTCTGCTCGTTTCTTTCCATTTTTCCTGCCAGTCTTGTGGGTAACACTGCTGCCACCTCCAGGCAAACGTAGACTTTTGTCAAATATCAAACCTGATAAGGAGCCTCTCACTTCTGCTGCACATCTGACAACGTAATGAAAGTACTGATTCTCAATCACCATTTTCACCAACAAAACTGCCACCAAATTTACAGCTGCTCCAAATGCCGCGGAAGGATGATTTGCATCTCCCGCTTCCAACAGACGTAACAGCCTCGCTAAAAGAACAGCTGGATAGGCTTGCACACATGTGTTCAATAGCCGCATGAGACCGGTTCTCAGTAACATGCTCCGTTGATGCTGAAACAGTGCCTGGGTCAAAATGAGTGATTGCGATGACTTGACCTTGTCGACTCCCGCTTGTCGCTGCTTTTCAATTTTTCGTCTGGATTTTTCTCGCAACGTGCCATAAATGTTGGCCAAGGAAGACACGGTGGTATTCATGCGGTGCCCGTCGCAAACTTCAAAAGCATCATCTACCTCCAAGCGTCGCTTTCCCGCCAAATCCAACAGTGGAGACGCATATCGAAACAGCAATCGCGAGGGCAGAGATGCTGCGTCTTCGCCTCCTTTCCACCGTGGTGATTGCTGCGTGTCCTTGCCCTTGAGAAACGACATGAACTGGCGGATGGATAACCTCTTTCTGTTTCCTTCTTGCTGTAATACGCTAGGAGAATCCGTGCTGGCCATGGACCGAGCAGCCAAATAATGATGCTGTTGTTGGCTTTGAGTTGCAGCAGCGTTGTGTGGATTCCTGGGACTTGGGGTGGAAGAGGATGCCCCCACTCCCGTGGCAAATGGGGCGACACATGGCACCACAAAGGCAATGGAAATCACCACCAAGAGTGGACGCCAGAACGAGCCTTCATTGCATCTTCTTTTCAACAACATGACGATAATACGGTAGATACCAATTGGATGCGACTGATACAATTATTCAGCCTGCCTATGCCAGCTTCCTGCTCAATAGATAATCTCTGATTGATTCGAGGTTTGCGAACATGCAGTGAACAATCAGCAAGGGTTTGGCACACATGAACTCCAATGAATGAATGAAGGAAGGAAGAAGGCGGCTTGGCGTCAGTTCCGGAACCCCCACCACGAAAGAACGAAGATCTTCTTCACGGCTGACGTTTTTGAATACAGCACAAGCTGCTTGACGCCAATTCCGTGTCAGTCTAATAATCATTTTTCCACACTGGCTCTATCTGGCTTGCTACGCTGTAGCATCCGTAGTTACGTTCTTGCACCAAATCTGATTTGACAGGTGGCAGCTTCTGCACTACTGGTAGCTAGCTAGCCAGCACGGACTCTGGTAATAGTAGATCTTTGTGGTGGTCATCTCCCAAGATTCAAGCTCCCCTAGTGTCCGAATCCTCTGGAGTGTCCACATCATCAGCGTTGTACCTCTAGACGATTGAGGATGCGTAGCTCTCGTTTCATGCTGTTAAGAAGTGACTTGTGAGAGGTGCGGCTGCCAGCTGTCTTTCCACTGTGAGAGCGGCATTGTCCTGTTCCAAAGACACCTTTGCCTGTAACGATCTCCTTTCTTCTAAAGGCCATGGATTCATCTTTGGCCTCAAACTAGGTCAATTCTATCGTCAACTGGCTCTGACTCGTTGCGTACAAAAACCAATGGACGGACTAAATAATGTAGTTAGAAAAATAATTAGAAAGGAATCTCCAACCCATCTTCGCAATTGATAAACTTTCCAGTGGTTTCCATACTGAGTTTGCCCGTTTCGTACAAGACACGCTTGGCTCCACATTCTGGATCTACTGCACCCTCGACTTCCCAAATCTCCTTGTACTTGGCCGTCATTTCCGTTTTGTTGAATCCTGGGTGTAGAATGCCCACTGCAATCTCTTTTTCCTTGAGTTCCTGGGCCAACAGTACCGATGCCATGTTGGCGGCAGCTTTGGACATCTATTGTACAGTATGCAGTATCGATGGGTTATGATCACGATAGTAAGGCGTGTAGATTGAGTAATAAGGAATGATTGATTGATTGAATGAATGCAAAGGAATCAAGTGAGTGTGAGAAACCAGAATGGATGGCATGGCACGACAGTATCTTGTTGAGTGTGGTTCCTTACGTGATGACCATAGTCGTGACCCTTTGGGTTCTGAACGAATCTCCACTCAATGGATCCACCCTGAGAAGTAATCATTACAATTTTGGAACCTTTCTGAAGCAAATCGGCATGAAGAAAGGCGGCTGCCACACGTAGGGGTCCCACCTGACAGCAAAGCAACAATCCAGGCAAAACAAAACAATCCAAAGTAAGCAGCGAGTGAGAGGACAAGGGAATTCATAGAAACATTTGTGGATGGATGAAATAAAAAAGGCAGTTTCTTACAGCACAAATATCAATTTGCTTGAGCTGCTCTTTAAAGTTGATAGTCTCAATTGTCTCTTCTGGTTCATAGAAGTATCCAGCATTGTTGATCAGCTGTTGACATTCAACAAGAAAGAGAAGTGTTAGGAAACAACGAAAGATTGGGTAGATTGTCAACCATGTATCCATATGTATATATCAGTACATACAATATCCACCGGTCCACCCTTGACCTTGTCTTTGATGGTTTCGGTGCATTCTTCGTTCATGACATCAATCCCCGAGACTATTTCTTCTGGCTTGAGGGCGTCCAATTCGGGCGACGATTTGCGCACAATGGCCACCAGCTTGGCTCCTGCTTCGGCTAGAACCTTGCTAATCTCGAGTCCTAGACCACGATTGGCCCCGGTCACCGCGACACGCTTGTCCTTGAGAAAACTCCCGTCATAGACCGATGTGATATCGAGGTATCTGGTATTGTTTTCTTTCTTGGCATTGGCATAGCGCTCTGGCTGATCGGGGATACTGTACTTGGCGCTCATTATGCTTCCTTCGAGTTTGGGCTTTTTGTTCGCTTCTTCTGTGGACATTTAGTTGCTTTTATTATGAAGACGATCGATGATCAGAACGCGTATAGTTGCTCATCAAGTCAAGTCCGGTTGTCCGGTTCAGCAGAAGGCAGAAGACAAGAGGAGGAACAGACAGAGAGCATAAAGCTCGGGGCTAAAGATCCACCGAACCCATTTGGATCAAACTGGTACCATGCGGTATCTTTTGGAAGCACGCTGCTGGTCTTCTCACCTAACGGCTATTACTTAAATCCTATTCACCACCCAAAGATAATACAGCGGTCCAGTCAACTCGCCGAAACCGCGTTTCTCTCACAAACGTCGATGGGACCAAAACCAAAGACCAAAGATCCAAGAATCAGCTAGGTAATGTATTGGTAGAAGACACCACCCATTGTATTGAATTGCTGGAGCTAGCTAATAGGCAGGAGAGTAGATAGGAGACAGACTCGACCATGTTCAGTTCCTCCTCGAGTAGCAAGGACCAAGATGCCATGGTCTTGTCGTCCATCCAGGTGGCCTCTCAGAATTGGGAAGCCTTTCAATGGAGTGGCAAGTTGGATCAGTATGGCGTGACACTGAACACCACCAAGGAAGCCCGAGAACAAGCCCAAGCGGCTCGCAAGGACATTGTCGATACGACCAAACAATTCAAGCGTTCCGTCAAGGTGGTCGAAACTGCCAAACAAGGTTTAACATCCTCGAATACTCCCGAGACTGCCGCTGCCGCAGTGGCGGCCATTGATGCCATGTCCAAGGAATGCCGTGTCATTGTCAAGGCATATCAGGGAGAGATTGACAATCTCACGCGACGCTGCAAAAACTCCGAGACTGCGTTTAGTAATCTTTATCAGGCGTTGACGGAAATGCCAGATCCGTCGGCCGTGCTCTCGACCGTCTTGGAACAGATGCAAAAGCAACAAGCGGAAATTGAAACGCTCCAAAAGACCAACGACGAAGTGCAAAAGGAGGCACAAAAACTACAAAAGGACATGGCTCAACTCAAGAAAAACAACAAAAACGAATCTGGTTTGACGCGACAAGAAAAGGAAGAATTGATTGAATTGCGTCGCGAGGTGATGGAATACGAAATTGAGACCAAGAATCTCAAGGATCAATCCGTCACCGTGCGCAAGCTAGAAGCCAAAATTGCCGAATTGCAGGAAAATGCCGTCATTGATATGCAAGAAAAATTAGAAATTGCACAAGAAGAATTGGCCGAAACGGAGGGACGTCGAGCGGCCGAAGCATTGGAACGAGAAGCCGCCATGGAACGCAAGGTCGAAAACTTGGAACTCCAGCTCAAGGCGGAACGGGCCGGACGAGCCGCGGCGCAGTCGCATCTTTTGGATGCCGATGAAGGTGCCGGAGAGCGAGAAGCTGCCTGGGAAGCTCAACGACGCATCTTGGTGGATGATTCCGAGAGGTTGCGTCAAACCTTACATGTTGTGACGCGAGAACGCGATGATTTGGGCTTGAAGTTGGCGGCTGTTACTGGAAGAAGTGTAGGAGGCAAAACACCTCCCGCATCGGGTGGAATTAGCATGGCAGATTTCGTGTTGGAGCGAAAGGCATACGAGGCAGAGGCAAGTGCGCAAAGCTATAATTTGTCTTGTTGTTGTGTTTGGTACTGTAGTTGAAAATTCTGACAGAGCCCTCTTGTTTTCTTTGTGGACGTGGTTGGGTGCACAGGTTGCTGAACTCGCGCATACGGCAAGTTCCCTCCGAGAAGAATTGAAGGCCAAGGATGAATCCGTGGTTGAAGAAAGGAGATCGTTGCAGGCAAAGGTGTCTGCTTTGGAACAGGACAAGGCCGCTCTTTCAGCGTCCGTGTCGTCCTTGGAAGGACAGCTGGCAGCCGCACCAACACAGTCACTTCTTAACAGCATGAAAAGAGAGTTAAGGATCCTGAAACGTTTGGAGTACAATGCTGATGACGTGGACGCTGCAGAGGATCCGGAAACGACGGGAACCGGAATCTCGGGAGATGATGACGACAAAGATCTAGAGTCCGTGCTAGTGGAGAAGCTGCGACGTGCAGAATCAGATTTAGTGAAAGAACGAAATTCGAGACTCGAACAGGCAAAGGAATGTGAACGCTTGAGATCAGAGATGGAGGCTTCCAGCAAAGCCCAGACAGAAGCCGAGAAGCTTGTTCAATCTCTCGAAAAAGATCTTGAGAGAGCCATCGTCGCACCCAGCACACCGACAGATGCAGCCTCAAAACCCCGTCGCACTGCCAATATGCCAACACCCGTGTCCGAGGAGGAAGAAGCTTCTACTCTCAACAGCATCTTGGATCCAAACGCAACACCCCCACCACCTGTAGCAAAGCAGGCGCCGCAAGCCTCCGCAGCGGCCACTGAAAAGGCAGAAGATGATCATTCTGTGGCTACCATTGTAATGGCCCAGCGTGATCGTTTGAGGGCTAGATGCGAGGCTTTGGAAGCAGAACGAGACAGTTTCAAACGGGAACTGCAGGTCCAGGTTCAATCGGCAGAATCTTTGAAGAGCGACAATACCAAGCTATACGAGAAGGTCCGCTACCTCCAAAACTTTAGTGGCACTGGTGGCAATCGCGGAGGAGCCGGGTTCAACAAGCTAGGAGCGAATGACCGTGATTTGGACTTGGAAGCACTCGAGCAACGTTACGAAGCTTCGGTTGACCCTTTCCGCCAATTCGGTCGGTCAGAACGTCAGCGCAAACTAAAGGAAATGCCTCCAATGGAACGCATTGTCTTTGTTGTGGCAAAGACTGTTCTTGGAACAAAGGCGATGAGGACCGCATTGGTCGCATATGTGACGTGCCTTCATTTGTTGGTCTTCATAACTACAATGCACTGGTCGCACAATGCAACTTGTGATCATTCAGATCATGAGCATCTTGCGCACTTGCCTCCTGTGGTTCATGAAGCTGCAAAGAACTTGAAGGGAGGGTAACAACCCCCTAATTGTTGCTGCTCCTTGGTTTTGCCGCGTCGTGTCGGTTCTCCGGTCATGGAATCTGTTTGGACTCGACTCGGTTTGTCGGAAGTCAGTAAATACAATTAGTTGCAAGAAAACAATCTGGAGGTTTCAATCCACTTTCTGTTTCGTCCGCGAGTAGCAAGTTAGACAAGGGAATTTCGTGGCTTAATTAATGGAACGAAAAAAGTGTAACTATTCCTGTGCAACCCTTCTCTGCAAGGCCTTGTCAGAGTCTCCAACAGCTCAAGTATTGAGACCCACTAGCTAGCTAGAGCAGTTGCACCTTGAATGATTCAATCGACTCCCCTTTAGGCACCCAATTTGGTGCCCTGCTCCGACTGCCAGGTGTGGATGTCAAATAAATTTGAACGCAGCTCTGCCAACTAATACACCTTTCAGCTCGACGCCACACAAATTTCGCTACAGCGACATCGCGACCATGAGCGGCATGAAGCGTATCCTGACCTCGTCCGCTGCTTCCCGAAGCCTATCCTTCTTGCTGCAGCAGCAGTGCAGAGTGTCCTTAGCTCAGAATGTCGGTCGATATCCCGCCAATCGATTTCTGGCTCCTTTGCGCTCTCTCTCGACCACAGGTGGTGGTGGAAGCGATGACGGTGACAAGAAGAAGGAAGACCTAGATCCCTTTGGAATGTCGTTTGACGATGGTGGTGATCAGGGCAATGTGGGACCTGCCAGTCAGTTTCCACCCAAATTAAAGCGTGATGCTACCACTGGCAAATTAACAGGTGAAGTCGAACGGGAATTAACAGAGGCCGAAAAGGATATCCTTCAAATGGATCCCTACGAACGAGATCAATTGGTGGGCAAACGTGTAATTGAAAGCTGGAAGAATCAGGAAGACGGTGGTGGAGACACCAAAGTGGTGGAGGACTTGGGCAAACGTGTGCGGCTTGCCCAGATGTCGCTGAATGTCCTGGGACGTTCGGTCAAGGCACAAGAGGCCACAACAGTGCTAGATGATGGAGAAGAGTTTGGACGAGACAAGGAAACTGGGTTCACTCAGAACTTGACCAAATCGGAATTTGAGTCCTTTCAAAAATACATGGAAGATCAGCACAATACCGCAGTCTCGGAAGAGGATATCCCAGTTCTAGATGACTCTGCTTCCAAGTCATCGTCAAAGCCTTCTTCTGGTGTTCTGGATGACAAGGAAATCCACATGCAGGGAATTACCGATGATTCCGCGGAAGATCCCGACAATCCTGATTTGAGTCTCAAGTGGCTCACCAGCAGAGCCAAATGGGAAGTCAGCAAAAAGGTCGGTGCCGAGCACCCATTTGAAGACATGTTGCCGAGAGATTTGAATTTGTCGCGGGTAGTCAATCGAAAACGCGCCAAGCCATTGCCCACGGAGTTGCTTCACCACAACAATCTTGCGCTACTACGACGTTATATTAGTCCGGCTGGACAGATCATGCATCGTGTCAGGACACGGCTTGGAGCCAGGGATCAGCGCAAGATTGCCAAACTGATAAAGCGAGCCAGGAATTTGGGTCTCATCCCTCACTCGGGCCAATTTGTTGTGGAAGACAACGGCGACATTTATGAATCTGATATCCATGCTATGAAGCCTTGGGAGGAGGAGCTGCAAATGAGAGGGCTTACCGTCGCACCGAAGGAAATCGAAAAAGAGAAAAGCGAATGGTGAACGTGGCACGAGGAAGATACCACGGACAGGCACTTTGCGCAACGTGGTGTCTAATAATAAGAAGCTGAAAGCAATATTAGTAAGTTCATTCTCAAGTATTTGTGTTTGATTACGTACACATTATACACGTAGTAGTCTAGGTGAGCTAAGCAACCTCAACGTATCGAGGAAGGCGGCCTGTCTCTTCTTAGGGAGAAGGAGCAGGATATGGCAATGGAAAGTTTCGGTGGGAAGCAATATTTGCAGTGTTTTGCTGCTGCTTTGCAGCTTGGTAGTTACACATGCGTCCATGCTGCTGGATTGGTTGGTACGTCGGTTCCTTTAGTCTTTGGAATTGTGTACCGTAGGTTCTGGTACCGATGAACCAAGTGAGCTTCGTTCTGGAGCCGAGCCTGTGCTTCCGTGTTGGGGGCAAGTTCTTTGAGAGCTTGCGAGAAAAACATAGCCTGTGGTGTCTTGGCCTGCGAAACAAAGACATGCGCATGTTTCCTAACAACTCTCTGTTGGTCGGTCAGTGGACCCTGGTCACCTCCATCATTATTCTCCATCAGAAGTAGGACAGCAAGTCACAGAATTCTCCCCTCTAGGTGGAGCTTGTCTGGTTCGTCCAAGGGCGGGGCGTGAGGTTTGTCAAAAAGTTTTACCCATCGATTAGATTCAATGATTGCCACTGTCACGAGAAGAGTTGATAGAATGGATAAGAGTGATGACCAATTCATCTTCTGCGTCTCCAAGGGAACCTCATTGCCTTCATCCACTGAATCATCTTCCAGAACCTCTCGGCCTTGTCGGGCTGCACCAAGAGAAGTTCCAGCAGCACAGGAAGCTTCCACGAACTCTGCAGCATGAAGAAACGCCCATGACAGGACAAAAAAACTTGCCTTGGACTGCATTTGGTTGCTTCTTTGAAGGTTGAAGCTTTGACCGGTGCCGTGTTATCCATCATCGCCGTGAAGAAGATCGAGAATTAAGATTAAAGCGACAGAGCTGTTTAAGTTTCATTGCGAAGACAACGGCTTTTCAGATCCCCGCCAGGTGCAAATGGTGGCAATGGTCAATGAATACAGACACACTAGCTACATACAGAATACAGACTCGACTCGTACAAACAGGCCTAATAGTTTTGCTTACAAACTCGGCAGCTACCGGGCTTTCACTTGCTTCGTCGATTGATCATTCGCACCGGCATCGCGGCAGAATTGACGATCCTAATTTTGGATGAGGTTTCCTGCACCCTGAACCAGTCGAGACGCGACTCCATTAGTTGCTGGCGGGCTGACGATCGCTGAAGACAGGAAGAGGAGGATTTGGGTAGTATACCCAGTTCGCAGGGACTCGAGAAACCGGCTGACGAAGCTCGACTTGGCTCTGCGGGCACCACTGGCTCTGAGTGACAAACTGCGACATACTTCCATTGAATGTTGGCTGGTGGTACGATTGATGAAGATGCGAGAAAGTTGCACGGCGATCGCAAACCGTTGTCGTCTCCACGGGACTGGTGGGCGCATTTCCATACCTAGGAAACAAAGGGCTTTCCGTGCTTTCGAAGGAGGTGGCATCTTTGGAAGGGCGGCCTGGTTTCTGAAACAAGTTGATTGGCGAGTAAGAAAGCTCAAGCCCATCGGACAACGACATTTCGACTATGCCGCGTTTGGGCGTCGCCGCATCTTGTGCTTTCTCAGCAATGATTTCAAGTTCCTGATGCAATGTGAGAGTGGAAGTGTGAGGATTGCCTACATCATGCGAAGGATGAGCAAGGATGAAATTACCTTGCTCAGAAATTTGCTAATGGTTTGGCTTTCTCCGCACTGTGGTTCGGTGTCAAAGAATGCAGCAAAGTCTTCCGCAGAGGAGCGCCGAGTAATGCCTCGTGGAGGTTCCGGGAGGGCATCCGCAGCCACGGAGGGGGCAGCTTCAGTGCTCCCCACATTTGACACCCTTCGTGGTTGGAGAGGGTAGGGATCGAGGGAGGGAAAACCCATCGTCGGACTAGCAATCGAAGGACTAGAAGGAGCGTTAGCGGCAGAAAGCGTTCCATTGGCGGTGATCCCAAAGAGGTCGACGGTCAAACTATCGAGCGATGTAATGTTGCAGACCGAGAGTGCCGCGTTTTGGATGTCATCTGCTGGCTTGCCGTGAGCGCCAGTCGGAGACGAAAAAGAAAACACTGGTCCCAGAGACTCTTTGTCCGGCTTTGATTCGGCGCGATCCGGCAACAGTGGCGGGGAACGGATCGTCAGGATTGCGTTGGAGTCGGCGGGGGCCATACCTGCTGGTGGAAGGGGCTTGCCACGCAACGTTCCAGGAGTCTTGGCAGGAGCCCTTGCCTTTTTTGCAGGAGTCCTTGCTTTCTTGGCAGGAGTCCTTGCCTTTTTTGCAGGAGCCCTTGCCTTTTTTGCAGGAGTTCTAGCGGCAGTTTTGGCTTTCTTGGCCGGTCTGGGAGCTTCTTCAAACCTTACAGAGAGCGAGTTGAGACTTCCTCGGCTATGTGCTTTCCGGGTGCTTCTGGGTGGCATCATGTTGTCAAGCTCGTCAAATCCTCGGATACGTGCTTTCCGGGTGCTTCTGGGTGGCATCATGTTGTCCTGCTCGTCAAAATTGGAAACTCTACGAACTGCGGGACGTTTCTTGGGCGTTGGAAGGAACGCCAGAGGCGCAGGTTTTTCAGGACGCATGGGCTTGGGAGATTTCTTGGGTGTCTTTCTGGGAGTCTTTGTTTGGATCTTTTTGGGTGTCTTTCTGGCATTCTTCATCGGCGTTTTCTTCGGACTCTTCATCGGAGCCTTTTTGGGAGTCTTCATGGGAGTCTTCGTTGCTGCGCGTCGCACTGGTCGAACTTGAGTGAGCTGCTCCGAATCGTTAGTGTCTCTGTGGAATTTAGGGTTGTGATATCGATGCTTTCCATTGATTCTCATTCTGAAACAAAATGGAACGACAAGTGTCAGCGCGCAAAAAGGTCAAAGCAGCGACTCGAAGCGGTGTTTGGTCTACTTACTTTCCGATCGGTTCCTTTTGAAACTCGTAGTGTTGGAACTGCCGAGTCAACACCGACAGACACGCGTGATTGAAATAGGGCTGCATGAGGCCGGCCAAGTCTTGACGGTGAGTCCTATCGATGACAAACGATTGACCATCTACTGCCCAATGGACTGCTTTTGAGTTTGTTGCGCTTCCTTCGCAGAGCATCATATCCAAGTTTTCAACGAACGACTGTTTCGTCGACGTGACGACCTTGAGAGTCACGCTCTTTGTCGGCGATGACGACAAGTCCAGTTTGGCAAGGACATGAAGACGGTTGGTGCTATCGTCCTTGGTAGCACTCTTGGTAGAGGAGGAGGTTCTTTTGTTGGTGGTAGAGGAAGACGAAGAAGAAGAAACGCCATTCAATGCCACATCGCGATTCTTCGACGAATCGTGCAAAGAAGCAAGAACACGGTCGATGCTCGTGCTTGTATCCAACAACAATAGCCCAGGAGTCGGAGTGACTACTGGGAGACGAGAGCGAAGAATTCGCTTCGTTTCGTAGTGATCGATGGGGATATCCAAAGCGGCTGTCTCCTCTTTGGCCATCGCGTCTGGTTGGTGCACCGAAGGAACTGTGTTTGGCTCCTGCAATTCTTCCAGCGCGATCGGTGCAACGTCGTCCTCGGCCCTTGCTCTCTCCACCGATGTTCTCACGATAGAAGCGTTTTCCTTGCCTTCGATCTTCATCTGCTGCGGCTGTTGGGTTGATTCCTTGAGCGTCATGGTCCTTTCCTCAAGAGAAGCAAAAAGTGTCCAATTTCCACCTTTTCCTTTTTTCGAAGCCTTGCTTCTCGAGCGACTTCCGACTCGTCACTCGATTGAATCGACTCGTCACTCTGGCTCGCGAATAAAACATGCTTCCGAGAAGAGCGAGATGAGTCAGTCACGAGTCTCCAACCTCGATTCCGCGTCGTGGAAACTGTCCCAATCGAACAACCAGTACGTACGGTACCGTAGGTGCAACAGAGACATGCAAACAAGCAGACAAGGAAGAAGGTCCTGCTGTTGCGCCAGAGGCAAATGCAGTACCGTACGGTTGCATTGTTTAATTACATGAGGTAGGTGTCTTTTGATAGCAGGCTACGGTACCGCACTCCCGACTCTCGGGAAACGATAATGGTTTGAAGAACGATGACACAGGAGCAAGTTGCTCAGCTCGTGTAATGAATCTTACATGTCTAGTTTTTGAGCAAGATTATCACTGCCTTCTATTGTTTCAAACAGCAACGTCCGAAATCGATCAAACTGGGCAAGCCAAGATCCGAACTGAAACCCTCTTGAATGAATTGATTGATGTATATCCCGGCGCTCCACAAAGCCACACAATTCGAGCTCTGTGGAAACCACATCTAGCCAGCCAGCTAGCTAGAGCTCTTCCACTCCACGTGGTCCACCCATCTTGGCATCCTGAGCCCGTCGTACCAATGCATGATACATGGGAGATGTCGCAATCGATACATCCAGCTTTTCCACGTCATGTGTGAGCTTGACTAGCTGCATGATGTTATTCTCCAATTCCGATTGTGCCTGTCCATCTGCCATGAGCATTCCACTAATGGGATCATCATCGGGAGCGGCTGGAGCCGAAAAGTCAAAGACGACCATGCCATCGTCTTCGATTTCAATGTCGGGCCACTTTGTAGCCGAACTCGACGGATGGATTGTCTTTTCGAGCGACAATTGCTGCAAGAGAGCTTTGGTGGGGTCGACATCCATTTGCAATTTGGCGGCCAGATCTGTCAGGGCAATGACGGAGAACATGCGACTCAATTGATACACCTGGCGATGGACCATGGCGGTTTCGCATTGACGGACGAGTCCAAAGTTTCCGTCATTCTGCAGCAGTGCCGTGTGTTGCGTTTGCAGCGCCAGGAACTTATCTCGATCTCCAGCCACAAACGCATATACGAGATCCATGTAGACCTTGACACCCAAGGAGGTATATCCCTGCTGCCGCTGCTGTTCCGACATTTCCTCCTCTGCCACCATGATCCCGACATCTTCTGGCTGTTGTTGCTTTTGTTGTTTTTGCTGCTGCTGGGCGCGTTGCTGTTTGTTGCTATTGTTGGATGCCGTGGTCAAGAATCGAGAAATGCAATTGGGGACCGCCTTGGGGAGCGAGAGTGGTCCCCGTTGGCCATTATTTCCACCCGTGGCCGACGACTGTGCGGACCCAAAGGAGGAGAATGGATCAAACGTCTGCGCCATCATTTGTTGCCATTGTTGTTGTTGTTGCTGCTGTTGCTGCATTTGATAGTCTTGAGCGGCACGGTAGTCATCATCTTCCATTTGCAAGCATTGGACCAAGACCAATTTTTTCCAAGCGGAAATGGAGAGGGCCGACACAATTTCCGACGGAACAGAGAGACACGTCCAAAAGCATCGAACCGCCATGGGCCAATCGTTGCATCCTACATGGATCATTCCCCGCAACAAGAAATAACGGAGCACATGTCGAATGGAAATGGTTTGGGCCGGTCGCGGCCATTGATTCTTGATACAACGGGCGGCAAAGCGGTACTGTCCGGCCAAGAGCGCCACTTGGCAAAATTCCACCTGAACTTGTGTCAGAAAGGATGCTTTGGACCCTGGATGGACAATAAGAGCTTGGAGGATGCCCGATCGAGAAATGAGTTGTCGTGGGCATTTGGCAGCGGCCAGAGCGACAGCCTGATGAATGAATGAATTTAGCAAAAATACAATAATAAATCAATGACAAAACAAAAACAGACGGCAAGCAAATACAAAGACAAAAATGGAACCATGGAGAGTAGGTGTGTTAGCCAACGCGCATGAAAAACGAACGTAAAATTGGCCAACACGAAGTCAGCCTCGTCTGTCAAGTCACGCCATGTTTATGAATGCACTCACATCCAAAACCTCCATGAGCATTTTGGCTTTCATCATTTCAATTTCCATATTGGCGTTGTTGCTGTTACTGGCAGCATCTGCGACCGCCATATCCGAGGCTGGTAACTGCTGTGCCACTGCCTGAAGATAGAGCGCACACAGCTGGGCATTCCCCTCGTCTTTCATGCAAGAGGCCGTGGTCCCTGCCAGGAGCCGCCAGAGCTCTCGACCGGGAGGTCGCGTGGCCATGGCATTGAAACAGCCGGCAGGATCATCCATAAAGGCTGGAACGCTAGCAGCAGAATCCGACATGGTGATAGGATGATGGATAGATAGATAGACAACAACAAAAGAGAGAGTTACGGTAGGACAAGGACAGTGACTTGAGCTGATGGGCACGAACGCAATGCCACGAGCGAAACTTGGATCGGTTTTTTTCTTGTGGTCGCTGCCAAATCTTTCGGCTTTGTTGTTTGGATTTAGCTAGCTAGCAGAGCTGTTGAACAGCGGCCGCACCCGCATGAGACGAGCACCCTTAGCCAAATTCTCTTGCCAAAATGACCTCAACGCTTTTGGAGAGACGCAAGCGTGCCTCCAGAGATTATGAACAGCACAATAATAACCTCATCAGCCAGAAGGACATGAGTGCACAGCGGCACAGCTGCACAGCTCGTCTTGTCTGTCACAACAACCTCTGGCAACAACAACAGGTGATTTTATATTCCATTCTCTTCGCCTGTTGGCCTTGGTAGTAGTGGTTTGAATTGCTTGTAGGAAACGGATCTAGCTAGTCTAGGCTTCCCGAGTGACTGACTGTTGACTGTAGAGGCCGGTGCTCTATCAGTTTCGGTAGTTTCATCACAACTTCATTGCATCAGTGGATGCCTGATTGAACGAGTGTGTGGGACGTTTTGGTCTGGTCTGTTCTGTTCAAGGAGGCATTGTTCATCTTTGGCATCCAAAAAGTCGAACTGGCATCGCAAGAAGAGGTTGATTTGACGTCCTTGCCTGTCTGTCTTCAGATTGATCCACAGTCAGGTGCTGCCCCATTCCATTCGATTCCATTCCATCAGTCATTTACGTTCTGTTACGTTCTGGATTCCAACTAGACTACTTGATGAGCTTGACTGCCTTGACGAGTTGGATGGTCAAGGAGTATGCAATTTTTCCGCGGCAAGAACAAAAAGGACAGCAACAACAACAACAGCAACAACATCGACGACGACGAGGGGGAAGGGCAACAAAGCGACAATAATAATACCAAAATGCAAGAAAGTGACCTGCTCAGCGAGCTAGACCAACTTGCTAGCGAACCAACCACCAGCGCCGAATTCTCGGACGATCCACAGCACGCGACGACGACAGCGCCAGCCGCGGGAAGCGGCACTGTCATGGACGTGATTGTCGCGGGTGTCACTTCCAACTTGAGTGGTGGATCTTCTTCCGCCGCGGCGGGTGCTGCGAGTGGCGGAGTAGAGAGTCTCAAGATGCTCGACAGCGACGACGGGGCGGATATGGACATTTTTGATGATGACGACGATGATTACGGTGGAGGAAGAGAGGATTTTGCCGAAAAGAGTCCCAGCAGTTGGGTGGGAGGTGGACCCAAAAAACAAGTATCACCCGCACTCAGAGAAGAAATCAAAGATCTACTCAGTACTCCACTCACTATCCCCACACTCGTACAGCCACAACACAAACGAGACGAATTTGGAACAAGTGACGACGATCACGACGATGATGATGACGACGATGCGGAAGGAGAGGAGGATAAATCTTCCGAAAGTGGGGAAGATTATACGGACGATGAAGACGAAGGGGAGAGTGGTTACAAGCCTGGAGGCTATCACCCTGTTAATGTTGGAGATGTCTTTAATCAAGGGTAAGCCTTGTTGTTTGATGCCTTAGGAGGAGGGGTGTTGGTGGTGTCTTACCCTTTCGTTTCTTTCTTTATTGTCACCAGTCGCTATGTTGTCATTAAGAAGCTTGGCTGGGGTCACTTCTCAACTGTGTGGATGGTCAAGGATAGGAAGGCTCAGGCTGCCGGGAAGGGTACACATTTCTACGCTCTCAAGGTCCAAAAGTCTGCAGAGCACTACACCGAAGCGGCCATGGATGAAGTTGAGCTCTTGGACTGCATCGCGCAAAAGCGAAAACACGAAGCGACACTCCTGGGAAACCCAAGTACCGACGAAGAGGGCGTCACCGCTGTTCAAATGGTCGACCACGCCAAGTTCTCTGCCACTCTACACGATTCCTTCTTCCACACGGGACCAAATGGACGACACATGTGCATGGTATTCTCCATGTTGGGCTGCAATCTACTTAGCGTCATTAAAGCGTTCAACTACCGCGGGATCCCCATCGAAGTCGTCAAACGAATGATACAGGGAGTCTGCAAAGGACTCGATTTTCTTCATCGTCGATGCAAAATTATTCACACCGATTTAAAACCCGAGAATGTCCTCCTGCAATTCCCAGATCAATTCGATGACGATGATGAAGTCGGAGCATCTGGCATGGCATCATTGTCCATAGAAGACGAGGAAGGCAAACTGCATGGCGTCGAGAAGTCAATTCAGGAGCTCGAGGCTGCTCTCCAAGATCCGACGCTTCCAGCAGACGAACGAAAGAAAATAAAAAAGCGCCTTAAGCGTAAACGCCAAAAAGAGAAGAAAAGAGCTGCTGGAAAGGCCGCCAACAATGACGAAGACGATGATGATGACGACGATCAAATGGACGAATCCGATGATTCGGAGGATTCTCCAGATGAAGCAGCTGAAACTGCGTCTCCGACGTCGCCCCTTCTCAGCGCGTTTACCGATCTGACCATGGAGAAGATTATCAGCAGTGCGTCTGCCATGATGGCTCCGTTGAGTGGAGACGCGACCGAGTCTCCAGCCGAATCTCACAGTCGAGTAAAAAGAAGGCTGAATCACAGCCCTTTTGTACTCTGCAACTTTGGGCCTCATGTGTCGGAACTAGATGCCAAATTGGTTCAGATCATGCGGGATTCGGTCAAAATGTCGTCAGCGAGCGCCGAAGATATGAAGAGTCGACTCGTCGACGCAGAAAAGCTCGGTGGTGTAGCTGAAGTTAGTTTCATGCTGAGGGCCTTCGCGGCAGAAGAGGAGTTGGCTGATGCCATTACAATTGCACTAGGCGGTGTTACTTGGGATGGTGGTTCTCGTGACGATGTCGATCGAGTTTGGTAAGTTTGTTAGAGTGCGGTGTGGTCGCGTAGCTGCAATCCATTCGCTTTGTCCGAGGGGTCTCTAATTGTTTTGTGTTGTTGGTGATTCTCTCGTTTCCTCGTCTCCAGGAGATGCAAGATATCGATCCCCACAGCTGTCGTAGAGAATCCAGCAGAAGCAGCCTCCGCTTCTAGCGCTTCTGTCGCAACCTACTTTGAAATCGGTCAGAAGACCAGAACGCTCACCTCGGCCGGGGAAAAACAAGATCTGTCGGAGCTCGCAATGCTAGTGGGCGCTAATCTTACGGACGAAAGCGACGACAATGCCGAACTACCCGATGCACCGGGTTCCCCATCCGCGAGCAAATCCCCACCCTTTTCTCTTTTCAAGGTCAAATTCCCTATTAATGCTACCCAGGTTGTGTTGAGCTTGTTGGAAAGTCGGCTACCTGGTCTTGCATTCTTGACGTATAGACGAGACGAAGGGATCCCGCAACTGGACAATATATTGTTCGGTTCTCGAGCAAAGGCCATCTGTAACCATTCACTTGCCATGAGGATCAAGGATGCACCTTTGAATCCACTGTGTTCGATGGCAACCGCCTTGGTGGGTTTCGACTTGAGACTGGTTAAAGATTTCGGTGCGTCCCGAGGTGATGGCGTTGCCGCTTTTGACCTGAACGACCTTTCCAACGAGAAAGTTTTGAGCTGGTGGAGGGCTCGGAATCCCTTGAAGGATCGGCTAAAAGCCTTCACTGGAACGGACCCTTCCCCAGAGATGTTTACTGTTAGTGCACCGGAGGATCAGAGAGAATCCAGGAAGACGACCCCGGTTGTTGATCAAACTTTTGTGGAGGGCGGCAAGAAGCTGATGGCCAGTGAATCATCCACTGAGCCGTCGTCGTCGAGAGAACCATCCCAGAGCAGTTCCGTTGCTAGACACTCGTCTCGCCAGCCCGATCTGCGAGACAAGGACATGCTGATGACTTGTCGAGCTGTGATTGTTGATTTGGGAAACGCTTGCTGGACTCATAGACATTTTAGTGAAGACATCCAAACAAGGCAATATCGTGCACCTGAAGTTCTTATTGGAGCAAAGTAAGTTCCTTGTGTCCGTTATTGCCATGGTTGCAGTTTAGATTTTGTCTTTCATTTTGCTAATGATATCCCTCCTTTTGTTGTGTTCCAGATACGATACATCGGCTGACATTTGGTCGTTGGGTTGTATGACGTTTGAGCTGCTGACTGGCGACCTTTTGTTTGACCCCCGGGCAGGCGAAGATTACGATCGTGATGAGGATCACTTGGCCATGTTCCAAGAGCTCTTGGGCAAGATGCCCAAACGACTTGCAGTGGAAGGGAAGTACTCAAAGAATTTCTTCGACAAGAAAGGAAATCTGAAGCACATCAAACATTTGAAGTTCTGGCCCATCCAAGATGTCCTGGTGGAGAAGTATCACTTCTCGGAAGTGGACGCCCACGCCGTTGCTGATTTCATGACTCCTCTGCTAGACTTCGATCCAAACACTAGAGCAACGGCGCTGGAAGCACTGCGGAGCCCCTGGCTGAAGGACACGTGATACCAGGCTACAGCTCGTACATTTGTTTAATATCGGTTTACCATAGTGATTTTACTTGCTTCATGTTCAGTTTTTTACTCATTTCGGTACATTTTTGGTGGTGACTGTTGACAGTGCTTTCGTTTAGAGACGAATAAATATCTTCTCTAGTATTGGAACTGTAGTGTCTATCATAACAAAACTACAAATCAGCGCGGTGCAAAATAGCGCTTCCGTGTTCTTCATAATCGGCTCTGGACACCCACATGGACTTGAAAGTGGCAAGACTGGCCAAAATAGAGCCACCAACATAGGCAGAATGAAGCCTTTCCGGAGGCGCCGAGATTCGTATACGGGTGTGAGAAGGTGATCTCGACCGAACTTCGTACAGCATTCGATCTCCAAAGCCCTGGAACAGGGTCGATCCACCTGCCAAGACAATCTGGGAATACAGCTTGGAGCGCAAATCTATATCACTCTTCATGATGGAAGTGACAAGGACGTCAGCGACACCAGCTTCTTCGGATCCAAACAAGAATGGATCAAAGAGGACGTTCGGTGCTTGGAATCGTTCGGACGCCAAGCTAACTGCCTGTCCATCAGGAAGTTGATACTGCGTCTTTGATTCCTTTTCTGCAACTTCGTCATTGGCACTGGTGGGATTGGGCGTGCAGTAGCATACCTCTTCCTTCAACGACTTGACCAGGTCCACCTCTGCAGTGGTGGTGAATGGGAGCCCTGAACGACGCAGTAACAGCTGCATCTGGCGTGTCACATCACGACCGGCCACATCACTTCGTGTGACGGAATGGGGCAGAGCAAACCCCTCATAGACGGGCACGGCGTGAGTGACTCCTTCACCTACATCCAAGACCACACCAGTGGTCCTTCCAGAAGCGTACAGACTCAAAACGGATGGCGGTGTGAAGAACATGGCAGGGGATCGGAATGTTTCAAAGAATATTTCGGCAGTTTTGTCGCGGTTAGTTCTTGGATTCAGAGGAGCCTCCGTCATCAACACAGGATGGTCGTCAATTTTGGCGTTCAAATTGTTTTTGGCATAGACATGCTACCAAGTGTATTGTTTGGGGGGTGTTCGAAGAGGAGCAATAGACTGATGATCAGCAATACAAATAAACAGTCAGTAAGATCACCCAGATAATCAGTACAAAGCGTACCTCCCATAGACGCTCCATGGCATCCCAGCCTCCGTCAGAAACGTATCCTTTATCCATGGGGTACTCTAGCAGGAAAGCTCCTCTGTGCTCATCAAGTTTTCGACCAACGAAGATAGAGGATGGACCAGAAAGATCCTTATCAGCTTCCAATGCTCCTCCTGGCATGATCCTCATGTGCTTTGCCCGTCCAACCTTGGTCCCAATGACCACCTAATGGATGAAGATAGATTTTGACAGTGGCCACGGCGGACAATGCCATTGTGAGAAACGTTATCCTCTTCAAACCATCCCTCCATCTCGGCTGGCTTTATCAACCAATTGTCCAGAGATGAATAACGAATGAATATACTCTAACGATACAGGCTTACCTTGGGCTTGGACCCACCGGCAAAGCCTGCTTTTATCGTGCTACTACCATTGTCAATGACAACAGGTTGGTTCAGCAAAAGACCTCCGCCTGCCTCGCCGCCGCCTTCAGCTCCAGCCTCACTGCTCATAGCACTCTACGGTATTAATACGTCGCCTTGCTCCGAGATAACAGCTCCACAACAAACAAGTCTGTTCCTCTTCGCCTGGAGATGCCGACTGGTCTTTGACGACGATCTTTTGCCAACAGCCATGGTGGCAGTTCGACGCTACTCCAAAGGATTTCGGAGCGAGGACGGCGTTCGTTCTGCGCCACACGCGCAGATTAGAAAGACCCACACTTGCCTCCAGGCAACTTTTACACCCCGTCAGGCAGGGCTGAGCCTTGGCCCCGTTTGTTTCAAGGCGCACCCCGCCGCCGTGCTTATTGTTTATACTGTATCTGGTGCAGACGATGACGAAGAGAGAGGTAGTCTACATCGCGTCGGATCGCTCCTCAAAAGCGGCCGCGGATGAGACGAGCTTGTGCATGCATTGAAACGGAGTTTATTATAGTAGATGTAAGTTATGATATGATAAAATAAATGTATGGTAGATTCGATGTCCCAAATCCTGACGGAATCAACCCAAAATTCTTGGTTTCTTGTTCGTAGGAAGATAGAAGATAGAAGTTGGAGGAGGCAGCAAAACAAATAGAACGTTTGAAAAATGAATGAAGCATAGGAATGGAAGGGAAGCAGCCGCCTTTCAAGCTGCAAAACCAACTTGATGAAGCGAAGCTCAAGCTATCGCAGCCACTTCAAGATCTTTCTTCATTTTGAGATAGGTATCCAATTTCTTCTTGTCCGGGGCGTCATCCGAAGGCTGAACCGCGGGGAAAAACTCATCCGCGGTTTGCGATACAGCCACCCAGCTGTTCACGAGCCCTGGTCCTTCCTGTTGCCACTTTCGGCGGTTTCGTTCGGCCCTTCGCATACAGTCGACTCCGGAAGTCCCAAAGACACCGCAATCTTGCATGCGGTGTGCAAGAGGAATGACATACGTGTCAAAAAACTTGGTTTCGCCTTCGTACCAGGTCAGGCAGGGATCGTCCTGCAGCAATCCGAGCTTGTAGTCTCTGAGGTGCGGAAGTAACAGAGAGAGCAACAAGTTGAGATTTGTTTCAAGCAACAAGGCAGAAAGGCCGGACTCACTCGGTTACTTTCAACTTACCGGCGCATTTCATGGAACAACGCAGAGTTCCACCTGATGTATTTGGTCCAACTCTGCATTGTGTGGGAAATGTCAGCGGCCTGAATCAACAGTTCCAACAGAGCAACGCTCTTTTGGTCGGAGCTACTCCTATCTGTCCCTTCGGCGGTCAGATCAAAAGCCTCTTCCCACCGTGTCAGACGATCCCTGGCCATGTCAGGGTCAAAGATGTCGGTTGCAATCACTTCATGAACCAATATCTGGTGAAATCGAACAAATTCGTCTTTTGTTTGGTAGATGCAGGCACGGAGATCTGCAAATTCGGGACGAAGCCAGATCTCCCATCCTTTCTCTAGCGAGTTCTGTTCCTGGGTGGCCTTGCCGCGGTATTTTTCATGCAGTGTGGGTTCGGCCGATGACAGACAGCTGTTGGGCATGCTGCGGTGATCGACGTCGTGCAAAAGGGCTGCAATCACGGCGGCAAACCGAGATACGCTGTCTGTTGCAATTCCCGCAACACAATCATCAGTGTCGCTTTGCTTCAAAGATGCTTCATACAACCACCGGTTTGCCGCTTCACACACGCTAACAGCGTGGTCAAACGAGTGGAACGGCGCCTCAGAATTGTGCTTGGAAGCGACAACCTCGACAAAATGGTGGAGCTGCTGTTGCACCTCGTTACCCAGAACAACTCTCTTGAGATCGCGAACGCGAACGTCTTTCGTGTCGGGGAACACAATCGCCTCCGATGCCTTCTCCAGCAGGTTCACGTCCTTCCCGATTGTCTGCTCCAGCTCCTTGATGGCTGCGTCCTCGGCAGGAGTGCGTTTAGCACCATTCCTTGGTCTTGCGGCCACGATCTGCTTGATGAGATTCAAGAGAATATCCGAGACTACATTGATGTTGTCGTCCTGATCCGCGGACGAGAAAGACGATCCAGGGCAATCGGACATTTCTTCCGTCTTTGGGGTACATGTAGTATCGCCCGCACTGATGGCGTCGTCAACTTCTTCGTCGTCTTCGTCCTCGATGTTTGCAAGGTCAGCAAGTATGTTGTGAACGCTTTCAGAGGCCGCCTCTGATACGTCGGGAATCGGAGGCAAGTCCATATCGATCATTTCGTTGCCAACCCAGTAAGTCATCATCTGGAGGGCAAAGTAAACAAAGGGAAGAGGAGGTGACATGGTTTTTAAGCAACGTGTACCAAGTGTCGTCAAGCCAGATCGTCCATTCGAACGCTTACCTTGCCCTTGCCCTTGACTTCAATCTTTCCGCGCAAAGTCACCGGAATCTCTGGGGCCTGTTGCATCAGAAGCTGTGCTGCGGCGTGTGTGCAATGGATTCGTCCAACCACCGAGTTCGACTCCATTCTTGATGCTGTATTCACCTGTAAACATCAAGGCATGTCACCTGGTTAGGCCCTTGTTTAGTCGTCATGTTGCCTTCCTTCCCCAAGTCAAACGTACCGTGTCGCCGAAGAGTCCATATCTCGGATTCAAACTGCCAATGACATTACTCACGACAGGACCGCTGTGGAAGCCTACTCGAATCTTCACGCAACCTTTTTCGGGTGCATCCTCGTCGATCAAGATCTTGCTTGCAGCTGCAATGATCTCCATGGCATACTCAGCAACTTGCTTCACATGGGTTTCGAATTCCTGCCCGCTCAGGTTTGTCACACCCATGTACGCTGCATCAGAAAGAAGAGAACGTGAGGTTGTCCTACTAGACTGGTTGATGCATGGAAAGATGCAATTTACGTACCATCTCCAATCGTCTCGACTGTAGGACCAGGAAAGCAAAGAGATGGACAGAGGTCAGAACTTACCGCAACAACACACAATAGTCGAGGAAGCAGCAAAGAATGTCTGCTCACCTTTGAAAACATTGTGCCTTGTAGCACATGCATCGAAGGCATTGTAAAGTCTGTCGAGCATCTTTGATACTTGAATTGGTTCAAATGTTTGGCTGATGGTGGTGAATCCAACAATGTCCGAGAAGACAACTGTCACGATCTCATGCGATTCTGGTTCAACTTTCTTGCCCGCGTTGAGCGCATCCGCTACCGCCTTTGGGAACACATCGTAAAGGGATGTCGGTCTGTTCCTTTCCTTCTTGTTTTGCTGCATTCCAACAAGAGGTTCCGCCTCTTTGCTACTCATCTCCACAAGGATGTAGTCAACATCCTTGGCGGAGGGGCGGAAGAAGGGATTTGCGGACCAGCACTTCTTCATAACTTCCGCCATTTTTGGTGGACAAGCTTCTGGAACGGGTGGGCGCTTGTTGATGCGGGGATGGCAGACCTTTGGGAGAATATCCCTCAAGTCTTCGCCTTCAAAGGGATCGCTGCGAGCATAGATTTCATAGAGAATCATGCCGTAAGAGTACATGTCGCACTCGGTCGAGTATTCCGTCTTTCGCTTCAAGTATTCTGGAGCAAGGAAAATGGGCGTTCCCTGTAGCACACTTTTGGTCTTGCCTGTCCCGCATTTGATGTGACTGAAGCCAAAGTCAGCGACCTTGGCCCTGAAACGACTATCGACCTGGGTTGGCAGAAAGAAACGTTAGGACACGAGTGCTTGGGGATTGGACCCAACATATACAACCCCGCACTTACCAAGATGTTCTTGGCCTGACAAGGGAGGCAGGCAACGGATGAGTTCAAAAGCACAGATTTAGGCGAAGAGGGAAGACGGAGACCGACGACGTACCTTGAGGTCCCCGTGGAGAATCGGTGGCCTGGAGCTATGAAGGAAATTGATTCCCTGCGTAATGTCTTTGATGATTTGCAGAATGATTTCTCCGCCAGCATACATGCTATGGGTGGCATCGCAAGATTTGTGAGAAGTTGAGGCGAGCGTGAGGATTACAAACAGCGATGGTTAACTCACGTTTCATTCCGAAGGAGATCCTGTGGATGGCATCGCAATATTTGTGAGCAGTTGAGCCGAGTGTGTGGATTTCAAACAGCACAATGGTTAACTCACGTAAAGGCTTCCGTACTCCCTGCGGCGGTAGGTGAATGAGCAGAAGCAGATGTTAGAGACGAACCTTGTCACCAAAGATCGCAGCCAGTCCAGTACGTACATGTACTCCATCACAAGCATTGGGTCAACTCGTGGAGCGATGACTGCCCCCATCACGGTTGTGACTGGCCGCCAAGAAACACAAAACTTTGTGAGACCATATGATGAATCGAATCCAGCAGATGGGTACTGGTACGGTTACTTACTGCAGGGATGCCTTAGGCGAGAGAGCAGACGCATCTCATTGACAAACTCTCTGCGGAGCCGGGAATGTTCATCAAATCGCATCCACAACGGTACCATGTCTGACAACCTGCTGCGGCTGCTGGAACTGGCCATGTAGAATCCATTCCAGGAACTGCTTCCATGGTTAGAGAGTGTAGCCGTTTCGAGGACCTTCAGGGCGCTGTTGTACTTTCTGTCATCAAGAAGAAGCTCTTCCCATGCCTTGTTATTGGACATACTGATGTTGCTACTGCTGTGTTTCTTATCCGGCGGGGCTTCAATGTCTCCGTCAACCTCAGCAAGGAACTGGACGTTTGGCTTGGAAACCTTGGGATCTTTTTTAGACATCGACGCTGTCATTGTTTTCGAGGGTGCTTTATTCGACAACTGAAGCGAACCCGACCCCGACAGCTGTGACGAGTGATGAGAGTCTTTGCGTTGCTTGATTTCGGGTGGCAAAACCCGTTTCACGGCGACCTGATTGTGTAAGCGCGCAAGGATTGAAGCACAACGACACAGTTTAGCTGCACTGTCTATCGGACCTCGGACTGGAAGAGACACGACATACTCATACCTTTGTTCCACGATATTGGCCGAGTACAACGACACCAAAGGCACCCTGGCCAATCACCTCTGGAGGCTCATTCAAGTGCAATTCATCCACGCTCACGTGCCATACACTGTCTGTTTGCTTCTTCTTGTACTGAAGTAACATACCAACGAACACCGCTAAGACGGCGAAGGCGAGGCCAAAGATCATCAAAAAGAACCAGTGCGCCTCCAAACATTTACTGCCCAGCTCGTAGGTGTTGTCACGGCAGACACAGTTTCCAAGCGCATCAGCTTGTCGTAGGGCACTCTCGCCGTAGATAACGTCGCAGTCCTTGGGTACAACCATCACTCGAATTGGGGATTGCGAAATGGGGACCCCATTCACGGAAATGTCGACAACTTGTGTTTGCACAGCCTTGTCAAAAACAGTGAACTCGTAGGCGTACGTTCCCTCAATATGGTTGACCCAAAGCTCTTTTTCCTCGTCTCCAGCGTGAGAGACGACATGGACAGTAGCACCGTCCCTCATCTCATTGTCGTAGATTCGAAGGGTAATGCTCTCCCCTTGCTCCACCTGACCGCAGATAGACATTTTCTTACAGCCTGAAAAGAAAAACATAAAAACCGGAGTTAAGTCGACCAGAGGAGCGCTTTCCAAGTCCCTGGACCAGCATCGCTCTCACAACCATATTATCTTCACGTACCTGGAAGGCTTGTCCCGTAGTGTTCCACGAGATGGAGATCTTCGGCCCCTGCTTCATGTTCGTAAACATCGACGTCATAGGCTTCGACGCAGGGCTTACAAAAGCAATCGTAGTCCTCATTCTGATCACAAGACAAGCCTACTTGGGCACAGCCATTGAGAAACTCATCCTCACTTCTCTTAAAGAATCCTTCAGGACACGTGATGCCCTCATACAAATTTGACGGACGGGTGCAGTACCAGTCTCCTTCATCGTTTTGAAGCATGAAACCAGCCTCTTGCTGCATTGTCCGAAGTTCAAAGTAAGACCGACTTGTACGAAATCCCGCGAACAAGCCCACCTTGGAGGCAGTAGATGCAAGTTCGGCCAATTCATGGGTAGTGTCACATGGGGCTTCTGCGTAGTAATCCCATGGCTCCACGGCTTCGCAGAAGTCGGCATCCAAATTTTCCTTGCACTTCTTCACTTCGTCCCCCACCTTGGCGTACTTCTCGAAGCTCAAGAGAGCTTCTTGGACCTCCAGAGCCACATCAGATGCAACACTATCCATGGCTGCCAGAGGCCTAGATACAATAGATAGACAATGACTTAGTCAGAATAGTTCCATCACTGGATAAGGTGGGTATGACTTGTATGTATTGACTTACCACTCCGGGAATATGTCTGTGGAATGCAAGAACTATGCATAGAACAGGAGACAGCCAGAAGCAAGATGAGATTGGTTTACAAGAGACGAATGTGACCAACCATACATGTACTTTGTACTTCGGAATAAAGGACTCACCGGGAAGATGTCTCCATTCTGCATCACGTAGATCTTTGGTTCAATGATCTTGAAGAGATCAGGATCAAGCAAGTTGCCATGTTCGTCCTCGGTGATCTCAATTTGATCCGTTCGAATGAAGCCGACATCGAAAATCCCATCCAAGACACCATTGACGACATCAATTTGATTCTTGGTGAAGACCACCTGACGGGGGTCGTTGACATAGGACAAACCCGCACGTCCCATCTAAAGCAGCAACAGCAACAACAACCACGCGTGAGGGGACTGAATGTTTGTGGATTTGTCACCAAAAGACAAAAAGGGTTGAATAAACATACCTCATAGATCTGCATCTGGCCTGCCATCAAGTCGATGATGGCACCCGCACCAATGATCTTGTCCTTCAGGTCTCCGATTGAGTTTATCTCCTTGTTGTCAGCCCTCACGGCAATGACTCCTCCGTAAACATCAAGATCGAAGGTCTTGTCTCGAACCGTCAAGCGCTTGACAGCAGTGGTGAGCGCTGTCGCACCGACTTCAGTTCCAATGCATGAATACACGCCAGGGTTGCTGTAGAGAAAGTCCAATTCATCATTATCAATTGCATTAAAGATGCCATCAAAGTAGAAAGGTTTCACTTGGAATTGAATGGGTGGGTCGAAACGCTTCCCGGCCGTTTCGGTCAGGTACGTCGCAAAGGTCATGTTTGTTTCTGCCACTGCTGAATCGAGTCCACGAATGGCATGGACGCCAACAGTGTACACCGACTTGTGAACAAAAGAGTCAAAGGGATGAGTCTCTTCATGACAGAACTTGCTGTAACTATTGTTCGAAGAAGCCGTGGTGCTATGCGCAAACGAGGCTAGCAGAAGCAGCGAGAGCAAACCTCTGGACATCATGTTGTTTGTGCTTTCTTGGTTGTTTTGGTGAATGTTTTTTTGTTTTTTGTTTGAGATTTGTGAGCCAACTTCCAGGGAGGATCTTCTGTTCTGTTTTGGAGTGACGAGCCTGCGCAGCCAGTTGCGAATTTCACCGGGCAAACGGTTTGGTCATCAAAGGTTGCGGACTATTCGCTTCGTTCTCTGCGGGGCTTGAAGGAAGGTTGAGAAAGAATCCTCCTTGATCCTTGATCCTTGATCCTTTGATCTTTCCGCTTGTCAAGCATTGATACAACCCCCCCCCTCTTCTCTCTCACTTCTTACCGTACAGTAACCGTACAGTAACCGTACCTCTTCCTTGCCCCTCGCTGCTCCCCCCCTTGAATTCTCATTTATTTCAGCCAATGGACAGCTCGTCAGGACGATGGATTCGCTTTCCGGTACCGGTACCGCAGCCAGAAAGCGGAGGCGACAGAATAATGACCTTTCTAAGCTCTTTTCTAATACTGATGAGTACCTTGTTTGTTTGGTTCGGATTGGAAAACTTCAAAGATTCCAAGTCATCCAGGAACAATGAATAGGGAGTAGGAAGGAGACAAAGGTGGCCGCAGAAGATACACTACATTTGAGTAAGCCACTAGCAATAGTGTAGCTAGCTAGTGCCTGCTTGCCAATGGAGGTGATTCTTACATGTACTAGCGTTCCAAGGCAGCAAATGCGAGTGCGTACTGGTACGGTACTAGACGTAGCGACGTGATCAATAGATATACAAGGTCATTGTACGGGAGGCCCAACCAACACGCATGCCCAGAGGTCCTGCCTTGGTGTCCCGGTGTGCTCATTTCGCCTTGCCTATGAGATCGCTGCTGCTAGCTAGTACCTGCTACGTGTACCCACTACCCCAAGTTATCTTAGTTCGTGGTGTTGACACTCCTGGTACATGTAAAACGAAGACCGGTCAGCAGAGACTGGTAGAATTCAATTCCTTGAATGTTCCCTTTGGATTCCAGAAACGAAGTTGAACTTTCTTTTCAACGTTTGTGCTCTCTGAAAGACTTTTTTAAGATGTCCGCCAACCTCCAGCAACCTTCAACAGCTCCTTCAACCAAGATTGCTTGCAGTCCTCGGGGTCGTTGCAGGCAGCCCTTCTGTGTACCGTACCTACCGGTATGCCACCGGTTATGTACCCAGTGCCGTTGTCGTTGAGATTGTAGGTAGGTACGGTACCGCACTGGCAGCAGGAAAGTCCCGCAAATGCTGAAATCGCTGAAAGGCTATGTAAAAGTGTTGATATTTGTTTCAACAGTCAAGAGATTCGTTAAACAGTTAGTCAACACTTTTTCAACACTTTTTCAACACCTTTTCAACACTTTTTCAACACTGTTGAATACAGTTCAACACTGTTTTCAACACCTGTTGAATCCAGTACTCTAGTAGTTTGCAGTAAAAGTGTTGAAAATTATGTACAAATTTTCAACAGTATTTTCAACAGTTGCTGAAGGAGAATCAACAGTTAATCAACACTTTTTCAACACTTAATCAACACTTTTTCAACACTTTTTCAACACTTAAAGTCCTTATTCAACAGTTCAGGTTGTTTAATTAAGAGAATATCGCAGAATTCAGCTTTTGCGGGACTTTCCAGCTTCGGTACACGTTTAGTGCGATCTTTGCGTGATGAGGATGCTCTGTTACGGTAGCTTCTGACCTGTACATGTACAGCTAAGAGAGCCACGTGGCTGGTGTTCGTTTCGACAGTTCTCGTTAAGCCTTTCAGGCCTCCATTCTTCAACCCATTCTCAAGCTCAAAACTATGCATACTCGTTAATTAAATTATTATTGAAAGCTTGCAGCCGCATACAATGTCATGTACCGTATGTACCGACTCTTGCCTCCACTTCCGTTCCTTCTATTCGCATACCGGCACCTTACAACAGCTGTACAACAGAGCAGCTCACACTGGTAGAGCTCTAGATAGTAGCACCTGTTTGCCTGTTTGGGTTTTGGATGCTGCTTCCTCATCATGATTCCTCAGCTTCTTCTTTCTCTGTGCCTTGCAAGGTTGAAGAAAGAGGTGTATCGTGTATCGTCTTCACGATTCCTCCCTCGGGGAGACGGAGATAGGCAAAGCCCTCATAGAGCACTCACACATATGACATGTTGCTTTTGGAGCTTGTTTTCTGAAAAGACCACCAGCTTGGCTCGGTTTGACGCTTCTCAATATTCAATCTTGTCAGCAGAAGAATCAGTGCAACGTGGTACCTGCTTCCACATCTAAGTGCATCTTCCGATACGAATGATGCGTCTCTTTCAGCTCTCTTTCCCACTACCACGTAGAAGTCTTCAAACTTTTCTAACCCTCTAGATCTACGAACAGCATATTCGACTGAGTGTGGATGGAATGTCTCCATCTCCCCAAATACCTTTGTGATGGCAACTCCATTCCAGATCGTGGAATCTGCCGCTACCGGTACTTGCGCTGGGTCACAGCGTCACAGCACTGGATTGCTGGTGGGTGGTGAGTGTGTGGTTGTGCCGGTACCGGTACAGTATACTCCTTTAGTGATGGATGGGTTGGTTAGACTAGCTGTTGTTTATGATTCTTAATCCACTGTAACGCTGTAACGGTAGCTGGATACGGTCAACACTTCGCCAATGACGGCAAAAGAACATCAAAGAGCACTGCACACGAAGTAAGAACGTAAGAACAGTCGAAGAACAGTGGCTCTTGTTCTCTCTTCCTTCTTCTTCAATATGAAGACATCCACCATGGCCACAGCTCTGGGAGGTGGAGAAATCTAGTGCCATCCCATGTGCCATGCTGCCAACCAGGGTAAACCATGACCAAGACAGCAAGACAGTGGTTGACAGTTGACAGTGGTAAACAGGCACTGTCAATCACTGTCTTTTTTGACTGTGTTAAACAGTTTAGAACAGTTGTAAGACAGTGGTAAAGACAGTGGTAAGCAGTGGTAAAACAGTGGCACGGCCCCAGCTCTGGGAGGTGGAGAAATCCAGTGCCATTCAGCTTGCCATCCCATATGCCCTGCCAACCAGGGTAAACCATGACCAAGACAGCAAGTGGGTTGACAGTGGTAAACTGGCACTGCCAATCAGTGGTTGGTAGTTGTTCCATGACTGAAAGCACTGGTGAGAATGGGATGGCATTGATTTTCTCCACCCCCCTGAGAGGTGCGGTGGTCGAGAAGTCCACAGAATCTGATAATATTTTAATATTATGTTGCAAAAGCACTACCATACCGGAAGTACCGGAGAGCCGGCTCTTCATCCAAATTTGTGTGAGCCTTCAGAGAGGAAAGCGAGAAATATGTAGCAATCCTGAAAGAAAACCAGCAAGAACACTGAGAGCGTGGCTCCAGGTCCAGCTTTGAGTTTGGCTTCTCTGGAAAAGTTGAAGTGTTGGTGGTTGTGCTTATTGAAGACAAACAAAAGGTAGGGAGCAGGCCCAGCAAAGGAGCTGCTCTTTCGAGTCTTCGCTGGGTTTGATGGCTAAAAGGAAAAGAGGCTTGGATTTTGTGTGCCGTCTTTTTGGTTGAGTTGTCACTTCAGACTTCAGATCCACCGGACTATACCAGTAGTTAGTCTTGCTCTTCCTTGGTCCACAACTTCAATACAAAACAACTCTTCCATCGGCTGGTGGACGTCGCTGTTGAAGGAAATGCCTCTCAGATGTCAAACAACCTGGAACACACTGTGTGTCCTACCGCATTTCCATTGTATTCTTTCGGTCAAGCTGTCGCTTCAGATTCACTCCATCGGCTGGATCCTATAAGCCTCTTCCCCAACAATCGTGATCTTTCAGCTTCGTTGTTTCCATTGAAATCTTCAAGGCGACAAAATCTTATGAACGCTTTGTTTGGGCTTGTAGTCCGTTGTTGAAAAGAAACGGGAACAATCAAACCGTATCTTTGGCATTTCGTTGCAATCTTTTGCAATCTTTTTGGTCCAGTTCTCACTTGGGCTAACATAGTCGTATTCCTCAACTGTAACGCCATCAACACTTTATCCGCTATTGGGTCCTGTCACGGCTCAAGGCCGCCCGTCAAAGCCCAACCATTGCCATCTTCCGGCTTCCTCATTTTCGTGGACATCTTCAAGGCATGCAGTCACCATGAAAATATTTCTCTTCGATGAATCTCACTATACCCTCGGACAGAGGTGGTATGAAAAATACTTGGACCTTCATGATCAAGAGGCCTTGATACTGAACCCGATACCTGGTACCTTCATGCTGCCAAAAGAAGTTGTGATTGGAACATTCTTGCATCGGGGTTGAGACAAAAGCTCCAGATGACTCCTCACTGATTATATACATATCGATAGTTGGCGAAGCCGGGATAACTCGCCAAGACGCAGATGACTCTTCAGCTGCAACCCCAAGCTCGAACAATAGGACGTCATTCATGTCCACGCTAAGAGTGCTGTTGGCAACAGTAGAACATCCACAATGTTTTAGTGAATCGCGGCGGTGTCTATGTACAATGTTACTGCCCGTTTATCCAGGTTTTATTTTGCTGACTTTCAGCGCTTGGCAACAAATGCGCAAATCGTTATGAATACATAGCTATAGCAGCCCCTTGCACAACCCGTTGTTCACCCTGTCTTTTCTTCTCCGCCTCTGGCAGAGTTTCGCCTTGATATGTCCTCAGCGATCGGTACTGGCTCAAAGGGATTGTCATCATCTGCGTATGCACCGAAGCTCACCGGTGCCGAAGCAAGTAAAGCAGGAGTGAAGCTTTCACAAGCTGCGGGAGCGAAAGGGCCGAGTGAACTTGGGTTGATTGCCGTTGTTGCTGGTCCCAAAAGTGAAGCACTTGCTACATGTCCCGGCATGATGGGATTACCCTGGTTTTGTACGCTCCCCGCGGCAGCAACCCCAGATGTTATCGATGCTATTCTGCTCAAAGCTGATGGTTGTTGCTGTTGTTGATTCACACTGAACCAACTCTGAGGGTAAGATTCAGGTTGGCGTTGATTAACAGAATTCAACCTTTGCAATGCCTGCAGTTGCTGGTCAATGTTTTGAAACAGGCCGCCACTGCCACCGCGGCTTTGCATCTGGAACGCTTGAAGTTGCTGCGCCGTGCCTTGCTGGGGATCACTTGGCTCAAGGATTGATGGTAACCCAGATGCGAAGACCGAAGAAGCTTGACTTGAAGCAGACAGAGGCGGGAGGCTGGAAGTGAGGTCGGAAGGGACGGGCCCGCCCGCCAAAGAAGAAGGATGCAGCAGCAAAGAAGCGTGGTGTTCCATTGTCATTGCAGGATTGGCACTGCTCTGGAGCCCTGCAAGAGATATCTGTCCTGAATGTTGAGCTGATGCGGCTCGGAGTGCGTCGGGTTCTGTCTTTGCTTTCTTCGCTGGAGACTCTGTCTGTTCCGCCTTGGCTTTCTTCAACTCTTCCTTTCTCCTTTTCTTCTTGGAGCTGTTGCTAGATCGATACTTGTCATGAAGAGCATCACGGAATGACTGCGGTTCAAAGCAAATAATTCTCCAAAGGTTAGAAGCCAACCAATAAGCAACCAGGAAAAACTTTAGCGGATGGCAGCAGTCGTACCTGAGTGACCCGTTCCCTGGCAACGAAATCGCCCACCTGACATGTTGTAGAACGATCAGAATGTAAGTCACAAAGGGTTAAGAAAGACAGAAGGTGCCAGCCAAAGCAGTGTTTCATCCAAGCAGTATGCTCACCTCATACCACTCTCCGGTCAGCGGGTCCTTCTTGATGAAACCGCCATTGGGAGACTTGTTGCGCACAGCAAAGAGCACTGAGGTTACAATGGCGCTCTTTTCAAGCTTGCTGGATGCTGAAGAGTACTCGTCAAGCCTGGAGGCAACTAGATCGCGAAATCTGGTGTTCCCTGACCATTCCCTGATTAGATACAACGTGGAAATCAATTTGTGTGAGCACCAAATACTCTGCCACCGGACGAATATGCATTGCAACACCTCCTATCAACAAGTCAAGAATACCCGAGACAGGTTTCAAGAACCCAACGAGACGCGGACCTCTGTGGCTTGTCACCAAGTGAGACAACCAAACGGTTGGTGTTGTTGGTATTAAGCCCACAGGATACCCTCAACAAGACGCAACAAGCAAACGTGTAACCGGCAAAAGCAACAAGAACAAGGCCTTTTGCTCACCTGCACATCTTCCCACGCCCAACCATGACGTCGGATTCACCCGGTTGAAATTCGGGCCCCAGCGGTATCATTGCGCTCCCATAGTTTCGACTTGAGACATCCTCCTCATCTTCCTTCCCGTCTCCCTGTTTGGTTGGGTCTTGATGCATCATTGTTTCTGCCCAAAGTTGAGTAATGCCCTTGCTGTGTAGTTTGTAGCTTCTCAGATGCAATATTGTGGACACCTCGACCGGTTTCCTGATCTGGAGACTCCCAGTCAGTCCAACTTTTGGAATTCGAAGACGACAACACTGCAGTATTCCGGTGGAGCAAGCGATTCGTGGGTCAATTGCATAAGAGAGAGAAGCCACTTGTACGTATGACTATCGGTACTTTCCTCTTTCCTTTGCACCTGGTCCTGAGGAGACGGCAATGGCAACTATAGATGGCAGCATAAACTAGCTAGATGTTTACGAGTAGCCCAAGCATTGGTCCAGCTAGTGGCAAAATCTTTGTGGAGATGCTTTCGCCATTCGCCAGTGCAAATCCAGGCATCCAGGCTCGAGCTTCGACGAGCGTGAGACACACATCAGCTTTTGCTTTTTACGAAAGACAGTTTCATCAGCTGTTTCATCTCGCCATCCTGAACTGTTGGCCACTGTTCTGCGGCGAAGAACCTTTCAAGAAGACTTAAAGCAAATCGTGAGAACGAACTAGATCAGGAGCACACTACTGCTACTGCTCTTGCTACCAGAATTCTCGTTGGTGAGACATGACTAGAATTTTGGTACTGGATCATTGTGAATCTTCAGTAAAAATGTTACCAGCTTATTTGGACTATGTCAGCCACGTCGTAGCCACGTACACCTTTTTAATTCATCTCAGACTCCACCAATGACTGAAATAAATCTCGAAATCTCTTTTGTCATTATCCTAGGTAGCTCTAGGTACGGTACTGGTTGTACAATCCTTAAAGTAGTACTCATCAGTACAGGTAAGGTGACGTCAATTACAAAACTTCCTATAGTAAGGTGCCTTGTGAACATTCCCTGAGGTTCATCGAATGAGTTGCCAAAACAATTTCACTAGGTCTTTCGAGGTTCGCGCCAACTCATTAAATGACATTAGAATACACTCTGCGGGACTTCGGCAATCGAACAACTTGACGACATGTCTTGAACATTCTCCACGTGATAACAAATGTCATGAGTACTCCAAGGAGTATAGAGGTACAACAGAGCATCCACACATCTACACAGCTAGCTAATATATCATTAGTGCAATACCGGTACATGTACCAGCAAGGTCCGAAAACCGGACTCTATTTTGATTGTTTACAGTTTCACAAGTGTGAAATTAGTCTTACAAGTGAGAAATTGACGCTACTATACGGAAAAACGCGAAATGAACTATTAATAGTTTCATACTCTCATCTGACCTGTGTGTCTTTGTACATAGTGGATTTTGGCAAATTCGGAAAACTAAATTTCATTGAATGGTGAAACTTTAGAATCTAAGGTTTTCGTTTTTGTAAAACTAAAAACGTGAATAATTCAAACTAAGATTTCACTTGAAACAGGTGGGTTCGGGTCACAGTTCAGCACAGATAGATGATGAGAGCGATGATGAGGACTGACTTAATTAAAAAGAGTACTACTATTTAGTACTACGTACTTACTCTAGTACTAATAGTACTATTAATAGTAGACTGTTTAGCCGCCTTCTACTTTCGGAAAACCAAAGTCACTTCTTACTGTTTCAGCATCAGGGTGAACTGCATTATAGTCTTGGCGGGAATCCGTCTTAGGATGCTTGCTCTCGAACACACACACAAGCAGTGTCTGTGCACCAGAAAGAGCTCCTTTTCCCCTGTCTGGACTCCGTTTCTTGGTTTCTTAACTTACTGCAAATAAGGGATGGTTCACTCCTACGCATCTCACCAGAAGAGTGTTCTTATGTCAAAGACCCAGCGTCGCAGAACAAAGAAAATGTCATGGTACCAGCAAACAACTATTAATAGCTAGCTATTAATAGCTACGAAGTTGAACACACAGCAGCTACGCAACCCACCCAATACCGCCTGCCGCCTCACCGCATTGTTTTAAAAGGCCACGATCAAAATAGAGTCTCGGAAGTGTGTCTGCGGTCTGCCTGTCTGAAAGAAAGACAGAAAGAAGGTTCACCAATTAGTTTTGATATCCACAGTCCGTCAGAGATTTGTGAAACAGGTATCCCCACATCCCCACATCAAACATCCCACATCCCCACGCTCTTGGCCACGGTTGGCTCTCCCAGAGTGACGAATCAGAGTCGAGTCGAGTCGAGTCCTTCCTTCAGTACCAGTACTCACCTTGGATCTTGAATCTCTGCGGCTAGACTACCCCAAGCCTTTGCTTTCGGATCGGGGTACCTTCGCCTTATGATCATCTATCTGGCAATTGAACTTTATACTGTAGGACTTTCTCTTTGACGAGCGATGCGACTGAAGATTCGAGGCTTCCCCTCGCACAGTCGGTACTGGGGTAGCGGGGTAGCCCTTCAAAGCTGCCCACTGCCCATCCAATTCACCTCCTCGAATACTGCGATTCGATTCAAGAACAGGACCCACTTCATTCAGCATTATTTGCATTAAATTTACGCCAGTACGAGTACCTGGTAGTCACCACTACTGGTAAATCCTGCTTAGTAGACAAATGCTCACAACACTGCCACTTTCCCATGCGGTCGACCATGTCATAATTGCAGTGGGCCCACTGGAACTCGTGCTGACCACCTGCTTGGAAAGTTGGCTCAACATTTTCCTCGACTCGGTAGCTCCAATCTCCAATGCTCGTACAATAGTACTCCCGCACCGTAGTTGCAAAAGCTCTCTGTCACCTTTTTCGTTTACCCCCTTCCCTCATTCCAGAAAGCATTGTATCAAACGCCACGCGCCGTGACGTGCCAGGCTAGCTCAACAGTTCGTTACATGTACAGCCCTGTAGTAATAATGATGTTTATCGTGCTAGAGATTGTTCCAGTTTTGCTTCATTGCTCAGCCATGAGCTTGGCCTCCGGTGTCGTGTCTTCATCATCTCCATCCTTGTCAGGAAAGAACGAGTCAAATGCCGCCCACATGGCTTGGGATTCTTTCGGTTGTGTCGATGGGTTCAAGTCACCTAACTGAAAGGGCCCCACCCCACCCAGCTGCATGGATTTTGCGTATGTGAACTTTTGGCTCAACGACGTTGGGTCATCGAGCCAGTTCTGATGAACAACTTGTTTGCCATTCCTCTCCCGCATCATATTGAAATAGGAGGCACCCATGTAGTCGTCTCGGGGCATGATTGTCCTTGTGGTGGAATGTTCTGGTGGTGTGTGATGGTCGCCTACTAGTAGTGTCGTGTTCCATTCCGAGAGCAGTGTGCTGTATGGAACTTCCCAGCCAGCAGCGTCTGAGCAATCGACGCCCCGAAACGGTTTCAAAGGAATGGGGCAGAATCTGTCTTGCAATTTTGTTCCCTCTAAACAAGGATACTGGTATCCATACCACGGCACACCCAGAATGATTTTGGCAGGATCCACGCCCAGTCGTATGTATTCTAGAATCCCCTGCTTCATCCCCGCCAAGGGAGCATTTGCATTGGCAATGCAAGGTCCCTGTGTGATCTGGGACTGTGTGTCGTAATCCATAACGTAGACCAGGTCCGACACATCTGCAAGGCGTCTGTACGGGTAACACCGTCCGTCAATGCAATTGGTAGACCACGGCACACAGGTCGTGACTTGAAGTGGTGGCGATGATGACTTGGAATGGAACGCTTGTCGTGTGGCATTGATCAAGGCAACATAGGCTTGAATTTCCCCGCTCTGCTCTCCCAACGGCCCCTCGTAATCAAAGACGACTCCATCTCGATGACGGCTCTTAACCATGGAGAGTGTCTTGTCAATCCATTCCTGAATTTGACTTTGTCTCTCCTTGTCGTTCAGTTCTGCCAAATGGGTCAGATTGAAGGATGGAGTTGCCACGACCGCTCGGCTGTTGTGTTTGTGGGCTTGACACATGAGCTCATCCTCATTGGCCCACGCCACTGTGCTAATGTGAGTCCAATTGAAATTCTGTCCGATTTCTTTGCCCCCCGCAAAGCCATACACTTCGCCTGTGGTTCGAATGGGAAAGCCATCGTTGGACGAAATGGGTTGGCAAAGCTGAGGGTCGGAGCATGGGCAAGGTGATTGGTATATGTAGTGGTGGTCACCATCTTTGTTGTTGAACTGATGGGCAATCCATTCGTCGGAAAACTGACGTTGTTCCTTGGATTGACGCTGAAATCTCTTTACCCGTTCCCATGCTTGATCCTTCTCCACGGCAAGGACCACGCCAGCAAGGAGAAGGTTGTAGAAGACAAGGACCACAGGAAGCATGATGATGCTGCCAGAGCGGAGCACAGCATTCAATATTCAATATTTGCTCTCTCTGTCCTCAGTCACCCGCAACTGCACGCAACTGTCGTGGTGAGCTAGCAAGTGCCTTGTGCCCAATCCAAAAGATCCAATGGGGAAACTGTGCTTCCAGCTACATCGGCTTCAATCAGGGGTTTCTACCGTAGGGATCGAGTTTATCTAGAGCCTGCGCCTCACCAGCCAGCGAGGGCGAGGCAAAGAGTGAAAATTCAGGACTCCACAACATGAAACGTAGGTTCCGTGCGAGGATTGATGTGTTGCCCTGGGTATTGCCAACTGTTTTGGGAATGCATGGAGAGGATTGAAACTGCGAGGAACTGGCATTGATATCAAGACAGACTTGGAGTAATCTCTGAAGCGGGACGAATTCAATCGAATTGTATCCATCATTTTGTCGGTTCCGCCACTGTTGGTCGCCCTTCGAACGAGTCACTCATCCCACGCATTATTTGAGGATCGCGACGAGGACGGGACGAGGACGGGACCGGCCACGAGCCGCTGAGTATGAATCTAATAGGCACAAAGAAAGAATTTTTTGATTATTTAGTATTCAGGAACAATTCTGTTCCATCAGCAATACAATGTCCGCATCCGGTCCGCAACATCCCATCCTGACGTCCGAGGCAGTGGCTGCCTTGCCACCTCCCGGTAAGCACGTGACATGACAATGGGCTGGTTTTGTAAATACTCTCTCGCCTCACCTTTGGGCACCAAAACAATCTTTCTTTTACTTTGTATTTATTTGTATTCTTTTTGTTTTGGCCAGGGTTGTCGGGGCCATCCTCGCTGACATTTTCGCCTCGGTTTCAGCAACCCAGTGGCCAGTATTTGGCATTTGTGGCATCCGCTTCCATGATGCTGGCACATCAGCCTCGCCGAATGCAAGTTCAAAACTTGAGCTGGTCCTCTTCAGCAGGAACAGCAACCGCAACAACCAACAACTCATCATCTACGGCACCCACAACGTCTTCCTCGAAATCCAGCTCTTCTTCCGAAAGACAACTATTTGTTCTTGACGTCGCATCGCTACTGGCACAGTCCAAGACTCCTGCTGGCCAAATAAACCTCAGTGTACATCCTTTACTACGAACACCCTATTCCACACCGAATAATTCAAGCTCAAGTGCTGCGAACACTGCAAAAAGAAGAATAGTACAGGATTCAGCCAAGGCTAAAACTACAACTACCAATGGAGGCACGGTGACCAGCACCTCCATGTTAGCCTCTTCTTTCCCCAACCATGCCTCTTTTCCTCAGCAGCAGCAGCAACAACAACAACAACAACAGCAACGAAAACAAACGCCATCTTCAGTTCCAATTAATCTGTCATCCTCCTCTCTCGTCCATTTCTCATGGTCTCGGTGTAGAAATAATGCCACAGAAGATACCTCGTCTTCCATACCACAAAGTCAACTACGGCTCCTCGTCCCAATACGCGGCTCTCTCTATGTGCAGCATGGGATACTGGATCAGGCGGAACCCTTGGAGGTAGTATACGACAAAACACAGCACAAACCATCCCTACAACGAAACAACAACACCAACAACAATGCAGCAAATCAAAACTCAACCGACGCAGAGGACCCTCAGTTAAGTCCTGACGGACGAATGGTCGCTTTTGTCGTTGCAGGAGAAATATACGTATCTCCAACTAAACCACCACCACAAGGCACGGATGACCTCTGTGTACAAATTACCTTTGGCTCCTCAGACACCATTGCGCATGGCGTCGCAGACTTTATTGCTCAGGAAGAAATGGATCGATATCGGGGATTCTGGTGGCATCCAGACTCCAACGGAATATTGTTTACCAAACTGGACGAAGCGAATGTACCACCCTACCGAATCTTGCATCAAGACGTTGGAAGTGGAGGGGCACAATCCACAGCAACAACTAACACTACAAACTTCCCGAATTCAAATAATGACTCGACCGACGGGGATGCTGGAAACAACAACACAAGCTCCCATTGTGGAAGTTATGAAGACCATCGATATCCGTTCGCGGGGAATGCCAATCCAACAGTCACCCTGGGATTTGTCAAGGTGAATTACCGGTTTTACTTTGATCCAACCTACATTAGTTCTTCCGAGGAACAGCGAGAGCCTTCTGAAGGGTCCAACCATCAGATCGATGTCGCTCGCGAGGCATGGCAACGGACCGTATGGTATGATTCTCCGCGGGAGGCGCCAGAGTACTTGGCCCGCGTGCATTGGCTACCCGACGGATCTGCATGTGCGCAATGGCAAAATCGGACGCAAAATACATTGGTCATGACAAGAATGAATGTCCACCATGGACAGAGAGCTAAAACGCTGCTTGTGGAAAGGACACAATATTGGATCAATCTGCACAACATGATGAAGACATTGCCTCGGCCCGTACATCCACACGCCTGCAGTGGGGTTGTCGACAATATTCCTCCTCTTCCCAATCCACTTCCAGATGGATCGTTTTCCTTCTTCTTTGCATCCGAAAGGACTGGATATTGCCATCTCTACTTGTATACATACGCCCCTGGTTTCAATGGAGATCAGGCTGTCTTGGTGAAGTCTGTTTCTGGGAGAGGAGATTGGATGGTGGAAAGCATTGTTGGTATTGACATGAACCGTGACGTTGTGTATGTTATGGGAACGTACGATTCTGTTCTGGAAAGACACTTGTATGCCCTCCCCATTGCCAACCAGCGAAGGACTCACCCTGGCAGCGTTGACTCTGGAGACCATCATCCAAACGAAGAGGTCGCTTCACCTGCTGAAGTCGGTGATGGCAGAAGCAACAATCATGGCGTCCGTCGCGGATTAAAACAAGTAATGAATGCACTGAGTGGCAAGAATCGATCTCTAAACAGCAGCTCTGGCAGTGCTTCGAATGGCGTGCTGTCGACATCAGGCAACACGGCTCAACCAATTCGTCTGACCACACTTTCAGGCATGCACAATATTGTCATGGACGAAGACTGCCGTATTTTTGCAGATACAAGCTCAGACTTGGATCGCCCAACGATTGTTCAATTATTCGCCCTTCAGCATGCAGAAAATGACGGGAAGGGCACCACTCCAACAACCCGATACCTCCTCACTCTGTACGATGCCCTTCATGACGAAAAGACAATGACTGCGTTGAACCTGACAACCACAGCCTCCTCTTCGTCCAGCACTCTTACAAACGACATCAAGAGCGGCGGAAGCTCAACAAAGATCCATCGACTGATATCCAGTCTTCCTGCACCGGAGCTCATATCGTTTCCGACATCCGACGGAAGCGAAACACTTCATGCAGCTCTCTACCGCCCCGATCCAACTCGGCATGGACCCGGTCCTTATCCCCTCATTTGTGCTGTATACGGAGGTCCCCATGTTCAACGAGTGAATCGGTCGTGGTCGCAATGCGCTGATATGCGAGCTCAACGGCTCTGTTCGCTGGGATTTTGTGTTGTCAAGTGTGACAACCGGGGATCTTCTCGCCGTGGCATTGCTTTCGAGTCGGCCATTGCACGACGACTGGGGCGTTTGGAGGTTTTGGATCAAGTCGCTACTGTCCGACAAATGACGCTACGAGGAATTGCGGATCCAACCCGTGTAGGGGTTTACGGTTGGTCATATGGTGGGTATCTCTCTGCCATGTGCCTGTGTCGGGCTCCAGACATTTTTCACGTTGCAGTTGCAGGCGCTCCGGTGACTAGTTGGGATGGATATGATACCCACTACACCGAGAGATATATGGGCTTACCGTCGGATAATGCAAGTGGGTACCGCGAGTCGGCTGTGTTTGACCATGTTCCGAATATGCGTGGACGGTTGATGATTGTGCATGGTTTAATCGACGAGAACGTTCACTTTCGGCACACAGCTCGGTTGATCAATCGGCTGATTGGCGCCGGGAAAGCTTATGATCTTTTGATCTTCCCCGATGAAAGGCATTCTCCCCGTCGCCTCCGCGACCGAATTTACATGGAACAACGCATAAGTGATTACTTTGTTCGTCACTTGAGCAGTCCGTTTGCTAATGGGATCGGCGTCCCAGGAAATGTTCGGTCCATCCCTGGACACCTTTGAGTTGTGTAGACTCAGGTAGCAAGCTAAATAAATGCTACTGTACAGAACGCTTGGTGACTGATGGATCTAGTTTAGATAGGATGTATGGCACCGACTGTTCAGAAAGGGCTGACAATTTGGCTAGAGCAGCAAGTGCATATTGACCTTGACTGGCATACAGATGGACCACGGTACCGGGAACAGTTCGACTACGATGTGGGCAATGTCACTTGTTGTATGGCTTGCCGTTTGACCTATTTGCTAATCCTGCCTTCGATTCGCTTATCTTCCTCCTCCGCAATTCGCTCTCTGATATTGCGGCAGGATGATCTAGATATAGACACAACCTCTAGCTAGCAGGCGGCAGAAGGCCACAAGGTACCTGCTGGTATTTCTCTCCTCCAACAAGTGATTATCGATAGGAGCTGTTATCTAGTTACTTTTATGGCCGGTAGCCGTGCTATAGATCTTATGAACAACATGAAATACAGATTCTCATGCAGGGAAGAAATGAAGTTGCGCTCTCTCAGCCGAAGGTGAGTGCAACATCGGACAAAGCAGCACGCCAAGAATTCTCTTGCCGACCAAAGTAAGTCACAACTCACGGCGATGGCATTTGTACGAGCAACTCATCCTTCGATGGAGTGCCTATGGCTTGTTCGAGTGGTGACAGTCGCAGGGCATCGGTTCGTATCGGCCTGGGACAATGACAACGGACCGTAAAGTCAAAGTATCCAAACCAATCAGAACTATTCTGGCCATCGTGCATGTACCCATAGGACGAAATGGGAATGTCAATGCTTACTTCGTTGTTCTCCGTAGCATCCTGAACAACGGCGTGGGCGACACCATAAAATGTCAATGATTCCGTCCCCTTCACACAAAGCAGGTTGAGCTCCTGCCGAAAAAGAGTGTTGTTGTATCCAGATTTGTCAGAAGCGAAGAACGGAAAAGATTCGAGGTCCGGAGTTCCGTCTCCTCGTTGTCTTGGCATCTGCGACATATCGCGACCAAGCCATAGCTTTGTGGATTGGAACGAGTGCCTAGGAGATGCCCCAAAGTAGATTTCAATGGACTGGTCAGTTGTTGCATCAGCTTCCGAGAGCGCGAGATCCACGATGCCCGCCGGCTCATCAAGACACTCCCCAGCAAGCTGTATACCCGTGCTGCCACAAAACGCGCCTTCTAGTTGCAATGTGGGGTCATTGCAAGATGTGACAGGCATAGAATTCTCGGTCGTATCGTTGCCAATGCTGCAGTCAACTTCGAAAAATAACAAACTCAACCGATCTACAGATGCTTCTGTGGAAAAGTTGGATGACCAAACTGTGGCTTCTCTCGACCCAGAGCTCGTATGGGTTCTTGCAGTGGACCTAGACAAGATGAAAACCTTTCGAGAACTCTTTGCTTCACCATCACGGCACGAGACTGCAGCAGTCAGATTCCATCGTCTCTCCCCAACTGGGTTTCGCCACTTGTAAGGGAATGCATCGTGATCTGGTCTTCCGCTGTCCAGTAAAGGCATGCTTGCTAGATCAAAGCCAACCCAGACTTGATGCGAGATGAAACGCCACGCGTCCTTGGCAGTGAACACAATGTCTGTCCCTCCAGACTGAGGATCTTGTTCGGCACAAACTGTCGCCACCGAACTGCCAAAATGGTCTTGCAACTGATGACATGAGGCTATGCCACCGCCGTTCTCTGAAGCGCAATTGTCAATAGGCTTGAGGGGCGGACTCGTTGGACTTTGAGAAGGCGGATTCTCAGGACAGTTGCAGTTTATCATGAAGTCAAGCCACCCGAGGTGCAGGCCACCCGAACCTTCATGCTCTATACCGTAAGATGTGAGAGCTGATTCGTTTCTCATCAAAGTCCCGTTCTCAAAAGTAGGAACTACGAACGAACGGACTAGTGCAGTGACTTCGTAAGTCGATCTCGGATAATTGGCGCATTTCAATGAACTGGCAGCCTTCCATGTCTTCGAACCTGTTGGGTTATCCCAGAAAAAAGGAAATTTCCTTTCATCGGGTCGTCCAGTTTCCGTCTTTGGTACACGCTTGATATCTGAATCAAGCCACATCGAATGCTTGACAAACGCCCAGTGATCGTTGGCCTCAAACTCTAGTTCAAGAATTTGCGTTGAAGACATTGCAGCTTCAGTTACAGAGGCACAAACTTTCCCTACGGCTTGACGGGTTGTTTCTAGGAGTAGTGGATAGCAATCATACCGGTACCCACCAGCATCCTCTGGTGTTTCGATGCACGCTTTGTCGTGGACGTGACTTGGTACGTTGCCAACGTTGTAATTTGGAGGTGTCGGTTGGTTGCTTCTGATGGGCGGTGCTGAAGGCGTGGGTCTCGGTAGGTCAGCGTGGCATGAGCAGTCAATCTCAAAGTCAAACCAAGGTTGAGCTCTGTCTCGACTTTGTGTGTGATCATCAACAAACGCCGACTCGACAGTCCCAGGTATTGTTTCTCCACTTATTGTGTAGACCTGCGATGCTTCGGAACGACTGACCAATGACATGATATGTTTCTTTCTTTGGGGTTCGTGACACGGTGACTTGATCCTTGTACTCCACGTCTCTGATCCCTCCGAGTCACAAAAGAAGTATGGAAATGCTCCAAAGTCAAGATGGCCGTTCGATGACCACGGAGCATCACCAACAAATTTTCCAATCCACATGTGATGGCTTAAGAAAGTCCAGTATGCCGAAGCTCTGAACGAGACTTCGACAAAATCGTCTCTTGAATAAAGGCAAACGTCGCCGACGTGGATACCAATCTGCGTCGTCAGTTTCTTGCACCCTTTCCCTGTAACAGTGTTGATGCCGTCCACATAAACTTCAGACGTGCAAGCTCTGGTTTGTAAGGGGCTCGGAGCTTGCGTTATCCTTGGAGGTACGGTGGGAACATGACTTGGACACTCGCAATCCACAGGAAAGTGATACCATGCATCACTCCTGTCCCCTCTCGAAAACGCGACGACATCGGTCTCCGGTATTGGACGATTTGCCCCATTCAAGGTTTGAACGGCTTTCGACCGGGCAACAACGTATAGTTTGAAGTCTTTTCCAACCGCCTCGCCGCAGGGCATGTCAATGGAAAAGTTCCACTCAATCTGTCCATCCGAGTCGCACCAATAATATGGGAAACTATGGAAGTCTGGAACGCCACCGACTTTCGGGGTCTCCTGCAGGGAATGACCCACCCATACCTGATGCTGCAGAAAGGTCCAATAAGGACCTGCGACGATTTTTACTTGCAGCGTGTTCTCGCTGGAAATCGGTTGAACACAGACTTGGCCGACAGTAACAGTGCCGTTGGTTCTCATTTCATGGCAGATGGCCTCGACGATGTGAAATTTCTTCACACACGACGGCGCTATGCTTGGCTCCGCTGAAACCGCTGGAGCGAAAGAAGGCTGGTGGGTCCGTCCTGAAAGACATTTGCATCGAATGTGCCAACTAAAATAATTCAACCATTTGTTGCTGCTTGGGTGGCGCGTCAGCTGATCTTCAACTGTGGCTTTCATCGGTCTGCCAAAGAGCTTGCCATCGGGGGACTGACGTGAAGCGATGATCTCAGACACTCCGTCTTCCCAATAGGAGCGGACAGGGCGGAATTTGCATTTGATGCTAACATACGCCCTCCATTCAGACGACCCTGTCTGGTTTCGCCAAAGGTATGGAAAGTTGTCAAGGTCAGGATTTGCGCTCTTGGTTCGACGTAGCCTTGTAATGTCGGTTCCAACCCACATTTTGTGCTCGAGGAATACCCATCCTGGGAATGTTTTGAAATCAATTGCTACAGCAAATGGTTTGGAAATTATCTTCATGCAAGCTTCTCCGATATGGACACCAGATTCCGAAACAACGTGGAAACATTTGCCCTGTACCCCTGGTCCAACATCACCAGTGATACAAACACCGTCACCCGAAGCAGGAGTAGGGTGGCTGCTTGATGATGGGGCCTGCGTTGCAGAAGAGGGCGAGGAGGTTGGCAATGACCTTTGGAAGGCTGATGGATTTGCGCTGGGAATGGAAGATGGTATTCCACTAGGGCCCAGCGATGGACTGCCAGTTGGACTTGTTGTTGGCGCCACTGTTGGTGCACCGGCAGGTTCTTTTGTGGGCTTTGCTGATGGTGTGACAGATGGCAGGTGTGCATCAGTACAATTGCAATTGACATTGAATTCAAACCACCCATAAACTGTCCCACCCTGATTCCTTGAACAATACTCCTGCACTTCGGCGACTACTTCAGACTCATTGACAAGCACGCCATGGCTGTCAACTTGTTTCAACACCAATTGTGCTATTCCATCTTCTGCATAGTCAGCTTTCAAGCTGTTGGTGCATCTTGAGGGAATTGGCTGACTCAGTGAAGGCTGACCAATTGGATCAGACCAGAAGTAGGGAAAGTTTTCCACATCAGGTAATTCCTCAATTGTGGGGACCCCCAGCATATCAGTTCCAACCCACAAGTGTAGGGACACAATCCTCCACCTGCCCACTGAGCTGAACACTGCATTTATGTTTGACGAAGCGTAATCAACTTCAAGACACATATTCCCAACAATTTTCGCCTCATCATTTTGTGTCGTGATGCCATAACATGCTTTATGGCTGCCATTGACTGCTTCAATGCATACACCTGTTGGGCTCAAACTTGATGGCTGATCACTTGGTGCCCTAGGGTGACCGGTTGGAGTTGCCAACGTTGGAGACTTTGTATGTGGAGCAGCAACAAAGAAAGTAGGGCTCTGCGTGGAGGGATTTGCTGTCGGAGCAGTAGTGGGATACCCAGTGGGTGTAGTTGTAGGCGTCCCTGTGGGCATTTTTGTGGGGTGAGTAGTTGGATAAGAGGTTGGGCTACCAGTTGGACTTGAGGTTGGAGATCCTGTGGGCCATTCTGAGGGAGACACACTGGGAGCCAATGATGGCCTATCAGTTGGAGACCCAGTTGGCTCTGTGGTTGGTCCCAGAGTGGGGCTTCCTGTTGGTCCTGTCGTAGGTCCATCAGTTGGCAATACAGTAGGAACCATTGTCGGCAGCAACGTTGGTGATCCTGTGGGAGTCTCAGTTGGAATTGCTGTGGTTTTAAAGGTCGGTGTTGTGGTGGGCTCAACTGTTGGTGCAGCAGTCGGATATGCAGTGGGTAGAGTTGTGGGGCTATCTGTTGGTGCTGTCGTGGGGTGAGCAGTTGGGTGAACAGTTGGTGCTAGTGTTGGGCTCGAGGTTGGAGATCCTGTGGGTGGATGTGAGGGAGACACTGATGGATAACCACTAGGAGAGGTGCTTGGCTGGATACTGGGAGATAAAGAAGGTGATGAACTAGGCGGACTAGGAGGTAAGGATGGACCTCCAGGGCTTGGAGAGGGACCACCACTCGGTGTCTCTGTTGTGCAGTTGCAATCAACTGTAAATTGAAACCAACCCAAACTTGCACTGCTCTTGTTTGTTGAAGTGTACTGGTTAACATAAGCAGCAACACGAGTTTGATCTAAGTTTGCACCTTGATTTTCGACTGGCTTCAATATAAGGTAGGCTATTCCCTCATCTGAATATTGCGTCTTCATGCTCCTGGTACATCGTGTTGCCAGAAACTGCTTCATTAAGGGCTTGCCACTTTGGTCGGTCCAAAAATATGGATATCTGCTCAAGTCAGGGTGTCCTTCATTGGTTGTAGGTGCCTTGTCTGAGTTACTTCCTAACCACATGTGTTGTTTCACAATCACCCAATTGCTCATGGTTTCAAAAGTAGCCTCAACAAAACTTGATGACCTTGATACTTCAAGGCACATGGACCCAACTAGGATAGGATCATCAGTTGTGGTTGTTATACCATGACACACTTTTTGTCTCCCATGGAATTCGTCAATACAGATTTTGGGGTCATTGACCAATGATGGCATCAAGGTTTTCCAATGTCCAGTAGGGTTCAATGTTGGACCACCAGTTGGAGACATAGTTGGCCCCAATGTAGAGCTGGATATTGGCCATTTGGTTGGTTCAGATATACGCACCATTGTAGGCAACTCAGTAGGGGCAACACTTTGCATTTGAGTAAGCTTGATTGTTGGAGACATAGATGGCACAACAGTAGGAGCTGAGGTATCTGGAAACAGTGTTATCAACCTCTCAATTGGGCTGCCCGTGGGTATTCCGGTTGTGGATCTGGTGGGCACTTCTGTGGGTTGAGTAGTTGGGGTACCTGTTGGGCTACCAGTTGGACTTGAGGTTGGAGATCCTGTGGGCCAATCGGTGGGAGACACACTGGGAGCCAATGATGGCCTATCAGTTGGAGACTCTGTTGGTCCAGTCGTAGGTCCAGCAGTTGGCAATGCTGTAGGAACCTCTGTAGGCAGCAAAGTTGGTGATCCAGTGGGAGTGTCTGTGGGAAGTCCTGTTGGTTCAAAGGTTGGTGCTGTGGTGGGCACAAATGTTGGGATGCTGGTAGGAGCAGAGGTGCTGGGTTGTCCTGTTGTTGGAGCTGCACTGGGATGTCCGCTCAACACCGTAGGACCAACCGTGGTTGGACTTGCTGTGGGGCTGACTGTGGGAGTACCAGTGGGAAATCCAGTCGACGGGGATCCAGTGGGCACTTCTGTGGGTTGAGTAGTTGGGGTACCTGTTGGGCTACCAGTTGGACTTGAGGTTGGAGATCCTGTGGGCCAATCTGTGGGAGACATAGTGGGTTGTCCACTGGGGTTGTTGATTGGAAACTCACCGGGAGTTGGTGCATTGAGTGCTGGGTTGGCACGAAGAAAAGTTGGAGCTAGGGTTGTTGGACTTGCAGAGGGGGAAGTTGCGGGAGTTGAAGTTGGCACTACAGTGGGGCTACCAGTTGGGACTGTTGTTGGCATTGAAGTTGGGGTGACTGTTGGGAAGGATGAAGGAGATTTTGTTGGTGAAACTGAAGGTCTGCCTGAAGGGCTGCCTGAAGGACTAGAAGTTGGACGGAGTGTAGAGGGTGCTTCAGATTCACTGGATGTAGGAGCCGCTGTGGGTGCACATCTTGGCAGCATTGTTGGCACCAGAGTTGTGGGGCCAACAGTTGTGGGGATACCACTGGGAGCCTGTGTAGTTGGGCTTAGACTAGAAGGTTCCAAGGTTGATACCGGACCTGGGGTTTCACAGTCAAAGTGAGCAGTTACACAAAGTTCATCAACGACTGCGCTCTCTGAACCAATGTCCAGGCTGGTCTCCACACGGAAACCAATGTCCAACTTGTCATCTGGGAACAAGCTTGAGGGGATAGTAAGCTCCACAGCATGCTTCTTGTCCATTTGGTCTCCAAAGTTCAAATTGACACACTGTGTGATGGTGTCACGGTGCCAAGTGATTCCACCCTCATAACCATCAAGGGGTTCACTGACACTAGTTGCATCCATCTCCCCAAGGTCAATTTCAATGTCACCAATCTCCAAGAAAAACTTGTCTTCAGGATTCCATTCATCAATTTGGTACAGATTGAAGTCAATGCTCAGCAAGTCAGCCTTCATCTTCCCTGATCCTGTGCTATGTGGGATGTCAATGGAGACTCCCATGTTGTTGCTTCCAGACCCTAGCAAACCCAGGAAATGCGAGAAGTTTGGTGCGTACTGCAGTGACAAGTCACTATCAGGTGCATCAGCTGTGACAGCTTGACTGCCAAGTCCAACATCCAGCACACATTTGTAACTAGGGCTGTGTGTTGGTGCAATTGTAGGATATTCAGTCACCACAGTTGTTGGAGAAGAGCTCGGTAGCACACTTGGACCAGATTTTGGAGATCCTGTGGATGAATGAGACGGAGGGATTGGAGATCTGTCAGTGCAGTTGCAATCAACTGTGAATGCAAACCACCCAAAGGGTTCGTTGTCCTTGTTTCTTGATGTATATTGTTGTGCGTAAGCAGACACGGATTCTTCCGAGGAAATTGAACCATGATCGTCAACCGGCCTCAATAGTAGATAAGCTATCCCTGCATCTGAATATTCGGTCTTCACGCTTCTGTGGCATCTTGTTGCCACTGCTTGCTTCACTGAGGGTTTCCCATTTTGGTCTGTCCAGAAATATGGAAAGTTTTGAAAGTCTGGTGCACCCTCATCAGTTGTAGGGACCATTTTGGCATCATTTCCTACCCACATGTGTTGTTTCACGATCGTCCAATTGCCCACAGTTTCGAATGTAGCCTTTACAGCACTTGATGAACTTTCCACTTCAAGGCACATTGACCCAACAAGAATGTGATCATGAGTTGTTGTTATGCCATGACACACTCTGTGGCTCCCTTGAAATCCGTCAATACATATTTTGAAGTTGTTGGATACTGAAGGCTGCAGAGTTGGACTCCGGGTTGGATGCCAGCTTGGATTCATTGTTGGCAGATTGGTTGGAGACCCACTCGGCCCTGTGGTTGGTCCCAGAGTGGGGCTTCCTGTTGGTTCTGTCGTAGGCCCAGCAGTTGGCAATGCTGTAGGAACCTCTGTAGGCAGCAAAGTTGGTGATCCAGTGCGAGTGTCTGTTGGAATTGCTGTGGGTTTAAAGGTCGGTGTTGTGGTGGGCTCAACTGTTGGTGCAGCAGTGGGATATGCAGTGGGTAGAGTTGTGGGGCTCTCTGTTGGTGCTTTTGTGGGAAGAGCAGTTGGGTGAACAGTTGGTGCTAGTGTTGGGCTCGAGGTTGGAGATCCTGTGGGTCGATGTGAGGGAGACACACTGGGACCCAACGATGGCCTATCAGTTGGAGACTCAGTTGGAAATCCTGTTGGTTCAAAGGTTGGTGCTGTGGTGGGCACAAAGGTGGGGCTGTCAGTAGGAGGTGAAGTGGTTGGTACAACAGCTTCATTGAAAGTTGGTCTCTGACTAGGGACACTGCTTGGGGTGGACTTGTTGCAATTGCAATTTACCATAAAGTCGAACCGCGCATAGCTCTCTGTTCCAGGCGTTGCAACCGAAAACTCCTGAACAAATGCGGTTACATTTGAGTTCTCAATTCTTTTGCCAGCCTCATCAACCTTGTGCAAGTCAAGCTGTGCAATTCCCTGTTCCGTGTATGAATGAAGCATGTCATTTGAACACCGTGTTCCGAATGTTTGCGGTAAAGTGACAACGCCATTCTCTTCTTCCCAGAAAAAAGGGTACAGGGTTGTGTCCAGAATTCCGTTTGCAAGATTTGGTGGACCATTGCAACTAGAACCAATGCACATGTGGAGTGACTTGATCCTCCACCGACCAAACGCAGCGAATTTTGCCTCTATCCACGTCGTTTTTGTTGACACTAGGAGGCACATGCTTCCCACAACCATACCATCAGTTGCTGTGATTCCGTAGCAATCTCCTTGACCATTGATCTTTGATTCAAGGCACACTTCAAGGTGCTCTGGCGCTGAAGTTGGGACCTGTGTAGGTATCCTAGTGGGAAGTGGTGATGGATAAGCTGTGGGTAGTAAGGTGGGGATAGAGGTGGGTGCCATAGTTGGGTAGATGGTAGGGGGAGAACTCGGAATTTCACTTGGACCTGGTGTTGTAGATGTGGTGGGCATTGAGCTTGGGGCAACAGTGGGGTATGCAGAAGGAGCAAAGCTTGGTGTCTCAGTTGGATGTGCACTAGGATCAGGCGAAGGAAACATAGTGGGTTGGGGCTCATCGCAGTTGCAGTCGACCTTGAATTCAAACCGCCCCAACCCTTCACTGCCTTCCACTGAGTACTCTTGTGCCGAAGCCATAACCTTGGATCCATCAAGAACTGTTCCATCCCAGTCAACTTGCCGGAGCGCCACTATTGCTAATCCAGACTCTGTGTAGATAGATGTTGCAGAATCGTGACACCTGAGCGCAACATGCTGAGTCACTAAGGCATGGCCTTTGCCATCATTCCAAGAATGCGGAAAGTGCTCTGGATCTGGAATTCCAGAGTTGGATACTGGTACAGCTTCGATCTGTGATCCTACCCACATGTGAACACCATACATGCGCCAATTTCCGAAGGAAATAAACTCCACCCTGATAGCAGGTGTCCCCATGAATGCAACTTCAAGACACATATTCCCAACCAATGCATCGGATTCTGTCAGCAGACCATGACAAACCCTTCCACTTCCATTCTCTGATTGAAGACATATTTTGTGAGAAGGAGTAGGGACTTCCATGGGCAATGTGCTGGGCATTTCGCTGCCCGTCGTTGGAACCTCTGACATTTCAGTAGGAACTGGGGACGGTAAAGCTGAGGGCAGAAAGGTGGGGAATGATGTGGGTGCCTTACTTGGGAAGACACTTGTAGAAATGCTTGGACTGAAAGATGGGGTATTACTGGGAGCTGTGCTGGGGGTTCTGCTTGGAGACACACTAGGGGTATTGCTTGGAGACACACTGGGGGTAGTGGTTGGAGCTGTGCTGGGGGTTCTGCTTGGGGACACACTGGGGGTATTGCTTGGAGACACACTGGGGGTAGTGCTTGGAGACACACTGGGGGTAGTGCTTGGAGCCACACTGGGGATATTGCTTCGAGATCCACTGGGGTTGAGACTTGGGGGGTTGCTTGGGACTCCACTGGGGGCACGACTGGGATCATTGCTGGGGATAGCACTTGGATCTCCGCTAGGTGCACTGCTGGGTGTGATACTCGGTTGTGCACTGGGGACAAGGCTAGGACTTGAACTGGGGGTTTTGGTTGGTGATATACTGGGGACAAGACTAGGGGGGCTGCTTGGCATTCCACTAGGGGTTACACTGGGCACACCACTAGGCGAAGTTGTGGGAGATACACTGGGCGTGTGACTTGGGTTTGCACTGGGGGTGCTGGAGGGAGATCTACTTGGGACAAGACTTGGGGAGCTGCTTGGCACTCCACTTGGGGCACTGCTGGGAAACCTACTGGGTGTAGCAGTTGGAGATATGATGGGGGCAGAACTTGGGTAGGTACTGGGGGTGTTGGTAGGAGAGATAGTGGGAACAATACTTGGAGGAATGCTTGGGGCACTACTGGGAACTTGAGTTTGCTGGTCACTTGGATTGGGACTTGGGTGCACACTGGGGCTTCTGCTTGGCGACAAGCTGGGATGCTTGCTTGGCAAAGTGGTGGGAATGTCAGTTGGAAATTGAGTGGGTGGAGGACTGGGACCAGAACTGGGGACACCAGTGGGAGTTGTGTAACTGGGGAGAATGCTTGGAGTTTCACTTGGGCCTGTACTCAAACTTGGTGCTGCACTAGGTTCATAACTGGGACCCCCACTAGGCACTGGACTGGGTGGGGCACTGGGGTCCTTACTTGGAGTCAAAGATGGATGAGTACTTGGGTGTATGCTTGGCATGGTACTTGGAGGGTTGCTGGGAGAGGCACTTGGCTGAAAACTCGGCAAGGGGCTTGGCTTAGCGCTGGGCGAAAGGCTTGGAGAAACAGCATAAGTTGGTGGGGCGCTGTGGCCACTTGGGGTGGAAGTTGGCAGTACTGAAGGTATGGAACTTGGTCTTGCGGTTGGCTCTACAGTGGGGCTCTCCGTTGGAGCTGCACTTGGTTTATTGCTGGGAGCACTACTAGGCAATATAGATGGGGTCTTGCTGGGAAATTTGCTTGGCACTGAACTAGTGGGAGCCATACTAGGCAATACTGTGGGAGTTTTGGTTGGGGAGCCAGTTGGGGATGTTGTTGGCATTGCAGTTGGGGTGACTGTTGGGAAGGATGAAGGAAATCTTGATGGTGAAACTGAAGGGCTGCCTGAAGGACTAGAAGTTGGACGGAGTGTAGAGGGTGCTTCAGAGGTTGGTTCACTGGATGTAGGAGCCGCTGTGGGTGCACATCTTGGCAGCATTGTTGGCACCAGAGTTGTGGGGCCAACAGTTGTGGGGATACCACTGGGAGCCTGTGTAGTTGGGCTTAGACTAGAAGGGGCCAAGGTTGATACAGGACCTGGGGTTTCACAGTCAAAGTGAGCAGTGACACGAAGTTCATCAACGACTGCGCTCTCTGAACCAATGTCCAGGCTGGTCTCCACATGGAAACCAATGTCCAACTTGTCATCTGGGAACAAGCTTGAGGGGATAGTAAGCTCCACAGCATGCTTCTTGTCCATTTGGTCTCCAAAGTTCAAATTGACACACTGTGTGATGGTGTCACGGTGCCAAGTGATGCCACCCTCATAACCACCAAGGGGTTCACTGACACTGGTTGCATCCATCTCCCCAAGGTCAATTTCAATGTCACCAATCTTCAAGAAAACCTTGTCTTCAGGATTCCATTCATCAATTTGGTACAGATTGAAGTCAATGCTAAGCAAGTCCACCTTCATTTCACCTGATCCAGTGCTATGAGGGATGGCAATGGATACTCCCATGTTGTTGCTTCCAGACCCTAGCATACCCAGGAAATGCGAGAACTTTGGTGCGTACTGCAGTGACAAGTCACTATCAGGTGCATCAACTGTAACAGCTTGACTGCCAAGTCCAACATCCAGCACACATTCGTAACTAGGGCTGGAAGTTGAGGGAATCTTGCTTGGTATTGTGGTAGTCTCTGAGCTGGGGAGAGCACTTGGAAACTCACTTGGGATGTCCGGCTTTGGTGTGCTGCAATCACACTTAACAGTGTAGTCAAACCAACCATAGCCATCGGTAACAGCAACGGAAGAGTACTCCTCTGCAAAGGCAACTAGCATGTCATTTCCCCCCACCATTGCTCCAGTTCCATCAAGTTGCTTTGTGAGAAAATGAGCAATTCCTTCTTCAGTGTAAGTAGCATAGGGATCCTCATCACACTTCAATGGGACATGAAGAGAAACTTCAGACATTCCAACAGAATCACTCCACAGAAATGGGAATGCCTCTGTATCTAGGGTTCCATTTCTTGCCTGAGGCACACTTTCTATGCTGCTGCCAACCCACAAGTGCTCAGCAAAGATTCGCCACTTCCCAACTGTGATCACTTTGGTTTCAACTACTCTTTTGTTATCTGCCACTTCAAGACAGAGACTTCCCACCAATCTGCCATTATTTGCCAAGATTCCATGGCATTGTCTCTGACTAGCGTCATTGACATCAATGCATGCGTCTCTCAGCTTCGGTGATTCCATTGCAGATGGTATTGGAGATGGCACAGGAGAGGGGACCAGGCTTGGGGGGGAAGAAGTATCCTCAATGCTGGGAGCATAGCTTGGCATCACAGAATCTGTGGGGCTAAAGCTGGGAAAGTCACTGAGACTTGTTGTTGGACTGGTTGAGGCCATGCAATCACAGTTTACGTGGAAGTCAAACCATCCATACCACCCATTGCTGTCATTTGTTGAGTTTGAATGCTCTGCAACAAATGCAGTAGAATTTGACCCTGCAATAGGTGATCCGTTTTTATCGATCTTGAACAAAAGAAGTTGAACGATGCCTTGCTGGTAATAGGATTGGCCTTGAAGGTTGCTGCACCAAATTGACACCAACTCAACCACTTTGGCCTCCCCATCCGGATTATTCCAGAAGTATGGGAAGATAACGATGTCTGGATCCCCAAACAATGTTTTTGGACACTCACTCTGATCTGTCCCAACCCAAAGGTGGTGTTGATGAAATCGCCAGTCTCCAAAGGCCTCAAAAGTGACTTGAAGGGCCGTGCAGTTTTCTGCAATCTTCAGACACATGCTTCCAACAACAAAATCATCAAGAGTCACGATTCCATGACATTCGATGCGAGCTCCGCCCTCTGAATCAATGCAAGCGTTGGTAGGTCTTTCCGTGGTTGTTGGCGCAACAGGCAATGAAGCTGTTGGCAATGCAGAATCCTGTTTTGGCTCACAAATGTTAGCTGAGAGGGTCAAGTTGTCAATACCACCAATGTGGTTATCGATTCCACCCAGATTTCGAAAGACAAACGTCACTTCAAGGGTCCCTGAAGACGAGTAACATCTTGGAGGGAAGTGGAGCGTAATCCTTTGGATTCGATCGGACTGGCCTGTGGGTTCATAACTGAGGGTAACATTCCTCCTTTTCCAGAAAATGCCATTGCGAACTCCTCCTGGGACACCTCTGTGCGCATTGCGATCAATATCAATGGTTGTGTTGCATGCGACAACTTCCATATCTCCACATGTGCACCAGGCATACGACAAGAATTCTAAGGTAACGTTCGTCGCAACTCGTGATACTTCAAACACTTGTGAAAGATCACACCCACGGGATTCGCTGTCAACCAATTCAATGACAGTGACTGGGGCATCGGTAATGAGCTGGTCCACCCGATTTGTTCCGAAGTGGCTGTAGTTGGAATGATGGGCAATCATCCCACATTTCCACTTTCTGTCCAAGCCTTTTTCGAAGTCATCCTTTGCAATTTCAACTCTACGGCAAGTAAACTCATCCGCACCAGCCAGTTTTGAGGTTGCTTCAACTCTGGTGTCAAATAATGTTGGGAAGATCGTAGGAGAACCTGTTCTGGTGCTTGTCGGTTTGCTTGTCAGTGGGTGACTGGGAGCAAATGAAGACTCCTCCTCTGTTGGCAAGACTGTTGGCTGTTCTGTTGTGGGGGTGTCACTGGATCGGGTTGGATCCTCAGTTGGTGTGGCTGTTTGTGGAGCTGTTGTGGGTGTGTCACTCGGAAGTAATGTTGGCTCATCCGATGGTGAGACTGTTGGTGGTTCTGTTGTGGGTGTGTCACTTGGAGCTGGTGTTGGGTCCTTAGACGGTGGGACTGTTGGTTTTTCTGTTGTGGGCGGGACACTTGGAGCTGGTGTAGACTCCTCAGACGGTGAGATTGTTGGTGGTTCCGTTGTGGGTGTGTCACTTGGAGCTGGGTTGGAATGTCAGTGGTGAGACTGTTGGTGGTTGTTGTGGTGTCTGTTGGGTGGTGTTGGGCTGGTGCTTGGGGCTGGTGTTGGAATCTCGGATGGTGAGACTGTTGGTTGGTTCTGTTGTGGGTGTATCACTTGGAGCTGAGTTGGATCCTCAGTTGGTGAGACTGTTGGTGGTTCAGTTGTGGTAGAATCTGTTGGAGCTGGTGTTGGAATGTCAGACGGTGAGACTGTTGGTGGTCTGTGTGGGTTATCACTTGGAGCTGGTGTTGGAATCTCGGTTGGTGAGACTGTTGGTGGGTCTGTTGTGGGAGAATCACTTGGAGCTGGTGTAGACTCCTCAGACGGTGAGACTGTTGGTGGTTCTGTTGTGGGTGGGACACTTGGAGCTGGTGTAGGCTCCCCAGATGGTGAGACTGTTGGTGTTCTGTTGTGGGTGTATCACTTGGAGCTGAGGTTGGATCCTCAGTTGGTGAGACTGTTGGTGGTTCAGTTGTGGGAGATCACTTGGAGCTGGTGTTGGGTCCTTAGACGGTGGGACTGTTGGTTTTTCTGTTGTGGGTGGGACACTTGGAGCTGGTGTAGGCTCCCCAGATGGTGAGACTGTTGGTGGTTCTGTTGTGGGTGTCATGCTTGGATCCGATGATGGATCCTGTGTTGGTGAGACAGTTGGATGTTCTGTTGGCATCTTTGTGACACCCTATGCACATGAGTGACAAACGATTGTCAGTTATACAACTCATAACAGTAGAGTAGATAAATACTTAGGCAAGTGATGAAGGTACGTACCAACACGTTGGCATAAACAGGGCTGAGATACTTCTCAGCAGTCTTGATGGCAGGTGGTTTTGTTTCAGGCTCTGATGGTGCATTTGTTGGCGCCTTTGTGGGTACCTCTGTTGGCTCTGATGTGAGCTCCCTTGTGGGTGAGACCGTTGGTGGTTCTGTTGTGGGTGTATTAGTTGGCACTGATGATTGCTCCTGTGTTGGTGCGATTGTTGGTGCATCTGATGGTTCTTTTGTAATCCCCTGTTTGGAAGCATCGCAACAAGTAAGTGTTAGAGCAACCAACCCACCAAAAAACTGCGGGCATTGTCAAGGGAAGATAATTACAGCACATACCAAGATATTGGCCCAGTCAGGGCTTAGATATTCGGCAACACTGTTTATAGCTGGTGGAACTGTCCGCGGCTCCGTAGGTGCCGTTGTTTGGGGTCCTTTTAGTGGATTTGATGGGGCCTCCGTGGGAAACCCAGTTGGGTCTTCTGTGGGCGAATTGTCAACCTACCGTTTGAATGTATTATCAAACCCAAGTCGTGGCAAACACAAAGTCTGTGAGGAACCAATGCTCTATTCGTGGAATTCGCTCGACGTACGTGACAAAACACAAGCAAGCAGGGGCGTACCGTGAAAATGTTGAGCCAGTCCGGGCTCAGCTTGTTCTCTACGCTGTCAGGAGCAGGCTGTTTTGTGGGAGGGTTGGTTCCTATTCCTGTTGGTGGTAGAGTTGGACTGAGAGTGGTTGTTGTTTGAGTTGGCAGCGGGGTAGCGATTTGCGTGGGTAGCTCTGATGGTGTCGTTGTCGGCTTTGGCGTTGGAGGAGTAAATGTGGGAGGGCTGCTGTGTAGGACTGTGGGGAGAGGTGACGGCGAAAGTGTGGGCGGGTTGGTGGCAGGAACCGGAGTCGCCCTCTGTACAGCTCCTGAAGCTGCGACCTGGGTTACAGAATTTGCAGGTATGGCCGGTGGAGGGATTGCGCGTGAAACAGCTCCAGATGCTGCAACGGTGTTGCTTGCAGCAGGCACGGGCCCTCGCCCAACACTCCCCGATGCTGTCACCGTATCCGCCAGCACATGAATCGAATTAAACCAGATCGGAAGAAGAAGAATCGCAAACAGCAACGATGAAAGTTCCACCGCCGAAGGCTTGCTTGAAGCCGCGGAAGAGTATTTGTTCATCCTCATGTCTTTCCAGGTTATCTCTCTTTCTATCGCTTTTCTTCTGGGATGAAGTAGAGGGCAAGTTGTCGATTTTTCGCCTAAAAGCAGGTGCTGTTCCACGTATTGATTAGGTTATTCTGTTGTTCTACTCTGAATTGCATTCAACGTGTCCAAGCTCAGAAGACTCGCTAAGCTTATTGATGTAGAGTGGGTTGAATGATTGAATTCTGTTTGCTGCTGGTATCGGGTACCGTGTTGGTGGCAGTCTATTCGAGAAAGATTTCGTTGATGTGCGTGGGAAACTCGATCATCAGTTGAGGTTTTGCTTGACCTTTTCCCTGCTGGCAAGGGCCGCCCTTCCCTGGGATAACCATGCTTCTGATCTCCTTGAGCTTGATCATCATGACTGATTATCATATAGATACTTAAAGAGGTGTAAAGACTTGGATGCGGCTGCATTTAGAAGGATTCACAGGAAAGACGAAGGAGGTGAAACGGTGGCCTTGGTCGATTCACAGGAGTGAAGGAGGAAGTGTGCGTGAATAAATATCTCCACCCCCAAAGTCCGAACGTCCGAACGACTGAGTCAGAGTCGAGTCGAGTCGAGTCACTCGAGAAAACGCATGAGGTCCAGAGAGCAGATGAACCGTACCGGTACCGGTAGCAGCAACGCTGCTTGTCTATTGATAGGAGAGTTTAGAGTTGGGAAGATATTACGGAGAAAACGAAAGAGTGAGAAAAAAGCCACCGACAAGCTGTGACTGCCTCCTCGACAAGTCATGGGGTTACTTCCAAACTACCAGTACCGGTACATTATTACTAGTACCGGAGAGATTATCTAAAGCACATGATAGCAACTAGGGTTCTTCTTAGAGGATCAGCAGCTGTCGAGAAGTATAGTAATCGCCTGGTCCAACAGTTGCCGCCAGTCCTTCATTGACCAGATCCTGCAACATGTGTCCTTCACCATTGATGCCATTGCTCTTTTGAACGTTCCTGCCTGCAATCATGGCCTCCTTCAATATCGCCGCTATGCTATCGTCTGTCACACCAAAACGCCTCGCACATATCTAAGCAGGCCTAGAAATAATTCAGCAACTAGCTAGCCACCACCAAAACCAAGACACGTCTTGGCCAATGCGACGCTGCGAGCAACATGAGCCACGGAATATCGATTATCCAGGCCAAGGACATACTGCAAGAGCTCCAGTCGCAGGCAAGGCGAATGCATGCGGCTCAAAATGGCTTCAATGGCAGACAAGAATCGAACGTCAGTAAAGTCAGTCGACTGTGCAGCTTGTCGAAGTTGCGTGACAAAAGACTTGCGATTCGATATGGCTTTGTTGCTGATGAATGCCATCCACGAAGCGCTGCTTTCCATTGCAATCTTCAGGTCTCCCTGAGCAGCTCTTTGGTCTCTCCACGATGCCAATCGAAACGCCATTGATTGCTCGCCATGTTCTATCCATCTTTGCACACAAAAACACAAGCGCACTATCGTCAGTATCTCCCTGCAAAGACAACACTTCAACGAGAGAAGCCAAACAGATACGTACTCGTCCAAGGCAAGAATGACTTCATCTGTTCGTCGCATGGCACCATTGTCTTGCATCGATTTGAGAACTTGCGCAGCACCAAGCACAGACAACAGACCGTCGGAGTTAGTTGCGCTGCGCAGCCGATCTGTGTCCAACGGGGGAGGGGGCGGGGGTTTCAAGTCTGTGCTGATTGTGTTGATCGATTCCTTGAGCTCTGACATAGGAGTGGCATCTCGCAACATTTTCGTTTTCGATTGTGGTTGGCTGGTTGCTTCATCGTCACCATGATCATTCTCATCGTCGTCAAAGCCATTCGACGCAACCAGGGAGTAAAGGATCAGCAGCTGTCGAGAAGTATAGTAATCGCCAGATCGAACAGCTGCCGCCAGTCCTTCATTGACCAGATCCTGCAACATGTGCCCTTCTCCATTGATGCTGTTGCTCGTTTCAACGTTCCTGTCTGCAATCATGGCCTCCTTCAATATCGCGGCTACGGAATCGTCAGTTGCACCGAAACCCCCTGCCAACCTTACACACTCCTCTGGCGTCAGGAGCTTCCTGACATTATCGTCCAAATCAATGAGCTCCTCCAACTTTTGCTCGAGCTGTTCTTCCCCCGTGTGATCAATCGTCGTCTTATGAGCAATGGTGGGATTCTGAAAGGGGTTCAACTGATGTGATGCCACCTTCAACAGCGAGGCCTGCAGTGCCTCGGTCAGAACACGCACTCCATCCGTGGGAGTGATCAACAGAAGAGGTATTCCCTTGATCTGATTCTCTCCTAGCACATGCATCAATCTTGCTCTGGTTCGAATGAGGGAAATCAAATGGCCAAACGTTGCCGTTCTCACAAACAGGGCAACTGCAATCGCACGTGTAAGCAAGGTTGGGCGCTCGATAGTATTATTTACCAACAACACGTCCACTATTTTTCACTTTTGGAACAACTTACTTGGCAACCCCAATCCCTTGTCAAAGCTCCTCCCATGCTCCGAACCATCTTCGTGCGGCTCTCCCGTAACAACATATTTTCCATTAACGATGCGCCCCAATCCACCAATTCGAACATAAATCTCATTGTACGGAACAACCTTCAAGCCTCCTTTGACCAGTCGTCCCGCAATCACTAAGGAAAAGAGAGAAAAGCGTCAGGAACTGCCCATGTCGTGCCGCTTGCAACACAACGCAAAACTTACTATGATCTTCCTTGGTGAGATAATCCTCATTGAACTGTCGCAAGGTACTAAACGAAACACGGGCTTCATTGCGTCCATTGATCAATTCTCCATTGCCATCAATATTGAATTCCGTCTTGGCACTGTACCCCGCGGGCCAACTCCACGTTTTGGTACGTTCGGCCGCTTCATCCGAATCGTGTGTGTCTGGCAAGCCAAAGACGACTCCGGCAGTATACTGCGAGGGGGATCCGAAGGCCCGCATCTTGGCTCCACCGGGTGGCAACAAGGAGCAACTCGTGACAAAGCTGGTAAAGGGATACCCCTCTTTGGGTGGCGCATCGGCTTGTTCTGAGGGAAAGTTGTCTCGTCGATTTTCTTTGGGGACTTGGAGTCGATGCAAGAAGGATGCCCAGTCGGTATTCTTGATGGTTTTGACCAGTGCTTGTTGACGTGTGAGCAAATCGACCACTTCGGTTTCGGCCACGGTCCAATCGGCTCCAATGTCTCCATCACGACCTGAGGGTGATTGGATGAGTTCCTCCAAGACATCGTTGGGCCCCAAGGCGAGTTTGGGCAGTGGCACCACGGTGGGTTGGAAACAATTGGAAATGTTGGTTTCCGTCACTACTAGCGCAGTATCATTATCCGCCGTTTTGGACAACATGTCGGCAGGTGGGACATAGGCTGCGGCATCCCGATTGGCATCCATGAGTTCCGTGACAAAGGCCGTGGTGACGGTTCGATTTTTGGATTCTTCCTCCTCTTCTTGTCCCTTTTTGATGGCCCGACGAATGTGATCTCGAAACACAATGGACCGGGCCGATTCATGATATACCAAGACGGGTGCTTCAATGGTACTGTTGCTATTGCTGATTGTCGTGGTGGTGCTGGAAGAAGATCGGGTCCGAAAGGGAGGAATGTGTCGTTGCTTGACATCTTCAGCAGTAGCAGAGCCAGTGTGATTCTTATTCGGTTGGCTATCGGAGGAGGTGTTGGGACGGATATCGGACGACATCTTTTGGGTTGTTTGGAACGCGATGCGTTGGTGGGCTTTGGAAGATAAGAGGAATCGGCGGAACCAATTTCGGCGACGGCGTAATCGATAGCGTGTGTGATGAAAATGGGATGGACCAATGCGAGGGCGACGATAGCAACGTATTCCAAAACTCCAAAAGGAAACAATCACATAGACGCACAGAAAAGTCCCTGCAATGTGTGCCCACAGTAACTCGCTTCTACCAAGGTGACGGAATAGCACAAAGTAGAATGCCATGTAAAAAGTAGGGCAATGCAAGGAGAGGAACAGAAAGTGACGTGATGTGAGAGCATCATCCATAGGCATATTCCAAGATATCAGTGACTGCCATCCAGATAAAGGTTGATAACACCACACAAACACAACATCATGCCACTCACCCGGATTCGTCGTGGAATAAGAAAGCCAATACAGAGATTTCTTCTTGCTTGACATACATTCATGCAGAGTAGCTTTGCTCTGACAGGCAGTCACTCCAAGAACTAATTCTGTTGGAGTTGCTCTGTGCTGTCAAAGAGTAATGGATGGCGGGGGGGACTTCACTGTTCGCCTTTCGATGGCAGCATCACTCCACCACCTTGAAAGGGTTCTTCTTTGTGAGCTATGGCTGTCAATAGACCTGATCGATGAGAATCGAATCACAATCTATCGCAAAGAGGAAACGGCAAAGTTGATGGGAAGGCTCTCGTTGGATCTTTGATTGGTTCCAGCCGTTCCTGAAATTTGTTAGAGGTAGACGGGGTAAACCAATTTTCTAAAGAATTCTGTAGGGTCATGTTTACCTAAACTACCAGAATTTAATAGATTCGACGCACATTTGATCGGTCGAAATGTAAAGCATGGTGCCAAATCATCGCCAAAGTTGTCACTACAAGGTCACAGCGGCTCTAATAGGTTGTACTGAGAGTAGCAATAGTAGCAGGAGTCCGCGGAAAGGTCGTGCTGCTGTTGCTATGGTTGTTGCAAAGTTGCACTACTTGCGTCAATGGTGACTCCGTGTTACGCGGGTATAACAACTTTGGTCGCGGGTATTATGGTGGGGTGGGTACTACAATCGCGGGTATAACAACTTTGGTCGGAGGCATTGGCGAAGTCGCGGTTACTGATCATAATTCATTAAGGACTTAATATGGAGGATAAAACGCGGTTTGTCGTTAAATTCAAGTCTAGACGGGATGCTACACTCTTTTACAACTCGGTAAAGAAACTTCTTCATATGGAGAGCTTATATGATGGGTTTACTGAGTATGAGTACATGTGTTATTAGAGAGAGGAAGGGGGATTATTAGTGCCTGTTTATTTTAAGGATCCTGTGACTGAGGGGTAACTAAAGGATTTGTTTCTTGATTACGAGGTCGAAGTTAAGCCTCTTCCATCTTCGTATACGTTTGGTGACTTGCAAAAACTGGATTGGAGTTGGTAAGGCATAAATTCGGTGTCCTAACTACTGATGAAGGTTGTTTGGGTGGGAGGTCATAGATACATCGACAATGGTGTGTTTCTCGACGGGAGAGAAAGACTTTAAGGAGCTTCGGGTACTCTGACGGAAATTGGGTTACTAAGCCTATCAAGGAGAGGGTTACAAAGGCGGCTAAATCTATCCAGGCTATCAGAGAAGGAAGAGTTAATAGCATCAAAGGGTACTAAATCGATCTTGGAATTTATTAAATAGTAAAGAATAAAAGAAGCTAGTTCCTATAACAGTTCCATTCATCTTTCCCGCCTATTGAATAATTTTTAAATTCTAAGTGTAAAATCAGGAATCTGTCGCTTGATAGCTTGGACATATCGGGTTCTTCGTTCATGAACATGACGACATGGGGTGTGGCGAACCTTTTAATAATTGAATGGAATTTGGGGCTGTTAACTGCCCAATTCTTTAATTCTTCTAAGAAATCATATTGAATGAATTCTCCTTGTTCAGTCTATTAGGAATACTTTCTTGTCTTCAACCACATAGGCCATGTCCGCTTTCTTGCCTGATAGGATTAACTGGGCATGATCATTGAGGCATTCATAGTATTCTGTAAATCAGGTATTCCCTTGCAACAAGTTTCTGGAAGGGTCAGTTCCAGTACCGAAGTAGTGGACTGGACCTCGCTGAAACCCTTCCTCAGGGACAGCGGTAGTCAGGCAGTTCAGGGAGCCTTGTCGTGCCTCAGGAGTATTCCAACACCTCCAGTAGGCACCAAACCAAGGACTTGGTCCTGTCAGTCAGACAGGAGGGCCAGCAGAGCTCTCTGCTGGGCCCTTTGGGCCAGCTCTCCTCAGGAGCTGGGAGCCTTCGTTATTCAATCGTGCAGTGGCAGTCTGGGAACAGTACTATCTGCTACCTCCTACTGCTTCTGCCCGGCCTCAACAGGATTGGTATCAACTGCTGCGGTATTAAAGGGGCTACAAGCTAATCAGGATCGGTCTCAATCTTTCGTACTATTTTCTTAACTATGATGGAAAGGACGATCCTTTCTTGCTGCTTTGCTGGGAGATAAGCCAACTGCGCATGCTGGAGTTGTAGGCCAGCATAGCTGTTGGAGCTATCCCAGAGGAATCCAGAGCTCTCGCTCCTAAAAGTTATCGCCTTGGTTGCCTTCTGGATCCACTACAAAAATTATTTCACGCTTCGAAGGTGTTAGTTTCAGCCGTCTATACAGATCTTGTTGCCAAGGGCGGAGGGAGTAGAAGTCTGGTTTTTTCTTGGGTCGGTTGTCCCTCACGTAATCTATACAGAATTTTTCATGGCTCGCTACTACACTCGAATGCAATTCTCGGAGGGTTTTCATGTCATACATGCCTTCTTTGACAGAGTTTTGAATGCTTCGAGGTCATTTCATTTATTGGGGGTGCCTTTCTCGGTAAGAGGAGGTGATGTCCCGATTTTGACGAAGTCACCGTCTTTCCTGCAGTACTCTATTGAGCTACCTCGATAACGTGTTACTGTACAATGGGCTTTGCCTATGGTTGTGTTAATCTCTTCCATGATTTAAAGCAGACAGTGCACTGGAGATGAGGTGTTCCTGTGCTGCTTACTTCTTTTCCGTATATGAGATAGTCTACTTCTGGGTGTTGCGTTGAAAGTCGATCTAGGTCTGCGGGGGTGAAATTGTTGATGGTGAAATAGCAGTGTTTTGCTCTTGGTCCAGACCTGGGAGAAGAAGTTTTTTTTGTGAGAGTTTAGGTGGTTTTTTACATCATTCTGGAGGTGCGGTTGATGATGGCGATCATAGATGACTAACGAACAAATGATACGACTGTTAAGAATTCATACACAATGATTCGATTCATACACAACAATTCATACACAACGATTCATACACAATGATTCATACACACGCATACACAATGATTCATACACAACAATTCATACACAACGATTCATACACACGCATACACAACGATTCATACACAACGATTCGTACACACGCATACACAACGATTCATACACAACGATTCATACACATGACGATAACTTACATCGATTGTAAAAAAAATGAGGATGATGGGTTGGTTGGAAGGATGAAGGGGGAGTTAGGGGGGAAAGACTGAGAGAGACGCCATTGAGGACGCTCACTCGCCACGGTGGCTGTTAGGGTTAAAACCAAGAGGGAGGGGTTAACCCTAACCTGATCCCCAATAAAATGGACGGACAAACTGGAGTGAACGTAATAATAGCCCAAAACACTGCAGTTCATCTTTTTAGGGTTAGGGATGGACCTGGGCTTTGGGTGTTCACTCTCGGCCTGTCCGTCTGTTCTTAGGTCGGGTTAGGTGGTTGGGATTGGGGTGATCTTCGAGGTGATCTTCAAGTTCGTGCCTGTTCTACACAAAGTCTGGTGTCATTGGATCTGCTGATGAGATTTGTAACTTGAGTTATCCTTTTTCTTTTCTTGAAACTAACAAGCCGTGTAATGAGGAGGCGTTATTCCCGAATACGAGATTGACAATGTCATCGTGGAGGGTTAAACAGCATAGCCGTTCGATATCTCTTGATTTGTAATTCTCTAGGGTAAAACGCCAGTGCCTCTGGGACCAGAACCTGGCATCTTCAGTTTTTGTATCTTTGACCGTGTGTTGCATCTCACAAGGCCAACCTTTGATGTGAAACATCGTGCCGGTATATTTCACACCAATGAAACAGGAATGACGCCAGACGGTACACAAGACTAAAAGAGATAATAGGGGAACCGTAATTGAGGGCATGCCCCCCTCAGCTGTTTCTATAGTAAAATAGTAGGGGGGCTGGGGGGCCGAGGTGGGGTAATAATGGAAAATCTCACCTCGGTTCCCCTTTAAGACGCACATTTGATCGATTATTCAACAACAGGTTGATCCTTCTTCTTGGCTTCGGGTTCCTGAGGATTAGGAGTAGTTTCCTCCCTTTCTCAGAAGGTGTACTTTCTTCATTGTCTTCGATCGCGCGAAATGGATTGAAGGTCATATAATTACTTATCAATTGTATCTTGGCTCCTTTGATTGTTCGTCGCGTCGAGTTCGAATGTAGACCCTTTCCAATATAGCTCCAGCTTCAGTATGGATGGTAAATAATTTACTAGCATGTTACAAATCGATTGCCATCTCCCATCTCCAGGAGCGTTCCTCAATCGTGAATGAGGTTAAATACAAAACGGCCAAAATTAGGGGCAGATTTAGTGCACTACGCTAAAAGCTAGTGTAAAGATCTTTCGAGTGTTTTGTGTTTGAGAGAATGAAAGTTATGAGAGAGATTAGAAAGCTATGAAAACTAATCAACGAGAGAGATCACCATCAAAGGATCGTAGATCTGGAGTAGGTTGCGGTAGCAATCCTACGTATCTCCACGATCCTAAAACGGAACGCGTGGAAGATTCGTCTAGCATGGATCTAGTAGCGTGGAATACAACTCCACGCTGGCTAAATATCTAGAGCGATGTTTCATCATCAACCTAGTATGACTAGAGCGGTCATTGAGAACCCTGTCTCAATAACTATTCACGAGAGCCTCAGTCATGAGTCGAACTCAAACCCTATCTAGGATCGAGTCGCGAATAAGGCTAAGAGCCGTGTATTGCATTCGCCCCCTGACAAGGGTCACAGAAGGCACGACATCAGTCGGACAAGGAGAACATATGAATTAAAGTGCGGGGCACTCTCCGGAGATTGGATGTAGACATGTGCGTCGCACGATGGCAATCCTACAAGGGGATCAGGCCTTGTATGGGTGTAAATACCTTATGTTCCAAGTCTGGTAGACTGTGCCGCCATTGGCGGTAGCATGTCGGAGCCGTACAGTGCCATTGTTATTGACTCGGTCTATGTTGTAAGGACCTTTGTACTTTGGCTGACCGTACTTGCGGTGCTGATACTGTTGAAACCTCACAGTATCGTTGACATTGTATTGATGAGGGACACGCGTCGCGTTTTCCTTATCATTGTTTTTCTGGATGAGTCGTTGGCGACGTTCTT